TCCGACTTTTGGGGTAGCTTTCAAAATAGGTGCACATATGTTTCAAAAATTGCGCGGTCTCCAAAAGGAACATAAGAAACGGTCTGCAAGCGGCAGCCGCAGGTTTGAAAAACAATCAATGCCGAACATTCCTGCAACACTTTGCGCGCCCACCCATTGCAACCGTATGATTACATGCCCCAGCTGCCCCATTCCTTAGTTGCAGTCCCACTGGTGAGCCTTGCCAGCACAGGGACGTCATCCCTAGACTCTATAGACAGCATATGGACACAGAGAGCGCAAGGTTCTAAACATCACCCACCCCTGTCACAGCACAGCGCGAGAAATCAACATGCTCTGACCGAAAATGGTCTATCCATCAATCGTATTGCCGGTAACTTTTTCCCCCGAAGTTTTCTGCAGAGACTTGCAACCATAAACCCGCTGACTCTCTTGTGCAAGATCAAAGCTGCTACCACTGACTGTATGGATGCGGAAAGTGCGGGGCTCTAAGCGTGACTCAAACGTGTTGTACCTGGATGTATCTGGCTTTGGCAATATGAACCTCCGGACAAATTTTGTTTATCTCGCCATGCTTGCATTTCCTGAAGGCAGACCATTGAATATTCGAACACCTGCCTGCCCTGTCTATCAAAATGCTTGTCTTTTTTTCTTTTGTCGGGTCTGGCTGTAACGCTCGGGGTTGCCTACTTTGTCCGATCCCTGGCCTTCCATTTGAAATCCGGGTTTTTGTGGCAAAACCGGGTCAGACCAAACGGTGACGCTCTTCGCGGGCGGTTCTGGGATCAGACTTGGTGCAGATCCCTATGATTAACCCTTGTTAGCCAGAAACTCTCCACAGTCCAAAGCTTTCCACGTTCCATGCCAAAATGGTTTAAACACGCGGAAACGTGGTATGTGCATGCTCTATGCTATGCGAAGACTCTGAGGCACGTTCCCACAGTATGTGCGCTGAAAAAGTTAAAGCGTGGTAGCACACTCCTTGAGCCTTGTGGTCTGTGCTGCACGGGCATGTGTTCAACTCACTATGGATCACTACAAAACAGCGGTATGCGTTGGCCTTGTGCAGTACGTTCACAGGTATGCGGAATACGATTGTTGAACGGCAATTTTCTTTTTCAGTACGGGGAAGCCTCTTTTGGAATGATTTACCCTGGCAACCCATAAAAACAAAAGCAGGTTGAACACTTCAAAATAGAGCCCTGTTTTGATTGGTTCAGGTGTTTTTCTTGTCATCGAAGCGGCATGTGGTTGCCTGTGATGCGAAGATATGGCCATCAACTGGATAGTCGAAGAAAAACATTGGGCAGAGTTGCCAAACCCAGATTCCTTTTGAAAACAAAGGGCTTCCAGGTTGACCACGCAAATTTCCTGGCGCTCGTCGAAGTTGCTGTTGTTTTCCACATGACGATGAGCGCAATGCTTTCAGGTATGGCGCGCATCTGAAACTGGGAACCAGGATTCTAGGCAGCGCATGGTGCGGAATCCCTACACCGCAGGGTGAGATGAAACCAGTTTTGGACCTGGCATGCTCTCGAGGGTATCAAAGTTGTGGCATCCCATTCAAAATGCGCGTAATTTGGAAGCAATCAAACCTTAAGGGTATAGAACGATCAAACCCGTTCCACCACGCCCCTCCCAATTCTTGATAAGTTCTAGCTGCTCCTCTAGATGTACTACAAGCTAAAGCAGGAGCTAAAGCAGGAGCTAAAGCAGGAGCTAAAACAATACCAATTTGACATTTTGGTTTAAGCCGTTTTGGCCAAAGGACGAGGCTCTGGAGGGCGCATCTTGGCGCATCTTGGCGCTTGGGGCATCTTCTTCCGGAAACTCCCCGCAACAAGATCTGTAACTGATCGCTGTCTGGTGCACATCTTAGATTGAGATCCGGGTTTTTAGCCAGCACCAGCTGCTGAATCCCTACACCGCAGGGTGAGATGAAACCATTTTTGGACCTGACATGTTCTCGGGGGTATAAACGTTGCGGCTTCACACTCAAATTGCGCGGAATTTAGAAGCAATCAAAGCTGGTGTCACCTCTCTCTGAGAAAGGATATGGAAAGATCAAACCCGTTCCACCACGCCCCTCCCAATTCTTGATAAGTTCTAGCTGCTCCTCTAGATGTACTGCAAGCTAAAGCAGGAGCTAAAGCAGGAGCTAAAGCAGGAGCTAAAGCAGGAGCTAAAGCAGGAGCTAAAACAATACCAATTTGACATTTTGGTTTAAGCCGTTTTGGCCAAAGGACGAGGCTCTCGAGGGCGCCTCTTGGCGCATCTTGGCGCTTGGGGCATCTTCTTCCGGAAACTCCCCGCAACAAGATCTGTAACTGATCGCTGTCTGGTGCACATCTTAGATTGAGATCCGGGTTTTTAGCCAGCACCAGCTGCTGAATCCCTACACCGCAGGGTGAGATGAAACCATTTTTGGACCTGACATGTTCTCGGGGGTATAAACGTTGCGGCTTCACACTCAAATTGCGCGGAATTTAGAAGCAATCAAAGCTGGTGTCACCTCTCTCTGAGAAAGGATATGGAAAGATCAAACCCGTTCCACCACGCCCCTCCCAATTCTTGATAAGTTCTAGCTGCTCCTCTAGATGTACTACAAGCTAAAGCAGGAGCTAAAGCAGGAGCTAAAGCAGGAGCTAAAGCAGGAGCTAAAGCAGGAGCTAAAACAATACCAATTTGACATTTTGGTTTAAGCCGTTTTGGCCAAAGGACGAGGCTCTGGAGGGCGCATCTTGGCGCATCTTGGCGCTTGGGGCATCTTCTTCCGGAAACTCCCCGCAACAAGATCTGTAACTGATCGCTGTCTGGTGCACATCTTAGATTGAGATCCGGGTTTTTAGCCAGCACCAGCTGCTGAATCCCTACACCGCAGGGTGAGATGAAACCATTTTTGGACCTGACATGTTCTCGGGGGTATAAACGTTGTGGCTTCACACTCAAATTGCGCGGAATTTAGAAGCAATCAAAGCTGGTGTCACCTCTCTCTGAGAAAGGATATGGAAAGATCAAACCCGTTCCACCACGCCCCTCCCAATTCTTGATAAGTTCTAGCTGCTCCTCTAGATGTACTGCAAGCTAAAGCAGGAGCTAAAGCAGGAGCTAAAGCAGGAGCTAAAGCAGGAGCTAAAACAATACCAATTTGACATTTTGGTTTAAGCCGTTTTGGCCAAAGGACGAGGCTCTGGAGGGCGCATCTTGGCGCTGGGGGCATCTTCTTGCGGAAACTCCATGTAGCCAGAATGCGTTCAGCACAAGTATCAGGCGAATACCACGGCTGGATTTCTTGCTTGAAAAGGTTGGGATGTAGGCATGTTGTCAAAGGCATGCGCCAAATCTGCTAATCTCCCCCTGGGACTTTCAACCGTGATTGCCAACCAAGTCACAGCAAAACATGCGCCATATGCCGCCTTATTTCCGAATTGTGTTCGGTGCTTGCATCGCGTGGAGCCCCTCAGTTTCATGTCCCTGCCTGAATCATTGTTTGCCTTGCTTGCACTTCAACATTTAAGCTATAAGTATAGACTTTGTTATTAGCAATAATTGGCACGACTGCCGGATGTAAATATGAGCGCAACCATGGCATGGAGCAGCGATTTATTTCTCAATCATGGCCGCTTAGCTGTAGTCGCCACATCGACAATGGATGCAACCAGCAAATTTCAGCCCGTTCCAAAGGTTCCAAACTTCCTCCACACCTCCAGCTCCAGTCACAAGCTGGGGCAGGTGCTCCAGAATCAGACAGCTGCCCTAGGCATTCTGTTACAGAGCAAAATCCGCATTCAGAAAAGGCCATCCCTGAAAATGCTTATATAATGCTTATATGATCTTATATGCTTATATTCAACTTTGGGACCTGCAAAATTTGGCCTACACGGCCTAGCTGTCAAAGATTGCACGGCGGATTTGAAAGTCTGAAAGGAAGGGTGAACTGTGAAGACAAACAAGCAACTCAATACTTCTAGAAGGCACTGATCGACAGAAGGCACTGGTAACCCGTCTTCAAAGAGAAGAAAAATCAAGGTTGACCCCTTCTTCAATGCTAGTTCTTCGAGCGCAAAGGAAAGAAAGGATGCGGGACACTGTTGTTCTGGGCCAGCAATGCCATGGTCTCACCATGTTTGACTGGTATCTTCGCAGAATCTGCAGTGGCACTTCTGTCACATAGCCAATTCCTCATCACTCCAGTGGGCAAACTTCGAAAAAATGCTTAGCCACTTGTCAAGTTACTGGCAACTCTCAAAGATTGACATATATTCATGTCAAAGGATTTGACACGTTCAAAGAAAATTTGGCGCCGGCATCCCTCACAGACAAACACAACACAGTCTAAGCGTCTTATTGAGATAAAACGGTTCCCATTTAATCCCCAGCGCAGAGCACATTTCAACATATTTCCGAAGGCTGATGTGTGAGCAGTGCCAAAACAGGGGTGTCGGGCGCAGATGGCGGGTCAATCCGGAGAATCCGGAGACTGCAAGGTTCTAAACATCTCTCAAACCCGTTGTACATTCGAATTCAAACAGACGCAACAAACACCTACTGTTTTTCCCTCTTTTTAATTCTTATCAATTCTTTTTATAACGTTGGGCTAGAACCATTTGTCCAGAGTCAATTTTAACCTTTCACGTTCACCATCCTACAATATTTTCTCCCTCTGCATATGCGGAGTGACTTGCGCTTTCGGTCACCCTGTTGGTTGTTTTCCACCATTTTGCCAACTTTTGAAGGTGCAGGCTCAAGAAAGCCGGTCGCATCTTTTTTGCATCTGTCAGGAGTAGGCATAAGGATTGGACAGTGTGTACTTTCATTTCTGGATTTAGTGTTGTGATCCTTTCAGTGTAAAGAATAAACTTGTGCCTGGCAAAGGTCGAGGTTTGCGAATGCTCACTGGGACTTTATTTCAAATTGCCTTCCTTCCCATTCAATTCCTTCCAAAACTCTTATCATTTCTTATCCAGCTCAAAGTCTTCTCAGGTGGAGTTGCGACGCTCATGGAGGCAGAGGCGGACGTGCGGTTGCCTTTGTATCGCGGCACAACGGGCAGCATGGGTCGTCAAGGCTGCGCCTTGGCCGTCAAGGCCATGGAGCTGAGCCGCGATCGACCGCGGCATCCGCTTCACTTCCTGACGCCGCTCGTCGCCCGAAGCCAAGCAGCTGGTGCTTCCGTCGAGTGAAGCGATCTCTTCGATGCCGCAATTGCCGCAAAAGTCACAAGTCAGGTGACTTCCTACACATCCGCTGACATGTCGCAACTCAGTTGAGCTTCCGTTGAAGGGAGATGAAGATCAAGGGCACAGCCTGCCGTGAAAAGCGAAGTAGACACCAAAACGGCCTGAGGTCACAGCTTCCTCTTGCACGTGAACTGTGAAGCTGACCAGTTCCAATTCCCGGCACATCAGTCGTCAGCCAATCGGTACACCCGCCTGCGGTGGCACCAAACAGCTCACAAGCGGTTTCGCCTCAGGCGCTGAAACACATCCAGAAGCAGCAAATGTGGGAAAGCTGCCATCACTGACTCACTGAAAGATCCAGAGTAATCAAAGGAAGTTTAGGGGGAGAAACTTCCGTGTTACGGACTTTTAGAATGTCAGGGAAAGAGTTAGTCAAAGAAAGAGTTAGTGAGGGAAAGAGTTAGTCAAAGAAAGAGTTAGTCAAAGAAAGAGTTAGTCAAAGAAACAGTTAGTCAGGGAAAGAGTTAGTCAAAGAAAGACTTAGCAAAGAAACAGTTAGTCAGGGAAAGAGTTAGTCAAAGAAAGAGCTAGTCAGGGAAAGAGTTAGTCAAAGAAAGAGTTAGTCAAAGAAAGAGTTAGTCAGGGAAAGAGTTAGTCAAAGAAAGAGATAGTGAGGGAAAGAGTTAGTCAAAGAAAGAGATAGTGAGGGAAAGAGTTAGTCAAAGAAAGAGTTAGCAAAGAAACAGTTAGTCAGGGAAAGAGTTAGTCAAAGAAAGAGTTAGTGAGGGAAAGAGTTAGTCAAAGAAAGAGTTAGCAAAGAAACAGTTAGTCAGGGAAAGAGTTAGTCAAAGAAAGAGTTAGTGAGGGAAAGAGTTAGTCAAAGAAACAGTTAGTGAGGGAAAGAGTTAGTCAAAGAAAGAGTTAGCAAAGAAACAGTTAGTCAGGGAAAGAGTTAGTCAAAGAAAGAGTTAGTGAGGGAAAGAGTTAGTCAAAGAAAGAGTTAGCCAAAGAAACAGTTAGTCAGGGAAAGAGTTAGTCAAAGAAAGAGTTAGTCAGGGAAAGAGTTAGTCAAAGAAAGAGTTAGTGAGGGAAAGAGTTAGTCAGGGAAAGAGTTAGTCAAAGAAAGAGTTAGTGAGGGAAAGAGTTAGTCACAGAAAGAGTTAGCAAAGAAATTGTTCCCTGAATGTAAATGGCATTGCAAGTGGTGCTGGTGGAGGAGTTGCCGATGGAGTTTTGGAGGAAGTCTCGCACGAAATGCGTTTTTGAGAGATAGCAGATGCACGAAACCCTATGTTTTTCCATACAAAGTCCGTCCCCGAACGTCGATGATCTACCTCTGCGGTGCGACGGGTGCGAGACGGTCTCGTGGTGCTGGTGGAGGAGTTGCCGATGGAGTTTTGGAGGAAGTCTCGCACGAAATGCGTCAGGAAACCCTATGTTTTTCCATACAAAGTCCGTCCCCGAACCTCGATGATCTACCTCTGCGGTGCTTGCGAGACGGTCTCGTGTGTGGTCGGATGGGATCATGGATCGGATCGGTTCCGCATTGTAAATGGGGTTTCAACTGTTTTTCGTGCATGTGCGGTCGACAGAATTCCATTGTGATTTGCAACTGTAGGATCGTTCCCGCATTGTAAATGGGATTGCAAGTGGTGCTGGTGGATGAGTTGCCGATGGAATTCCATTGTGATTTGCAACTCTAGGATCGTTCCCTCACTGTAAATGGGATTGCAAGTGGTGCTGGTGGAGGAGTTGCCGATGGAGTTTTGAAGGAAGTCTCGCACGAAATGCGTTTTTGAGAGATAGCAGATGCACGAAAGCCTATGTTTTTCCATACAAAGTTCGTCCCCGAACCTCGATGATCTACCTCTGCGGTGCGACGGTTGCGAGACGGTCTCGTGTGTGGTCGGATCATGCTCGGATCATGGGCGGATCATGCGTCGGATCGGTTCCGCATTGTAAATGGGGTTTCAACTGTTTTTCGTGCATGTGTGGTCGACAGAATTCCATTGTGATTTGCAACTGTAGGACGTTCCCGCATTGTAAATGGGGTTGCAAGTGGTGGTGGGTGTTGCCGATGGAATTCCATTGTGATTTGCAACTGAGGATCGTTCCCGCAATGTAAATGGGATTGCAAGTGGTGCTGGTGGATGAGTTGCCGATGGAATTCCATTGTGATTTGCAACTGTAGGATCGTTCCCTCACTGTAAATGGGATTGCAAGTGGTGCTGGTGGAGGAGTTGCCGATGGAGTTTTGGAGGAAGTCTCGCACGAAATGCGTTTTTGAGAGATAGCAGATGCACGAAAGCCTATGTTTTTCCATACAAAGTCCGTCCCCGAACCTCGATGATCTACCTCTGCGGTGCGACGGGTGCGAGACGGTCTCGTGTGTGGTCGGATCATTCTCGGATCGGTCTCGGATCATGGTCGGATCATGCTCGGATCGGTTCCGCATTGTAAATGGGGTTTCAACTGTTTTTCGTGCATGTGTGGTCGACAGAATTCCATTGTGATTTGCAACTGTAGGATCGTTCCCGCAATGTAAATGGGGTTGCAAGTGGTGCTGGTGGATGAGTTGCCGATGGAATTCCATTGTGATTTGCAACTGTAGGATCGTTCCCGCAATGTAAATGGGATTGCAAGTGGTGCTGGTGGAGGGTTGCCGATGGAATTCCATTGTGCTTTGCAACTGTAGGATCGTTCCCGCAGTGTAAATGGGATTGCAAGTGTTGCTTCCTCTTTTGGCTGCATGCGTAATACTATTGTCTTTTGCAGCTGGACTTCGTAAATCGTATTGGAGTGGCTGCATGAAGGCTGCGACAGTGATTTGTCAGCAGATTTTCTCCATTTTGGCGCTAGTGATTTTCCTTCTAAAAATCATTTTAAAAAGTGCTTCAAAATCGTCTTTTTTTCGCTCTGGCGTCGAGATCCGGTTTTGGAGCTACAATTTCCGACGCCGTTGCGCGTAGTTCTATTGTGTTTTGCAACTCAGTCTCTGCAGATCGCATTGTAATGGCTGCGTCAAGGTTGCTTGGTGCCGCGGCTGCATGCGCAATACTATTGTCTTTTGCAACTGGACTTCGTAAATCGTATTGGAGTGGCTGCATGAAGGCTGCGACAGTGATTTGTCAGCAGATTTTCTCCATTTTGGGGCTAGTGATTTTCCTTCTAAAAATCCTTTTAAAAAGTGCTTCAAAATCGTCTTTTTTTCGCTCTGGCGTCGAGATCCGGTTTTGGAGCTACAATTTCCGACCCAGTTGCGCGTAGTTCTATTGTGTTTTGCAACTCAGTCTTTGCAGATCGCATTGTAATGGCTGCGTCAAGGTTGCTTCTTGCCACGGCTGCATGCGTAATACTATTGTCTTTTGCAGCTGGATCTCGTAAATCGTATTGGAGTGGCTGCATGAAGGCTGCGACAGTGATTTGTTAGCAGATTTTCTCCATTTTTGCGCCAGTGATTTTCCTTCTAAAAATCCTTTTAAAAAATGCTTCAAAATCGTCTTTTTTCGCTCTGGCGTCGAGATCCGGTTTTGGAGCTACAATTTCCGACGCCGTTGCGCGTAGTTCTATTGTGTTTTGCAACTCAGTCTTTGCAGATCGCATTGTAATGGCTGCGTCAAGGTTGCTTGGTGCCGCGGCTGCATGCGCAATACTATTGTCTTTTGCAGCTGGATCTCGGAAATCGTCTTGGAGTGGCTGCATGAAGGCTGCGAAATGGATTTGTTAGCAGATTTTCTCCATTTTGGCACTAGTGTTTTTTTGTTGCACGTAGGTTTAGAGCAGTGGGAAGTGTGGGGCGTAAAGAGTGCAGTGTGAAGTGTGTAGTGTGAAGGAAGCAGTGGGAAGTGAAAAGTGTGAAGTGTGGAGTGTGAAGTGTTGTGGAGTGTGAAGTTTCAGTTTGGAGTGCGAAGAGCGCAGTGTGAAGTGTGAAGTGTGAGGTTTGGAGTGTGAAGGAAGCAGTGAGAAGTGTGAAGTGTGTAAGTGTGGAGTGTGAAGTGTGGAGTGTGAAGTTTCAGTTTGGAGTGCGAAGAGCGCAGTGTGAAGTGTGAAGTGTGAGAGTGTGAAGGAAGTTTGGAGTGCGAAGAGTGCAGTGTGAAGTGTGAAGTGTGGAGTGTGAAGTTTGAAGTTTGGAGTGCGAAGAGTGCAGTGTGAAGTGTGGAGTGTGGAGTGTGAAGACTTTGCTTCGTCTCTCGCTGAAAAAATCAAACGGTTGTCGAGGGAAGGACACGGTCGGGACAGGGTGTCTTTGAACTATAGGTCATTTATGTTTGGGAAACTTCCGCCGCCGGCTTGCCCGGGTCTATGTTAAAATATTCAGAAACCTGTTTTTCTTTTTTTTTGTTCCAGGAAAAACCATATTCATGTTGTTGTTTTTTCTTAACATGGGGGTTTCCATGAATAGGGGTCCCCCAGTCATCGTCCATTTATAAAGGATTTCCTTAAAGCATCCAGCTATTGGGGTCCCCACTTATGGAAACCTCCATATAGGTGGAGTAATGGGATACAATGTAATAGAATATGAATGAATTATTTTGAGATTTATTGGAGGAAACATGAGGGGTAATTTCTTTTCAATAGGGACAACGGTGGGATAGTGATAGGATAATTATTGGAGAATCATGGTATAAGTGAAACAGCGGAAAATTATATTTACTGTAATGCCAACAATGAACCATCCCCAATATTGCCATGAAACTATTTTTTGGGGATGGGACATATGATAAGGAACTGAAATTGAGATGGTCGGGTTTGATCGAATGTGAGGGACGAATTTTTTTTTTCGGGGCGACCGGGAGCCAAATCCGTCAGGAAATTTGGAGACACCGTGAGCTCCGTGTTGCTGACTCTCTATCCACAGGCCTTTAAGGAGGTTCATTATGTTTCTAGGTGAGGATTTTGGAGTGATTCAGGTCGGTTTCAAATCCAGTATATATGTTGTCATATCATGTCATATCCCTCAACGTGGGAGGTGATGATCCCATCTACCTTTTTCGTTCAAATTCAGTTTCAAGGAAGTGTTCCATATGTTGAACCAGGGAAAGCGGGGATATGCCTGAAACAAATCAAACATAATGACCCTTTGGTAAATTTCACACCACTATGAAAAATCAACTAACCATTTTTAATGGGTAAATCGACTATAAATGGGCCATTTTCAATAGCTATGTTTGTTTGCCAGAGGGTAAACCTTGTATTTGTTCACAAGGGGTATATCCCTTTACATTTCCCAAAATCAAGCAAATTTCCAATATAAATGCTCTGTTTTTTTTTGGTGGGCATTGAGAATCTCAGGGCCATTACTGTATTCATTGACCCCTTTCATTTTGTTTTGGACAAACATATGGATACATAGATATTACCCGAGAAGACGGAGTGGAATGATCGTTGGGATTCGAGGAATCATGCCCTGAAATGGCCTTATGTTTGCTTTTATCCAGACCATTTATATACATCAGATTCCAATCGATATCTATAAAATCTATCAACATTTGATATACACATCGGATACTCCCCCCAAAAGGTGGTGATTTTCTCATCCCATCGCAGCACAGAAAACTTAGGTGGGCTCCGACAGCTTCTTATCCGCCTGCCGCCTGACCCACGGCGATGGGCACAGCGAGGCGCCTCTGGAGCCCACGGTGCCCGAGATGACGGGGTCGGCGCCGGCCGTGGGGTGCCGGGAGATTGCCACGCCCCTGCGTGGAGCGGGGCAAAGGTGGGATAGTTCTTCGCCCATTTTCATAGGAGAGATCAGCTAACTAGATGTGTTTTTTATGCCTCTTGGAATTTTCCATGCTGATGGGATTATGTGTATATATATATATATTCATTTACTTAGCATGCTACCTGCGGGGATATTAGGACATGCAGCATGGATTGAGCTTGGAAGTGGATGCCCCTTTATTTGCGGGATTTGGCGGGTAGAAAGAATGGCTTCCTGCAAAATGCGATGGAGGGAGAGAAAATGTTCCCTCACCTTCATTAAACGAATCCATTGGTCTTTAGAATGGTATTTTCCTGTGTTTTGTTCAATGATTGGTGGTGAGAGTCCCTTGTCATTCACCTCATATACGGTATGGCTAAGAACAAATTACCAGTTTGAAGTGGGAAACTTGCCACATGAATTGGACATGTATATATTGCATGTTTTGTTTCGTTTTTTTGTGGTCTGGCGTTCATAACATTGATAGAAAGGTCGCATTTAGGAGAGAAGGCTCAGTTTGTTGGGCTAGCGGCTAGCTTATTGTCAAAGGCCAACATGCTTCACCTCTTTTGTGCTATGTTGGGGTGGTCACAAGAAACCCTCATGGGCGTCACTTCCAATGAATCCCACCAGCCTTATAAACCCTCCAACCTTATCTGAGGATTGGAACTTTTGATTTTGCGGTTCCAAAGGGTGTTCTTACATGTGTTTATTTAATAATAGGGGACGGGATGAATTGACAAGATTTGAACCCACCAGGTGGTCTCTGCCTCCGATGCTGGATTCACTTTTGCCGGACGAAGCAAGGGTTGAGGATGAGCCCAGACGCTCTCGGCGTCCTTCCCTGCTTTCAGCACCGGGGCTGTTGACTTCAGCAGATAGAGTGCAACTGGAATCCAGGTCGGGTTCAGAGGCAGCCTCCCCAGAACGCCCCAGACGTTCTTCGATGCGCCAGCCTTCCCTACTTTCTGCACCTGGTGCTTTGGGCCCATCCTTGCCAGATGAAGTTCTGCACAGATATGATGGGGACCATCGCGGGGACTCTCAGCCCAGAGCTGTTTCAAGCTCAGTTCATGCAGAGCATGAGCATGGGGTTTCTCCTGGACAAAGAAGTTCTGGGCAGAGGCGTGCTTCTCTACCTCCTATGGCCACCGTCAGTCCGGAAGAACATGGTGAAAGATCAGGGAATCACAGCTCGAGACGAAGGTCTTGGTCACCTTCTGCAGCCGAACACGGCCATGCTCCCCATGCTGCCAATGCTTCCCATGCTGCCGCTGGGGATCATTTGTCTGGACCTGGCTTGGGGGGCTCAGCGTTGAGTTCTAGCACTTCGGATGAGGAGGAATCTTTGCACGCTGTCACTGGCCGGTCGCGGGCAGCAACAGATGCAGCTGTATTTGCTGCAGCTTCGGGTGAACAGCGTGGGGAATCATGCGAAGAGGAGGCTGTTTGGCATGTAGGCTTATCTCCGCACTCGGCACCAGAACTGCACGACACTCAGGGCCGAAGGTGTTCTTCGATGCGCCAGCCTTCCCTACTTTCTGCACCTGGTGCTTTGGGCTCATCCTTGCCAGATGAAGTTCTGCACAGATATGATGGGGACCATCGCGGGGACTCTCAGCCCAGAGCTGTTTCAAGCTCAGTTCATGCAGAGCATGAGCATGGGGTTTCTCCTGGACAAAGAAGTTCTGGGCAGAGGCGTGCTTCTCTACCTCCTATGGCCACCGTCAGTCCGGAAGAACATGGTGAGAGATCAGGGAATCACAGCTCGAGACGAAGGTCTTGGTCACCTTCTGCAGCCGAACACGGCCATGCTCCCCATGCTGCCAATGCTTCCCATGCTGCCGCTGGGGATCATTTGTCTGGACCTGGCTTGGGGGGCTCAGCGTTGAGTTCTAGCACTTCGGATGAGGAGGAATCTTTGCACGCTGTCACTGGCCGGTCGCGGGCAGCAACAGATGCAGCTGTGTTTGCTGCAGCTTCGGGTGAACAGCGTGGGGAATCATGCGAAGAGGAGGCTGTTTGGCATGTAGGCTTATCTCCGCACTCGGCACCAGAACTGCACGACACTCAGGGCCGAAGGTGTTCTTCGATGCGCCAGCCTTCCCTACTTTCTGCACCTGGTGCTTTGGGCTCATCCTTGCCAGATGAAGTTCTGCACAGGTATGATGGGGACCATCGCGGGGACTCTCAGCCTAGAGCTGTTTCAAGCTCAGTTCACGCAGAGCATGAGCATGGGGTTTCTCCTGGACAAAGAAGTTCTGGGCAGAGGCGTGCTTCTCTACCTCCTATGGCCACCGTCAGTCCGGAAGAACATGGTGAAAGATCAGGGAATCACAGCTCGAGACGAAGGTCTTGGTCACCTTCTGCAGCCGAACACGGCCATGCTCCCCATGCTGCCAATGCTTCCCATGCTGCCGCTGGGGATCATTTGTCTGGACCTGGCTTGGGGGGCTCAGCGTTGAGTTCTAGCACTTCGGATGAGGAGGAATCTTTGCACGCTGTCACTGGCCGGTCGCGGGCAGCAACAGATGCAGCTGTATTTGCTGCAGCTTCGGGTGAACAGCGTGGGGAATCATGCGAAGAGGAGGCTGTTTGGCATGTAGGCTTATCTCCGCACTCGGCACCAGAACTGCACGACACTCAGGGCCGAAGGTGTTCTTCGATGCGCCAGCCTTCCCTACTTTCTGCACCTGGTGCTTTGGGCTCATCCTTGCCAGATGAAGTTCTGCACAGATATCATGGGGATCATCAGTCGCGGCAAGTTTCTCAAGCGACAGATGTTGCTGGTGTTTCTCGTGGAGATTCTCGGGAGTTGCTTGAACAGCAGGCTGCTTGGCATGGAAGTTTATCCCCTCACTCAGCGCCTGAATTGCATGGTGGGAATCCAGCAGGCGGCGCGATCTCACAGACATCGTTGCTTTCTGCCCCGGGTGCTTTGGGTCCTGCTTCACATCAAACCCACCGGCCCCACGAGATACAAGAAGTGTTTCCCATGCACCCAGAGCTGGCCCCCGCACGCGGCCAGTACGGCACGGGGGGATCCGTCTCCACCGTAGGTGGCTCCGCTTGTGCTGAAGTGGCCGGGGATTCAGCTTCAGGCACGATCATCATGGATTCAGGCGCTGGAGAGGGCTAAGCCTTCTGGTTGGCGCAGTTGAAGTTACTTTTTTTTAATGGGTATGAGTGTGATACAACCGTGGTGACCCGCATGAGCTGGGATTTAATTCCCATAATTGCCCATACATCTATACTTATGTATACTTCTTAATTGCAACTGCACCCCCAAGTAAGCCTTTCTTGGACTCGTCAAAGTCTTGCATTCCCTCTAGATCTCTGTGGTGAAGAGGCAAGCAGCTAATAGATGAAACTTGTGTTTCCCGGAGGCCAGTATCGATAAACTGGTATAAACAGTGTGATATGATACTTGTTGCTTATTACACCGTCATTTGCTCATCAAACCCATGTTTTTCTGGTCAATTCCCTGGTTTGGAAATCTTTGGCACATGATTGATTAAAAAAACAACTTTTGGTTGACCACATGCACATTATTGATTTTTCTAATCTAGATTGTTTTCTCTTTATCCCAGCTGATCTGCTTACTCCATTTAAATCCAGTTTTTCAAGATGATGATTGATGACGGTTCTTGTTTTCAGGTTCATTTCATCTCTATGTTTGCCTAAGACCCTCCACTTTTGTTTGAACCCTCCTTGGTCCTTCTCTCCATGGCTGAAACCTCGCAACGGGGAGGCAGTTTCGGCATTGGCGAATTGACTGCCGCGCTGGCACGGCAGGACGAACTGGAATTGGAACTGATGGCAAGTCAGCTGGGGCATGATGAAGCCATACTAAGGCTGGGCCTGATAACCCGGTGAGATTGCCAGTGGCCTCAGTATAATGTCAACCCTGGATTTGCAAACCATTGTTTTATTGATTATGGGAGTACCCTCCAAATAATGATAAGATGATTAAATGATACCTCCCAACTAAAAAGCCTACGAGTTTATCAATCCAGGGTTGACATTAACTAGGCTGCCTAGGCTATATACTAGGCGAACTGTCGGGGTTTATGGCGGATATTTCGATAGGGGGCACCACTGCTGCCACTGCTGGTGATTTGTGCCATGGGGATGAACACAAGTTTGTTGCAGTAGTTTTTTCCCCACGGAAAAAGGTCATCAACATTTGATTTTCTCACTACGATTCTGGTAGGCCCAGGGCAAGGAATCCCATTCATGTTGGTATCAATGGTATCCATTGTCCATGATGGTGGGATGAGTCGAATATACCATGTGTTGACCATCCCCCATGGCACATATGGCTTTGTGTGAACATATGGCACCTCAAGAAATAGGATGATTGATCATTTCACCATTCCTCACTCAGCAAGTGTCTAAACTTTAATCTGTTTTATTGGTTGGGTTCGCGCGCTGGGGGCCTCCATTTTATACCTCAAAATCGCACGAGAACCCAACCAAGAAATAGTTTTTTTATTTTTCTCCGCCAACCAGATCTCCCCGTTTTTAGCCCAGGTCGCTCTTATTTTCCATGAAGGAACACATAGACATGAGTTTACATGCGTTCAAAATATGAATGATAAAAAACTAGAGGACTTATTCAGAATGATTGAAATGCCGTGCCTCACTGAATGGGGATGATCCTCCAGGTTTCTGGAATGGAGGCAACCTGAATATTTGGACACTAGAGTCACTAGAAACTGTCACTTGCATGAATATATATATATATATATATTATATATATATATCAGTTTGCCCACTGAAATCTCCATTAGGAGATATTCGAACGAATAAATCAGGCTGTATTAACCACCATCAACACTGGCGACAGGGCTTGATTTTTCCACAATATGTGCGACTGTCAGACATACAGAATGAAGCATACTGTTTTTCTTTCTATTTGTACATCTAATTATAGCCTGTGTATGCATTGTATATATTTAGATTCAGATAATTTGAATTAATGATTTGATCATGTGCCCATGAAGTACCCAGTACGTACAATATTCCCATGACGTTTCCATGTTTGGTGCCTGAATTCTACATGTTCAACATTTGATAACCCCTCAAAAATCTCAGAAGGGCACTCACTCCAGCAATTTAGGGCCTTCTGTTGGTGGGGGTGACCTGACTGGGCGAACACCCATGAACTTCCATTGTTAGCTAAATTAGTTTATAAACCCTGTTTGGCATCCTTTGACTTTAGATACTGTAATCGATATATCTGATGCCATAAAACGGTAACCCTAGTCCACTTAGTGGTTTTCCTATATATATATATTTGTATATATGCCGATGATATTTTCCCATTACAATGCCATTCTAAATCCATGTTTTGATGATTAATATGACCGTTCTGTATCGTCATATTGTATCATATTATATCCTCATTAATTTCATTATTTATCCTAGCATTTTCCAGCATGCGGCCAACAATTGTCCAGCATGTTCTATCATTTTCTAGCATTTTATCAATCATATTGCAGCATCTTTCCCGCAGTTTACCAGCTATTTGCCCACATTTTCCATCATTTTCCAGCATCTTCCCAGCATTTTCCTAGCGTTTTGCCGCATTTTCCCAGGGCCGAAAGTCCCATATTCCACAGCACGGGCACCTTCGATGCGCCCATTGCCGCTTTCTTCGAGGAGCTCGAGACGTGGCAGCGCCAGGCCACGGAGCTCTTGGATCCAGCGAAGGTACAGCAGGAGTTGCGCCTCACGCGGGACAAGTTGGAGGACATCCGACAACTTAACGGGTGGATTTTACGGGTGATTTTAATGTTTGTTTTTTTGTTTAATGAATGTTTAATGAATGTTTAATGAATGTTTCAAGTGTCAAAAAATGGTGATCTTATGGGATTTCGATGTTTTTATTCATTGTTGTTCATTGTCTTTTTCCATGGGATTGTTACTGTAATTGATTTTAAGGGGTTTTCATGGGATCTGCTAATGGATTTTCAATGGGATGTTCAATGATGTTCATGTTTTTTTAATTTTTATATATTTTTCATGGAATTGAAAACTGGGATTTGCATTATTTGTTCAAATAAGGTTTAATTGATTTTAATTACATCTTAATGGGTGTTGATCCCAGAGGACAAGTAGATAATTTATCATGTCTCTGGTTTAAGAGTGATAACAGTTGGATAAGATTTTTTGTCTCAGTGGTTTAGTAAGGAAGATAATGCGACTTTACTTGGAATTCATGGGATTTGTGTGGGATTTAAAGCTTCAAACCGTGTGTGTCTTACCGTGTTTGACATCAAGAGTGGGGATCATCTCTAAGCCGCGATGTTGGGATTCAGCATTTTAGCAACCCAGAGTGCATTCATATAAATATATACAGTACACACTTAATAATATCTATATATATATATATATTATCTAATATAATATAATATTATATAATGTAATATATTTAATGAAAATATAATATTATATAATATATTATCATATAATATTATTTTTATATATTTTAATATGTTTTTAATATATATACATATATATTATTAAGTAAATATATGTATTTTAATATATATATATATGTATTATTTTAATTATTTATTTAACACAGACACACACACATATATATATATATATATAGTGTACATATATAACATACATATATTACATATTATATTTAATATTTCACATATCTATGTAGTATATATATATATATCACATATATATATATATATAGTATATACCTCCTTTGGGGATTGAGCCAGAAGTAACCATATGATTCGAGCAACAAACAAAACAGTTGTCAGCAGAAACAAACGGCTAGCAACAAGCAAAATGGGCCGTTTTAGATAGCTGTGCACCAAATTACCAGAGGGTATACCACATGGTATTTCTCAACCGGCAAGCATAAACATTCCCATAAATTCCCATTATAGTCCCTGAGAAATCCCCACGAATCCCTATTATTCTCATATTTGTTTCCACTGAACTATCGGAGGGTACTCAAGCAGTCGCTTATATTCTTGTAACCCCACCTGCGCCCCCCGCACCGTGGCAGGAGCTCCAGAGTCTCCGCGCCTCCGTTGCGCAGCAGCGCAGACATTTGGCGGAACGCAACGCGGATGTGGCACGCGCCAAGGATCGACTGCGAGAGGAACTCCAACACAACTCCTCCAAAGGAGGATGTCGTATTTCCTAGCTCTCGAAATGGGATTGTCTGAAGAGGGGGTAATAATCCCAAATGGCAACTTTAAAGGGGAAAATGATGATTAACGAGTGGATCTATATAGTTGCACCCTATTTTCAGACAAGCCCAGATCTCGAAACCGGGCTTCCACAAATTGAGTGTTCAGAAAGGGTTATGTCACATACATTGTTTATCTGAGATGATGATTCCAACTGCAAAGCGTATTTTTGAGATGGGTGGCTAAACCAGGTTGTTTTTTGGAAGCCTGAGTTCCCTTGATCAAGGTTTCAATTTTGGTGACATATCCAATTGGCACACTACATATTTGGGTATGTTTGGAATGCTGTTCATGTGAAAATGATGACAACGCGGGATAAACCATTCATGTTTAGCCTGCCTTATTTTCAGATAAATCCAGGATCATTCGGCAGAACAGGGAAGATCTCTTGGGGCACAGTTTTTTTGTCCATGTGTTGTTCGCCTGGTTCGAAAGCTGAAACTTGAAACCTTGTGGATGGTTGGCTTCGCAGGCCGCTTAAAAATGGATTGACCGCATTGCAGGTTGCAGGTGGCTGGCACGTGAACCTGCCAAGGCAGAGCATTACGCCATGTGAGTTTCAGAACATGTTGATGCCGATTGGCTGTTCAAATTAAAGTGCGGCTCTTTGACTGACATAGCACGAAGAAACATCAGTTTTGAATACATGTTACTAATTTCCGCTTCTTCATGTCTCTTACTCAGCAATGCCCCAATGTTGCTGGTAATATGACGCATGAATCAGATTCACAAACCATAGTAGACCTTATTAAACCTAATTGTGAATATGTATTAAAACCATATTAAACACATTTATGATCGAATCAACACATGTTGACACCCACATACCTACTGTATCGTATGGGTAAGATTTTGTACATCCCCAGGGTAGAAGCTCAGTTTATTTATATTTGTTTCCACGTTACTTACAGACACTCCTGCGTTTGTTTGGCGAAACGCTTCCAGGTATACACATATTTAAGTGATATATATATATATAAGTCATATGTTGATATATATATATATAAGTCATATGTTGATATATATATATAAATACAAAAATACATAAATAAATAAATAAATAAATAGATAGATAAATAAATACATGAATTAATAAATCATTATATATATATATTGATATTTATATTATATGTGTGTGTGCGTGTGCCAATGTAAACCCTGGTGATTTGATCCGCCAGCTCTATCCAGGTGCACTGGTACGGCTCCGGGCGTCAGGCCGGCAGTGTCGTGGCACCGGGTGGGCGTGTGGCGCTGTCGCGGCTGAAGCTGCTGGCCCTGGGAAGACGTGGAGCTGAGGCGCTGAGCCTGTCCCTTGGCTGGGCCATCCCAAAAATGGTGATCTAATGGTGATTTATTGGGGTTTAATGGGACTTTATAGTGATTTATTGGGGATATAATGGGGATATACAGCCATTATATATTATATATGGGTGTAATGGCGATATGATGGGGATATAATGGGGATATATCACCAATCTGATATGGGGACAATGGATAATGATGAAATAATGAATAATAACTTGCTGGGATATTGGGGGATATTATGAGATTAATCAGACTACTAATGGGATCAGGATTTTACCAAGAAATGGTTGTATAACAGGAGATACTGGAATATGTTTCGGATATGATGGAGATATCAATGGGACATAATAGAACTAACCAACTTGATATGCTCTTTGTGGTGTGTCGGAAAATGAGATCTACTGAGTATGATCTAATGGGCTATCGAAACATGGGGAACAAAACCATTGATAAATCGAAAGGATTTGGGGCGACACCATGGCTTTAGACAAAGCCATATTGTGTTTCAAATAGCAAACTTACCTTGATGCTTGGGTGTGTCTGAAAATGGTGGATATTTTGCTGAGGAAAAATGTGATCAACCAATATCAACTATCTATTTGATTTTCGGATATGTTTTTCTCAGACCAATCGGAATATCCAACTTCTGATTGGTTATTCATGAGTTTATGTGTGGTTTTTAATCACCAAAAATGTGATATCATCAATAAATGCATTAAAACTTGCACATGACGGGCAAACATTGGATATCATGTAATTTGCACACATTGACTTTTCCAGCCAACAATTGCCATCGATGGGTTTTAGTAACTAGTATTTAATGCAACTGGAATACCCACACTATTTGCTCCACCCCACCAGGCTTTCTGGTGGCATCTGATTGGATTTCAAACCACCCACATCCCCACCGATTCAGCATGTGTTTGTTTGTCAAATCCTCATTGCTGAATACATTCACTGCTCATTGTTTGTTTGTTAAATCCTATAGGTGATTTCAAACATTTACCCACTTTACATTCACTGCTCAAATCTAGAATCTAACTCTTGAATCACCAACAAACAGTGGTTCAATTTCCCGCTTTTGCTAACGTTTGATCAGTGGCTATCATTTTTGCAGCATCACCCAACATCAGGGGCAGGTGAGTTTGGTTTATCTGTACTGTATCATGGGCTATCACAATCAACAAACAATGTATATAATATATGTCAATATTGCCAATTAAACATCATCTGTCATTGATATCTCATCTTTTTGCTCGTTGAAACCATTGGTGCTGGTTAAATCGCTTAAACTCAACCGCCAGTACGTCAACCGAAGCACACCTGGCTTTGAAAACCTGGTTTATCACACGAGACCTTTTCCAACTGCGCTAGTATGGGGTCCTAGCTCAGCCACCAACTGTTTGGTCAACACAGGGAACCTCCAAGAAGATTCAAATAGAGTCTGGGCATGCATGCTTCGAAGATGCAAAAACTCAACTAATCAGCATTGATTGTAGAAGTTGCAACACATAAAATTGACCCTCTTGTAATTGGTGCAAAGCTATAGAAACCATGGCCCATATATAGATGATAAATGATAATTAAACATGATTTCTGATTTATTGATGAAAAGTCTAGCAAACATGGCCCTTGCTTAACCCATGTTGTTTGAGGGAGATTCCACTGCTGCGCAGGTTGGCAATTCAGATTGTCACCGGTCGACAGCATCAAATTCGCTTGCAGATGGCGCATGTGGGTCATCCGATGGTCACTGACAAAAGATGCTTAGCTGAAACGTAAACGCGGACTGTTGCGCTCCGAAACTGCGGGAGGTTTTCCGGGTACCAACCAAAATCAAATGTACAAAGAATATCAAACCTTGAATATGTTTCGGGAAAATTCAGAATGGTCGATTTGGCCGTTGATGTGATGTGTTGCAAACTGTACAACAAATTCAACATGTTTAAACCGCAGCAGATATATTGTTTGGATGTGTTGAGCCTGACAATTTCACAGCTGACGTCCAGGATACTTTTCATCCATCAACTGCTTGAAGGACGTGCCAAGGGGTGTCTCTTGGAGAAGTGTTCCGCTGAATGACATCGACGTTCAAGCTTAAGGGCCCCAACCGTTCCTAACTTGCAGATGTTTGTGAGTGTGTGGTATTTTCCATCCAGTTTGGGGTAAACCCATTTTGTTTCACCGATACCCACGGTAGGTAGGTTTGGTGCTGAGTTTTATAGGAGTTTTGTTCCCAGCATGACTGGCTGTGAATAGACATTTCAGACCGTGGGACGGCATTATCATGTATCGGCTGCACCATGGTAGAGGTTTCCGCTTTGACAAATACCATTGACCATAGTTTGGTCGGCAAATTTAAACTTTAAACTCCAGGGATCATATCAGAATTGCTTTACGCCTGCACAAATTGCGAGCTCACAACGACCAAGATGATGATTGGTAAGGGGAAGTACCTGAGAATAACCTTAAATTTAAGGCTTGTCAATCGTTATCATTCAATCCTAAATTATGTTGGCTAAATGTGGTTAAATCCTACAGATTATGTGGATAAAATCTCCAACGTGTCCATTTTATTCCATGTTTATTACCCGGACCCCATGTTGTGGTCCAAACAAGTGGCGGACGTCGTATGCTGGTGATTTTTGCAGCAGCCTGCACCAGGACATGCTTTGGTGTCGTAGAAACTTCCTGCACCCCGGTGTCAAGTCAAGTTGATTGAAGGATGGCTAGAAAGGATATGGGAAACCCACTAGATATGGAAGGTGATCCACCTATATATATATATACATATATATATATACATATATATATATATCCAGCTATTATCAATCACCTAGCGTGGAAAGCCCCATGATTTGCTGATGCTGATGCTCTTGTTATTTCCATAGTTTGCATAAGTTTGTGATCCACCTTATTATGGGGAATCAGTTGCCAGTTTTGTATGGTTGGAAAACAGGCCCAAAACATAGTCCAACATCTTTGTTGCCTGGGTTTTCCCCCTTACATTACACGTGGAAGTCAAACATTGTCCCCATTTGGGCCTTGGTTTGAGGGTTGGGGTACAGACTGTGAATTTGACAAAGCATCGATATGTTGGATTGGCATATGAATTTGCCTGGATTTGTATATACTTGAAATGAAGTATGTGAAGGAGCTTGTGCTATAACCACCGGTAAATTTTAAATAGAACAGGCCAGAGGGACTATGGCAAATTTCATCCAAGTTGATGACGCGATATGATACGTGATTCTCCACAGGCTTAAGTGACCTTTACCTTGTCTAAGTGACCTAGTTCCCCGATACCACTTCAGAGGGATGTGACCTCTTTTGACGATTTACCCTTTGATTAAGGCCACTTATCCAGAAACACCAAAAAGGTCACAAAGAAGCGTCTGGTAATTGCTGATATCCCATAACTAAGGAACAGAACGGCAATTACTCACTTACCAATCGGTCTAAGTCTGGGAATCACCAAAATGCTGCCGTGGCGCCTTTCAGGCACCGTTATCGCTTGGCATTTTTGGGTGCTTCTCAGACCCAGGTGGAGGCGTTGTTTGCTTTGATTTTCTTGGGGGGATTTGGGTGATGAAAATAGGGATGTCTCAGACTAGACAAATGATATCGATTTGCCGGCGTCATCACCATGATGGTGTGTGTTTATTGTACTGTTTTTGAGGTTGGTGAACTTATAGTTCCGTCCGTTTACTTTAACAGCCAGTTCAAGTGGGAAACCCAACGATGGACCATACCTCATTTTATCAGTTGGGGGGATTCAGAAAGCTACAGCAACTCTGGCTTCAATTGTTGGTTTTCCACATGTCAAGCAAAACAGTCACGCCAAGTAAACCAGCTATTGGTCAGAAAGTGTTTACCGGATTGAACCAATGAGAAGATTCAGAAGATGGATTCAACCTGATAAATTAACCACTGACTATACGTATATATATATATATATATACACATATATATATATATAGCTGATGTGAGGGGCCACGATTTATAATTGAAATTATCGCCATGTTGGGGGGCCATTGAGCGAAACATGGCAATGTTTTGATGGTTCACCTTGCAGTTGATGAGTCATTTGGGTTCAGGGCCAATCTACCCAAGTTTTTTTTAACCGTATATCATATCAAAACATACCAAAAAAACACATTCACAATTTCAGGGTGAAAGCTGAACAACTCCAAAATTTGAGCTACTACATATGTGGACTTGGGTCGGACATATGTCTAGACATTTCACCCATCATACCAATGTTTGGTGATTTTCTATTGTTCTATATTATTTGAAGATAAAACTCCATCAGGGTCCAACAAGATAAAATAGGGAAGTATCAACACAGTAGATGCACAAAATTCGCTCTCAACAAATAGGGAAGTATGTGATACAGATATCATAATGGTTTTCATTATGTGATACAGTATAATAATGATTAATGTACTCGTATGATATAATCATGTTATAATGGTCAGATGTTTTAATGGTAAAATATAATATGATATAATTACCGTTAATGGTTATGAATGGAGATACATCATCTGATGTAGGGGCTGTCCGGATCCAGCCTCTGCGGCGGTTCCCTTTGGTAGTTGAACCTGGCAATGGAAAATCACCATTGTTAATAATCCCATTATTAAACACCACCATTCAATGGTCTCAATTATGTGGAAATTCCCTACTAAACCATGGTTTCTGGAGGGGTGTTTAATATTAGGAAAGGGATTAGCCAAATGTCTTAGCCTAAAGCGTCATTCTTAGAATCACCCTTGTTCATCAGTGTTCAGACCAAGTTTAGGTCTAAATCATCGAACTAAATGGGTCATCTATACCACAGCCACGGAACACAGCATGGTATATCTCCGTGAAGACTCATTAATATTAACATTATATTCCTTATCAAAACCCAAATTATCCATAGTATATAATTCCTGTTTTTCCAAAATTATATAATATACCAATTAAATTGCCATTTAAGATTCTACTATGTTTCAATTATTATCATTACTATACATCCCTTTTTAACCACATCAAAACCATATTAAACGACCATTAAAACCTCCATTGTCCTATGTCAGTCACCATTTTGGATTGAAAACCCACCGTTAAATCACATTAAGTCTTTGTTTGTTGATGGTTTCCAGCATTAAACTCACCAAGCATGACACCGCTCAGAAGCACAGTTTTTTATGGAGAAAGTTCTTGCACCGAGCGATCAGGAAACTCGAGTTGCAATGCTTCATTGCCTGGAAAAGGTTCTTCAAAGACGCAAAAGCGCGATCTCGGCCAAGAAGGGACCATCATGGCCCATCTAACACGTCTGGCTTGGCCCCCCCCCCACCCTTCTTCTTGACACGCGCTGGGAAGACCCCCCCAAGGACCCTTAAAACGGAGCAAAAAGGAGTCCGACCAAAAAAATATTTAAAATCACCAATAAACATTAAATTAAATCCCTATATTTGTTGATGGTTAAAATCACCTTGAAATCACCAAGAAGTTCCGTTAAAACCCTAATTTACCGGATTTCGTGGCAGGTTCTCGAGCCCCTGCCGTTGGACCTCCAAGCCGCCCTGGCCCATGTGCTGCCGGGCGATGCCGGCGATGCCTCGCTCAAGGCATTGCAGTGCCTCAGCTCGGTCACACCCTGCTGTCGGGGACATTTAAAAAATCATATGTCCAGGATGGTTTGAATATGAAGGGCATTTTTTTGTTAGATGTTCTTAGTTAACTAGTTCGTAAATTGATTATTCATTGGGATTTGTCCTGGTTTATGAAACCCAGTCACCATCCCCAAACAACTGGATGGATAGTTTCATCGTTTAGTCTTTTGCTGATGGAACGTAATCAGCCAACCAGCAAGAAAAGGCGACCATGTTTTTATTGACTATCAAACATTGACCATGTTCCCAGGAAGGTATGAAACTATGTATGAGTTCGATGGTGCTTCCCCACAATTTCCAGGTGGGTAACTTTCTATCGTTTTTTGGTGCTTGCTATATGGCAATCCCATGGAATCTGTGCCCAAAAGTGGAAGGTTTACCTGATTCAATGGCAATTGCAAAGGGAAAGTGGTGATTAGTCCGTAGATTTAAACATCAGACCAAATACCTTCTCAGGATTTATACGGAAGTATTTGAGGTATGATTCAGCGTGGTTCAGTACCTTCTGAAGGAAGTATTTGGTTTGGACTGATGATAGGGAATGGCAAAACCAATAATAAACCGTGGAACTATTGCTTCAAACAACAGGTAACGGGTTCGTTTTGGAGCATGGTAGGGCCTTGTCGGTCGGGCTATGAAAGCAAAGGCCCGGTTTGAACTGGAAGGAATGGGTGAGGGCAACCCGTCATGTGCCGTTAAGCATACGGGCCAAAACTTAAGACTCAGCGAATCCGCAATGTCTAACCCATGGTCAAATCTATCCATGGCGTATTTTTGTTCTGCCACAATTGATTTTGATGGTATTTCAGAGAAAATTGCAGGACACATCCGTCTTTGATGGGGAAAAAAGCATGGTTGCATGATGCATGTTGTTTCAGTAAACTTTCCCTGGAAAACTTGCAGAGCTGAGGTTCTGGCAGAGTGGTTCCCCGCCACAGTGCTGGGAACAGCTTCCAGGTCTTGAAAAGTGACTGATCGGTGGGCCGGGTTTATGGATTTGTTTTGTGCAGAAATATCAGAAATACCCTCCGGAGTCAACGTGGCCATGGCTAGCTGGGATTTTTTCTGACACGAATTATGTAGGTTTTGATAGGACAATATCATATACCTATAAATGATGAATTTTCCAGCAAACCATGTTTGATTACCGGAAGGTATGTGTCTTTAAGTGCAAAAGGGAGCAAAAGGATAGTTGGTTTCTATTGTGCAGGATATCTAGGGTTGGCTATGTTGAGAAAATCTGAGAATTGCCAAGTTGACCCTGTTTATTGGCGATTATCTTGCATAAAGCAACCATAGAGTTGTGGAAAGTGAGCCCGCCGAGTTGATCTTCCTTTTTGAACATGTGCAATTTTGATGGTCGACGATCGATTCAAGCGGAGTCATGTAGCACAATGATTTGTATAATGTAGTAAACCCAATTTCATCCATTAATCATCCCAAAAACCAACCATAGAAGGGGGTCATGTTACACAATTTTACATCATCATACCAAATTTCATAAACCTCAAAAAAGGCGATGGTGCTGAAGCCCGGGCTTACCACAGTACAGTACATTGGTTTCACCACCGGAGACCAGGAGAGAGATGGGGATTGACCGAATCTCAATGAGTGACCGACCGGGACACCGTATTACAGCTTCTCACGCTATGAGCGCAGGAAAGAGGGTGTAAATTAATTATGATAATTAACTATAATATATATATATATATATATATTAATCGTGATACATAAATACCACATGGTTGAAGTAGTTCACTTAATTATATATGATACTTCTGCACCCTGAATGTTCTATCACTCAACATTGCACGACATGTCTGGTGTAATTGGTTTGGCACGCCGGGCCTGAAATTTTAGTATGCCCGCATTATTTGGAAAAACATCAAAAAACAACACTGGTTGCTGAACCATCCTGTGTTTATCCGTTTCTATTGTTTACATTCCTATATATCTATATCTTGGTTTGCGTAGTTGGGTCGACTGCGCATGTGATTTCACAAAATCACCCGCGAATGGTTCAAGCATATGCAATATATTAAATATATATAGATATATAGATATGTATGTGTGTATCCCCCAAAATGTATGGTGATTGCCGAGAAGATTAACATTATGAGTTCCTTGGTGCCACATGTTTGAGCCATACTTGTGTACAGGCGTTATTTTTGTTTACTTTATGGTATCAACCGGAAGAAATGGTCGATTGGACCAGCATGCGAAGAATCACTGGTCGCGAATGGTGCCCCCAATCACTGGTCCCTTAAATGCTGTCCACTGCTATAACCAGAACAAGCTTTGGATGTATAGTCTCATAGTTTAGTACTTGTTCGGTGTGTGTGTTTTCTTTCATATCTATATAATTCTATAATATTCTATATAAATGTTATATATATATGTGCTAACCAGCTACCCTTCATGTTCTATTTTCATCTCAGCTTGGCAATGTCTGGACTCAAGCCCCATGCAGCGTCACGAGGGTCCCCATGCGCTCCTTCCGGCGGTGCGCCAAGTGCTCCAGCTGCACGGCGGGGCGTTGCCGGCCTCGATCCTGGGCGATGAGCTGAGACGAAGGTCGCCAGAGCTGTGGAAAGCCTGGAAGTCCCAAGGTTCCCAAGGTGGGAGACAGTGGGAAAGTCTTGGTTAAACGGTTAAATCTATAAATGTTAGATGAAGGATACTTATATAAATATTATAAATGTTGTACACATGTTATACCTAAGATCAACTTTCAAAGATGGATTGATTAATAGAAGGTTCCCCCCATATGGTGATCTCTGGTGATTTAGATGTTCATCCCCATTGACTATACTGCAGGGTAGAGCAGGGAGCTAGGGAGACAATTTCAATCAATTTCAGCCCAGCTCCCAGCCAGGTGAATCCAGTTTGGTGCGTTTGTGTGCAACTGCGGAAGGGTTTTCGGTGGAAGACGTGTCAAGCTCACATGCCGAGCCTCTGATCCGCTGTGACACTTCAGTTTCCGGAGGCTACCTACAAACTGATGATCAGGTTGGAGGTGGCCCTAAGGCGAATCCTCTAAATGATCAGGAGAAAGTCATCTACAGTTCTGAGCCTGAAGATGTTGCAGAAAAATCCCTGGAAGTGAGAAAGGCTTTAAGCAGCCGCATGCTGCGACATACGGAAGGGAGCAATGGTGGGCCAGTGCCAGTGGCATGGCTGACCGTTGCATGTGAGAAGGAGCTTTTGCGACACATACGTTTGTTCCCACAGTATCTTGGCAATTTATGGTGTCCTGCCAGATGCCAATTTTTGACCATCGGAGGTGTTCTGTGGTAAACCGTGATTGATTCACGCTGACATGGGGACATCTTCTGACACGGGGGGTGACATCAGTGATCCCCAAGAAGGAGTTTCAAGTTTTTGAAGGAGGTTGAAACCACCAATCAGTAAATCTGTAGATGTACATATTGTTGAATTTGTTGGGGGCGAAGGGCAGATCATCAAATCAAAGGTATGAGCAAGAGATTGCGCAACGCCTGCCACATCTAGCAGATTGTTTGAGCGAATGCACTTGCGCAACAGTCACTTCACAAACTGGGAAGGCAGTACGAAAGAAACGTATGGCGTATCGGTTGGTTGCCCTGATTTCAGAGGCCACGGATGCTGGCCAGTGATCAAGATAGGTTTTCTTTGTCACCCCTAAACATGGGATGAGTATCCCAACTCACTGGCATTTACTAATAGTGGATGCATATAGCAAATATATATATATATATACAACTATCAACTATCTATCTATTTATCCATCGATCTATCTATTACTATCTATCTATCTATCTATCAATCTATCTATCTATCAATCTATCTATCTATCTATATCTATCTATCTATATCTATCTATCTATCTATCTATCCATCCATCTATCCATCTATCCATCTGTCCATCTGTCCATCTGTCCATCTGTCCATCTGTCCATCTGTCCATCTATCCATCTATCCATCTATCCATCTATCCATCTATCCATCTTTCCATCTATCCATCTATCCATCTATCCTTCTATCCATCTATCCATCTATCCATCTATCCATCTATCCACCTATCCATCTATCCATCTATCCATCGATCCATCGATCTATCGATCTATCGATCTATCGATCTATCGATCTATCTATCTATCTATCTAATTATCTAACTACCTATCTTTTTATCTATCTATCTATCTATCTATCTACCTATCTATCTATCTATCTACCTATCTATCTATCTATCCATCTATCCATCTATCTATCTATCTACCTATCTATCTATCTATCTATCTATCCATCTATCCATCTTTCCATCTATCCATCTATCCATCTATCCATCTATCCATCTATCCATCTATCCATCGATCCATCGATCCATCGATCCATCCATCTATCTATCTATCTATCTATCCATCTATCTATCTATCCATCTATCCATCTATCCATCTATCCATCTATCCATCTATCCATCTATCCATCTATCCATCTGTCCATCTGTCCTTCTATCCATCTATCCATCTATCCATCTATCCATCTTTCCATCTATCCATCTATCCCTCTATCCCGCTATCCCTCTATCCCTCTATCCCTCTATCCATCTATCCATCTATCCATCTATCCATCGATCCATCTATCCATTTTTCCATCTTTCCATCTATCCCTCTATCCCTCTATCCCTCTATCCCTCTATCCATCTATCCATCTATCCATCTATCCATCTATGCATCTATCCATCTATCCATCGATCCATCGATCCATCGATCTATCGATCTATCGATCTATCGATCTATCGATCTATCTATCTATCTAACTATCTAACTACCTAACTATCTAACTACCTATCGTTCTATCTATCTTTCTATCTATCTATCTATCTACCAATCTTTCTATCTATCTATCCATCTACCTATCTATCTATGTATCTATCTATCTATCTATCTATCTATCTATCTATCTATCTATCCATCTATCCATCTATCCATCTATCCACCTATCCATCTATCCATCTATCTATCCATCTATCTATCCATCTATCCATCTATCCATCTATCCATCTATCCATCGATCCATCGATCCATCGATCTATCGATCTATCTATATATATATATATCCTATCTAAATCTATCTATTCTTTCTATCTAATCTATCTATCTAGTCTTTCTTTCTAATCTATCTATATAATCGATCTATCTATCCATCTATCTATCCATCTATCCTCTCCATCTTTCCTCTCCATCTATCCTATCCATCTATCCTATCCTATGCTATGCTATGCTATGCTATGTTATCCTATCCTATCTAATCCTATCCTATCCCATCCCATCCTATCCTATCCTATCCTATCTATCTATTATGCATATAACGTTCCGTTTGGGCAGGTGAACCACCTAGGATACCTTCCAGATCACCGTTCTGGATGACCTTCTGAAAAGTCCAGTGACCCTGTTGAAGCCGCCGTCGCCTGCCCCACCTGAGCCCAGCGTGGGGCGCGTGGGGCGCCCGAGTCAACTGGGTGAGGGACGCCGTGCGTGGCGTCGAAGTCTGCCAGAGATGCCCGGGACGGAGGAGGAACTGCGGTGCAAGTTGGAAGCGCTCAGATGTGGTGAAGGTGAAGAAAGTGAAGAAACTGAAGCTGGACACAAGGATAGTTAGCACCTTTTGGTAATCAAACATAGCAATGTGATTTTTTTCATTTCTAGAAGATGTTCCCATTAAAACTCCATTTGTACAGGATGTTCATTTGGTATGTTTGATTACCAGAGGTAACGCCCAACAAGATGCCGAACAGGGGTGGACTCCACTGGAGGTTTCCTAAGCCATAATGTTTGGTTTATAATGGAAAATCCTATAAAAATAAATTATGTGGAGTGGGCACCATCATTTTAGGAAATCCGTATAGTGTATCCAGAAGGGGTTTGAACATGTAGCAGCTACACCCACCGCCGAGATATTGTAGGGTTTCATCCCAGGACATGAGAGTTTTTCTTGGTCAGCTCAGATGTGCTGATGAAACCGAATATGAGCCACTTTATTTGGTCAACCTTGGTAGCTTATAGTTGTTAATGGTTGTCTTACTGGTGCTTAGCAGGGAATGAGGGAATGATCCACAATAACTATTAATAATCATCCCATTCCCCCATTCCCATCCATTCCCTACTAAGCACCAGTAAGTTGTCAATGGTTGTTTCTGTCGGTCCATTTTTTGTGTCTACAAAATGAATAGTTGCTGGGAAAATCCATCCTGCTTTCCATGATTTCACCGGGAAAACTGCAAAATCAGCCATTTTGGATAGCAAAGTTGGTCCAGAGGGTACCTCTTGCACGGTTTTTCTCAATGTTGGATGGCTAAATCACCATTTTGGATGGCTAAATGGCATAGAAATCTCAATTATTGAATTGAATCCCATCATGTACCACCATGCTTCTTCTTTTTTTGCAGCCACTGACTGATGATTTGATGATTTGCGCAACCACCCGGCTGAGTTAGGAACTTTGGTTGCTTCTCCTGCGTAACCAGGGCTCCCGCAGCAAGGAAGCACAGCTGATGGCGTTGGAGTTTCACACTGCGGCCATGGCAGTTGGAGTAGCTTCATGCCACTGGGGAATGCCAGAAAGGAATGTTCAGTTGAGCAATGTTCAAAACCCCCGTGGGTGATAATAGGGGGTTGTACTACACAGATTTCACATAGGTTTTACTGTAACAACTAAAGATAAGGATGTAATTGATATAATTGATACATGATGGTTGGTCGATGATTAGTTCGGGGACTATACTACCTACCCTTTATATAGTATCATTATAATTAATCCATGATGGGAATCCCTATCAACCAACCGCTAGGGAAGCCATGGCGGAGGATACAAATGATCACAACTCAACATTCAGTAACATGTCTGATTTTGCACATGATTAGGGCATTCAAGTTTTGTAATGATTTAATGAATATTATTTAGCAAAACATATAATATTCCGGGGTAAAATATCATGTTTAGGCTACTCTGGGCCGTCTTAAAGGTGATGTTTTTATGCAGCGAAAATCCTTCAGGCCATCTCCAAGAAATCGCCCCTGGAATGCTGGCACTTCGGGTGTCCCAGGACTGAATTTAGATGGTGAACATGCATGAAAATGGTTATTTAATGTTTTTTTAATGGTGATTTAATGGAACATTTGACGGAACATCTTATGTAAAAAAATGTGGTTGATGAGATCGTCCAGTAAATTGCAATTGAATTCATAGAATAGAATCCACATTTTGCAAGTTCACTGCCTCCCTTACCCTTCTTTCGCGTAGTTTCTTAAAGAATTGACAATTCCCTCCCAGACGTGCTTTGATGCTGAGAACTGATGAAAAAAGTGACCGGATTGCATTGTATAAACATGCAGCGCTTCAACACTATATTTACTGACCTTGGCAATATCAATACGTTTTATCCTTGCATATGGATGCTTCTATATTAAAGTTTATGGTGAGCTTCTTCCATGGTTTCCATATTCACCCTGCAGGGGCATGACAGCCCGGCCGCTGCCTTGCTGACGTTGGTCCCTGGTTTGGTCTCCGTCCGCCGCTGCCTGCGTTTGTGGAACGTGCTTGGAACGCTGGATGATCTGGCGCAGGGCCTGCAGGAGCTGCTAGCGTCTCGGGAGGCGAGACGGTGCCTGAGACGGTGCCAGGCTAGAGGTCTGTACCATATAAAGCTATGGAAATTGAGGGTATGTTGCTGAAAGTTAGCTTTTAGGCCTCATATATGGAAGGTACCTCCAGAATGGGTACGTGGCCATTGAAGAAAATGGTCATATTATGGGAATTACTGGTGATATATGTTGATGAACGAACCATTTAGTGAGGATATAGTGAGGACAGTGTGGGGATACAATGGGATGTATAGCCAAGACTATCATATGCAACTACATGACAATTTGTGGTGTTTTGACATGGCTAAGTGGGAAATCTCGGCAGATAAATCGAGGTGTACATCTGAGAAAATAATTGAACTAGCTGGGGGATCAATTCAACACAAGTATGGAAGACATTGCCCATTCATAGATCTTCTATGACTAACAATGGTGATTTTGCATTGCTGTGTGACACAACTCCAGAATGTATACAAAATCCACTTCTTACAACTAGGCAATCTCTGAACCGGAAACACATGGATTGCCATAGCTATGTCGACGTTTACACCATGCAACCCACCAGAATGGCGATAGAATGCGGTAACTGATGGGATATAGTGGGATCACCGATCACTGATGGAATAGACTGGGTTATCAACAAATAACGGTTTGCCTTGGAACACAATCTTGTGTATTTGACAAATCATGATAAAGCGTGAGATTTTTTGGGTACCACATGTTCAGCCAAACCCATACATTATAAATATCCCCTTGCCACTAGCACCATGAAAGTGAGCTTGATTCAGTAGATAGATGTCATACTCCTGGCAACAGTATGCCTCAGGTCCTGTCCTCCTGGTGGTTAGATGTGGAACTGCGTGAAGCTCCAGTGAATGCTGCTTGTTTGCCCCTGAAGCGTTCGCATGGGGCCGAAGTGGTGCTGAAAGTGATCAGCAAAATGGCTGAATCCGTGTATGGCATGGTGGCTGGTCATTTCACTGGCCATGCAACAGGAACCGATTTATTGGAGGTTCGGAGGTACCTACCATATATAAGGCCTATGTAAGGGCTATGTAAGGGGATATACCCCCAAAATATGGTCTTATATGGTACGTACCTCCATTTTAGGATCCTGGAATTCCCATTGATCATTGCTCAACTTTCCAACTTTCCACTCTGAATTGCCAAGGGATCAAGACACGTCAAGAGCCAACATGTCCAAACACCACCACCTTACTAGCTGTCCTATTGTGGGGTGGTTTTCACCCGTGTCACCAAGGAGGGATCCTTTTTGATCCTTTTTGGACCGCACTTTTTGTAGCATTTAGCACCAAGGTGCCCAAGTTGCGTGAAGCCAGGGAGGATCCTCAGCATTTGCAATTGGTCCTCTTGGAGGCTGAGGGAGGTGCCTATTTGCTGGGCCAGGAGCTGGATGTCAGGCAGGGGTGGACTACAGCCCAGAATTAGAGGATCATCTTCACTTTTGTTGGTAAAGCAGTAGTCAACCATCCCCCTTTTCACCATAAATGGGTGGTATAAACCATAAGAATATGGATGGATTATTATTCCTTTACTAACATTGGTCATAGTCATTGAAAATCGTTGCAAAGTTGATGTAGAAAATCCAAACAAAATGGACATTTTACAAGCCCCCTGTCAGGCAAAACAGGTCTCCAATGTGCGCGTTGCCCATGGCCTGTCATGAGGCTTGGCTGAAGCGCCCCTTTCATTTCTCAGCGGGGCTGGATTCTTGGGTGGCCAATGCTGTACTTTCTCTGGCAATTATGGAGTTCCAGGGCCGACACGGGCGGAATCCCAGCACCCTTTTGGATCCTTGTTGTGGGAGTGGCACCTTGGCCGCGATGGCGGCAGCTTCAGGGATCTTTTCCCAGGTCTTTGCTCGGGATGTGGATGAGCCGTTTTTGCAGCGCGCCACCGAGAATTTCGCTCATTTCTCGACGCATGCCCCATTGTCAGCCCTTGATGTGGGAGTTCATGATGCTGCAACTCCTTTCAACCTCCCCCAGCCAGATATTATCATAGCCAATCCACCTTGGGGTTGGCGCATTGGTTTGGCCCGCACGGCCTCCACCGAAGAAATCCTGGCCAATTTGCTGCACCAATTCCCCAGCGCAATTGTGGCAGTGATTTGCCCGGAATTGCCAACGCAGCTGGGACAGTTTCAGGTGCGATCCAGTTGTGCACTAGGCCAAAGTGCCGTATGGATCCTAATTCCAGGAGAGAACCAACGGGAAAAAGTGACTGCCACCCATGCCAACGTAGGTGCTGCATGGTGCTGCCATGTTGGCGACAGTAGCGCTAAATTATGGTTTTGTTTCTGCATGTTGATTAACACAAATGAATACAAATGAAGGATATTAATGGCAGTATTTACGTGTATTTATATATACACATGATACAGACCTTTGATGCCGGCATGACCAGAGGCTGGAAGGGCAAAAACCAGTCGTGCAGCTGTTTTTATCAACATGACCAAGCCAATCAGCGAGAGAAATGCGCATGCCTCACTCAATGTTCCATGGACATGTTTGATACAAATTCACGTGTCAGCGATGGAGGGAGAGAGAGAGATAGAGAAAGAGAGAGAGAGAGAAAGGAGTCACATTTCACAGCACAAATTGAGATTGTTCGCATCACCCGCACATTGTCAGCTTTTCAGCAGCTGTGTCTCTCTCTCTCTCTCTTTTTCTCTCTTGGCAAAAATTTCTTCTAGACCTCTGCCAACGATAGATGCATGATGCATGTGTCTAAAAATTGTGTATGCCCAAAATTACAATGTCAATTTGGAATATAGTTTAAGTTCTTGCTTGGATGGGCCATGGTAAAAACGTGATTCCTGGTTGATAGTTGAATTATAATTCCCACTATAATCCACCAAAAAACCAGCTTATAATCCATTGACTAACTATAGTTAACTAACAAATCATGGCCCATCTAAGTGTTTAGTTGGGATTTCATTATTTTTCATTAAATTTACATATGATTTTTCCAGCTATATACGGTATACCCAACCAAAAAAAAAAACATGCATGTTCATGAATTTTATCAATTTTTCCCATGATTGTCCCAGCTATAAACCTCCATTGAGTTCGGGGATTTCCCAGCCCAAATGGCCCTGGGAACGTGACGCCATGATACGGTGGCAACGATGAAGATCCTAGGGACAGGGGCCTCGGTCCCACTTGGGAAGGGCTTGGGAAGGGCTGAAAAGAATGGAAGCTATGAACATTTGCCACCCAAAACATAGACAAAAATATGTCACTATGTTGGTTGTTTTCTAGTCGAAGTTGGCGATTTCAATGATTCTTATATGGGAATTACGATACTACATGATCAGGCTTTCATTGAACGTTCATCGCATCCCATTGCCTTTTTCTCAAGCCGATGTGCGATGCTTTTTCTTGAAGCCAAGGCAGAAAGTGGCCCGCGCCACAGTGGAGGCTGTGTGGGTTTGGGCCACCTCTTTCACCCCACTAATTTGGGCTCAGCTGGCTTTCAAGCCGGGTTTCCGGGCATATAGAGCTGTCTGGGCACCCATTAGTTGTTAAGAGATCTCAAACCGCCATAAAACGACATGTTGGATTATTATAATGCATCCCCATCTTTATTGCCATCTAATCCCATGTTTTGGAGATTCCATCCCAATGGCAGTATTGTTATTGTTGGTCATATCATCCACATGTGTGTTGGCAATATCCGTTGTTTTGAGGATGAAATTTGCAGGTTGGATGCTATTACAGCCACTTCTTGATGCCTAATTTCAGTTGTTTTTTTGAAGTCACCTGCCAATATGTGCTGGCTGAAACCTTATATGCACAATAATATTCTTCTTATTGTGGCGAATTTGTTTCTTGATGGTCACAACCCAACTAATCTTGGCCAGACCTCCCATTTGTTGGTGAATCTCCAAAGTTAGATAAGGAAGAGAAATCAGGTTTATTGCCGGAAAATCCCAATTGTATGTTGGTGGTTGATCTAGCATTTTAGGCAGCTTCATCGGTGTTTCTGTTGCTGAAGTTTGCATGTGTGATAATTAAATCCTTACTGTTATGAATAAATTCCCATCTGGTTGGCGGTTTGGAACATTTATTATTTTTCCATATATTGGGAATAATCATCCCAACGGACTAATATTTTTCAGAGGAGTTGAAATCACCAACCAGTTATCGTTTGCAGGTTTTTGGTCACCATCGTTGCTGGTTCAATCAGGTGGATGGCCTGGTTCAAGGACGCATCGGCACCGGCCTGGTGCTGATGTTGGGCATCAGGCGGGGGGTTGAGGATTAACGTCCATTAAGCCATCAATAACAGTTTTAGTTTTAATAGGGGTTATATTGGCCTTTAATAGTTTTTTAATGATACTCATCACCAACACCGTATCAATAACCAATGGGTGATATAATAGTTCGTAATAATGATGTCAGCATCATTATTTATACCCATTAATAGTTGGTAATAGTGATAATAGATCAATCATCTAAGATTGCTGTGGTGATTTCAATTATATCCGTTCATGGGTATAGTAGCCATAGTAACAATAGTATATATATATATATATTTATATGTATCAGTTATATGATTATGATTATCTTTGATACTAATAGTAACTATCAATGTTATCAGTGATGCTTTGAATGGTTTTGAATAGCATGAACCGACAGTTACAGTAAATATCCATTGACCGGTATAGTAATCGCAGTTATTGATGGAATGGTGGGTTTCACCATTCTCAGAAGGGTGACTCAACCAACAAGAATTACGGAAATTTCATGGGGACCTGGGTACAGTAACCACAGTTTATATATATATATATATTTATGTATATACATATATATATACATATGTATATATATATATACACATATTTATATATATATATATATACACCTATAACCCCCAGAAGTCGAGACATAACCCCTTCTCGCAAATACTTGGGGTGCAGTGGGTGGTACTGTGTAACTATAACTATACTCGAGAGATGGTTGACACGACGAATCTCTTGAGTTACCAAGATGTTGTGAGACTTGCCCATACGAGTGATAATTCCACTGCGAAGCAAGATGACACACACATCAGTAACTGAAATGGGAAATAAGGGGAATGGATAGACGTATACCGAATGGGATGAAGGTTAACATTGCAGCAGATGCCTGCCAAAAGCAATAGTTCATGGGTAACAATCCACTTTATCCAGTTTCAGACCACAAATGTTGGTATCACCAAATCAGGCCTGATTACATGAGCTTATTACTGCAAATGCTATGAACCTTCATCAAGCCCTATGAGTGCGACATATTCAGATATATGAAGTCCCTGATTGTTGGGGTGGGGTACCGTTAGGGCACCCTGAAGCTTCGAACATGATATCAGTAGGATTGGATTATTCGTTACCCAACTCCACGGCCAAGGGAAGGAACCTCCGACGAAGAAATCGAAACTGCTGCCTCGAAGGTGCCGAAATCTGCGGAAAACTGCTGCTTTTGATGGTTGAAATTGCATCCAAAACAAGGGGTGCAGAGTTGAGTCATGATGAGTCATGTAGATATGAGTAAAATATGGAAAACATGTGGGTTTTTACATGTGGTAGCCATCCAAGGGGGAGGCAAAGGGGCCGCAAGGGCAACAGTGGTCATAGTGTTTAATTGTGTTCATCCCAACCTTGGATGACAATCCCAGTTGCTTATAATATACATATATATATATTATATTATAATATATGTATCTAATTATATATTTAATTATATGTATATATGTTGTCCTTTGCTTCATTTTCACGCGCTTCAATTCTATTTGGGATATTCTACGGTGGTGATATAGTGTTTTTTGGGGATGGGTTCTAAGTTGAATTGTCTTCCAACCCCATAACTGGCAGGGTGGATGTTGGTTGGATGGATGATACACCCTCTGGTAACATAGCGTTCTGCAAGAACACAACTTAGTTGACTTAGTTCGATGATTTTCCAATTGAAACCACATTTTTTCCATGTTTGGTATGTTTTCCATGATTTCCCATGATTTTCCAATTGAAACCACCTTTTTTAAAGGGATTTTCCAGCCAGCCATGTTTGATGACACCAGAGGGTATCGTAGGCGGGGCCTGGATGTTTCACCATGGCCAGGTCATGAAGCTGAAACTGTGGCCGGAAACGCTCCCAGGTGCGTCGACCTGGATCTGTGCGAATCAACGGCGTTATTTTTTTGGTAACGGCTATGTAAGGGTATATGCGCCCAACACATGGCTTTATATGGTACAGTACCTTTGGGTACTGAAACTCCCATTGAGATGATGGGTCCATTGAAAGTGATGGGAGCAAAACATGAAGGGTTTAACCATCCTTAACCATCAAAAGAACGTCATTTCACCATCAAAAGTAGGTGTCTACGGGGATTTTTACAAGTGGTATAGACTGAGGAAAGATGAACATACGTTAGTTTGCTACGTAGCTATGGTTATGGTATAGGCCCATGAAGTTCGATGATGTACTGTTTTTGAAAGATGATTAATTTCCATAGCAAACTGTTAAACCACCAGAGGTTTTAACGGTTTTGAAACGGTCAAGGTGGATTCGAAGTTTGAATTTTATTCTTGGACAGACCTCCAATTAAGGATACATGGCCAGGGAAACTCGCTTTCAGGAAGGGCAAAATTAACTGTTATATGTATATATATATATGTGTGTGTGGTGTTTTATCGTTGACATATACTCATAGGAATTCTATAAGCCCCCGATGATCGCTGGGGAAATAACTATATAAGCCCTTATGGACATAGTTGTTGGTGGTTAAGTTTCGCCCTTAATAAGCTCAGATCTTCAATTTGGGCGGTCTCCTTTGTGAGCAGTTATATCCATGTTTGATATACCCTCCAGCAATCAAACGTGGCTGCCAGATCCACCATTTACAGCCGATTTCCCATATAAAACCAAAACCTCCAGTTAGTTTCTGGCCACTGCCTTCCGGCAGTCTTGACAGATGGCGATGGAGAGAGAGAGAGAGAGAGATTTCGTTCGGGGATTTCCCATTGCGAGGTTTGATTGCTGGAGTGTATTAGTCCATTGCAAGATGAGATGACCAAAAGGGTGTTCGGATCATCAACTGTGACAGGCTGGAACATCACCCAGACGTGGGTTCATGACTTACTGTACCCACTTGAAGAAAATGGTGGTGCCCCCAAACATTATGTTTGTGGGTGCATTAACCCGTGATACTATAGCTACTATACTGTAGCTATACTGTAATCACAATAAACCCCACACTTAACCTGTTTAATACCACCATTTAGGGGCTCGGCTACCATTTGCACTCATTTGCAACAGTTTCAGTGTTGGTTGAGTTGTTAGTGTAGCCTCAGTCGTCCGCACATTCTTGGTTTTAACAATTCATATGATTGAATACCATCCCTCTAGTATGAAATACCTGCATTGTATTGTCCCAAAACATGCATAAATGTCCACTAGGTCACCATGGTTTCTTTGTGGTGTTTCATATTAGGATGGGATTACTGCATAGATGCCACACCGGGCCACACCAATCGATTCCCATCGATCACCCCAACCCATTTCTATGTTTGGGTCCACCCCTGACATGACAGGCGAAGAGATGCCCAAACCGTGATCTCCTTAGAGCTCTGCATGGGTGCTATGGTAAACACATCCCCAAATAGAAGTTTTTTTGCGGGGGGTTCCCACACCATTGATGTGGTTTTCATGGGTTTGATTTGTGTTTTTTAATGCGTGATTTAATTGTACCATTGATATAACAACTCTGAGATGGAGCTTACTTTTTAAAGATGTTTTCGTGGCTTGTTCATGGCTGTTTAAGGGATCCATATATTTTGTTTATTCTTTCAATGGACATTACAGCCCCCAACTAACAGTTTCACCTACAGTTCCACCTTTAAAATGATCAATGTCTAGTGGTTTCACCAGCCATCATTTTTTCTCATCAAATCTTCCTGCAGTTTTTATTTGGGGGTCGTTGTTTGGCCATCATGCTTGGGGATGCCTAGTTTTTGGGTGAAGATCCCTTGACTTGCTGTATAGATAGCCGTGATTTTGGGGTACGGGTAGATGAAACAATCCACATACACCATTATCATATAAACCCTCTGGTAACTTGTTTAACAGTTTGCTATTGAACATGGCCTATAGAAATAGTTGATTTACCGATCTTGAAGATGGTGATTTTCCATAGCGGACTGTTAGTTTACCAGAGGGTATTATTTGATCTCCGTAAGTCTAGATGGATGTATTCCCCAAAAAATGGATCTAGATTGCGAAAACCGCTCTGATCCCCATCAGATAGGACTACCAATGAGCCAATGAGTCTGAATATAGTTGGTTCGTATGGATGATACAGATTTTGAAAGGTACCTGCTGGACTGGGTGCACTTGTACTTAATTAATTTTCCATACCACACGAAAAACTGGTGGTGTAAATTCTTTCGATCAATTGGCATATGTCCTCAGAATTTATAGATGTTCTGTCTCAACTTCTGGTGGTTATAAGTTTCAACCTTCTTTCTCGTATCTTGTTGGGTCTCCTTGTCAGTGTTACATACCGATACACAATTCCAAGATTAGGCACTGGTGTTTTCTCTTCCTATTCAAGGGACGTATCAAATGGTCGAAGATTCGAGACGTGGCCATTCGAAATGCTCATGTCCGAGGAGTTGGATTCGTGGCTTACAACCATGATATAGCCTGGTCATGAATATATATATATATATATGTATGTGTGTGTGAAATACTCCAGATAGATAGATAGATAGATAGATAGACAGACAGACAGACAGATAGATAGATAGATAGATATAATATCTATATTTTGGATTGAAATGGGATAATCACGGGGTGTTTGAATTATGTTGGCTATTGAAGGTAGCTATCGATCATCACCATGAGTAGGCAAATCATCATACAAACTCTATAAATGGGCCATTTTCCGTAGCTATGTTCAACAACCAGAGGGTATAGAATATACTCCAGTCATTGACTTCCTCCAATCGACATAGAGTTTGTGGCGTGGTGCAGCGAATGTGCCCGAGTTCCTGGATCAATGGGAATTTCAGGATCCTAAAATGGAGGTACTAACTTAACGTACCATATTTTTGGCAATATTTTCTGGGGATATTCCCTGAAATTTAGCCCTGAAAACAGGCCATATATATGGTATAACCTCCAATAAATCGGTTCCTGAGATGGCCAGTGATCCCGGGCGACCAATGGTCTGCAACGATACGTCAGACCCACGTTTGTTCCCGAAGTCTTGAAACGAAGTCATTACATGGTTGATTGTCGCTCAAAGAGGTATACCCTTTGGTTGTTTAACATAAATTTGGAAATAATGGCACATTGAAAGATATGTGTTGATAAAGTGGCTATGTTTCATCGCTACGTTTTTTCCCTGGATGAAACGCAAACGTTCCTACATGTTTTCCGTAAAATAAGTCCATTGAACTGGAGGAAAGTGTCCAGAGTCCAGTTCCGTTTCACATCATCCCTTTGAAATAGGCTTGAACGTGGAACGGGCCAAGAGATTTGTTGGGAATCTATATCGAAAAACCAGATGTTTATCATATGTTGTCTCATGTTGTTGATGAACTTCCCATTGCCAGAATGGATGTTTTGTTTTTTCGCTACCGCTACCCCAATGACTTGACCCGAAGAATCCTGAAGCCGTATGAAGTTGGATCTCGCCATTTGCATATACTCATATATATATATATAGTCTAATTATTATTATTGTATACAGTACATATTATATTATATATACACATGGAAAGATAGACAATTTATATCCACCCATTATGTCCGCAATAATTTTTGGAGAAACCCACCGTTTTTCATTTCGTGGGTAGAATTCCTTGGCTGAATCAGCATTTTTGGTGGCTGAATCAATCAATGTTGATGCTTCAAAAGCCACTTGAGCAATGTTAAAGCCCCTTTTCCTTGATAAGTTCGGGCTTTGTATTACCTTGGGGATGGCCAGATCCATTGTGATGGGAATCATTGACTTTGACCAAGCCCTTTATTGTGGAAAGACAATTATAGGGGTTCTGCTTTTTTGAACCAGCAAACATTGGAGAGTTCGCCGATTTCGCCAGCAAACCGGAAAATCAACAATTGAACATGTGGATTCTTGTGGCTGCAGTTGATGTTACTTCTATGGCGGCTATAACCGTGGTTATAAACACCCCAAACTATGGTAAAGCCCGATATGTTGGGATATGAGGCCCCTCAATATGCTGAAATCGATCCACCACTCGTTTGTGCTTCGCTGCAGTTCCAGCTGACAGCGCTGAGGCCCAAGTTGGCCAACGTCGTGGACAAGGGCTATGAGGTTTTAGTTCTGCTACAGCAGTCTTTGTGCCCGGGGCCATAGGGGTGCACTTCCCATGAATGTTTAGTCTAAGGATACTAAGGATGATGATTTGAAAGATTTTTTCTTTTGGGGAGGGGTGTTTACATGCGAAAGATAATGACTTTCATGGTGATTTTCTTGGAAACATGGTGACTTGATACTGGGAAAACAATCCAACGGCAAGCTTCCGCTGCCAAACCACGAGGGTTTAAGACCGATCATATGTGATGTTCCTTAAGTTCAATTTCAATTTGAACAGGAAAGGTGATGATGAGACCATGGAAATGTGGGTTTCAATGTTTATCGCATTAATTACCCAAAAAAGTGGTGCCACGGGCTGCCTGGGCATCATAGTCAAGGTGATGTGCCAGTCATATCGGTTTGTTTATAAAGCCACCTAGCTATACCCATCCCCAACCTTGCATGGGTAGTTTCATCCTTTAGTGTTTTTTTTGAACTGGTTTTGGGGCACCATATAGCAGCAGAAAGTTTAAATTCATTTCTACCATTTCTACCGTAGAAAGTTGTGGCTGTGACCATGTTCCGGCATTGAGGTGCCTCCTTTCCCAGTGCAGCACCGTCCTTGAAGGAGGCGCTGAGCGTCGTTGAGTCGTGGCGTTGGGATGTGCTAAAAAGGGAGTGACCATCGGAGATACTTTTGGGAGTCGAATGGGTTATAAGTGGTTATAACTATATAGATGGATAGTATACAATCGGGAGTTACGAACTTCATTGAAGTTGAAGAATGATGTACTTATAGTAACTACAATAGTAAACCATGAACATGGAGATTGATATCCTAAAATTGATCTTGATATACTGTTCATCATTGGAATTTTTGGGTTGATATTCTTAGATGGGCCATGGACTTAGTTAACTAGTTGATAAATGGGTTATCATTGGTATGCTGAATGATGTTGATCATTGGAACTCGAGATTTATATCGATTGATAGTTGCTGGTTAATTTATTCCAATGGATTAAGAGAACTAAGAGGTTGAAATTTGCAGTTGTATCATGCAACATGGGGGCCGGACAGCAAACACCATGGGGGTTCTATTGGCCATTAGATGTGGTAACCGGCGAATTTGAAATTGTGCAAAACCGAGATACTCGCCCACCCGCGCGCTGTTGCTGGCGAACCAGTCTAGGTTCCTGAGCGGTAATCCTTGGCCACAATTTTCCAGCTCTATCCCATTGTCAATAGCTATAGATAGTTCTTTGATAGCGTTTGATTTTCCCAAACAACTACAGAGACCATACCCGTTGTATCAGTTTACCAGGGAGGCAGCAAACCATAAAGTAAAAGGATGGAGATGATGATCAAACAACATTGATCTTCATCTTCCGTTCCAATATAGAGATTGTGTTTTCCCTTTATACCTTAATGACTTAATGTTTGATAGCAAATATGGTTACATCACAAGTGTGATGCCTAAACCATACCAAATCCATCTTCCCCATCACCTGGCATGTATTTTTCATGGTTTAATCATGAGTTCCACGTCAACTTTCCTATAATCGTCCCATCTAAGTGATCCTTGCCATGAGTCCCATTATCTACTTTCAGAACGTCACTTGGGTTGATTGTTAAATAACACTTTACTTCCATTTTTTCATGGTAGAATCGCCATGAATCACCATTTTTGTTGGTTAACTTCCAACTTTTCAGCATGGTTTTTGTTTATTGTTTATTCATCATTATGTTTGCCGATTAAACCCTCTTAAATCACCAGTGTTGCTGCTTAAATCCCAATAAACATCATCATGTTTGCTGGTGAAATATGGTGAAATCCCATGAAATCATCATTAAATCATTAAATCATCATTTCTGTTGGTTAAGCCCCCCATAAACCAGCATGTCTCATAGGATTTCATCCGCCTTGGGACCAAACTGTTCCGCCACTTTTGTGGAGGTCATGGAGCCTGCCGAAGCGCAGCTGCTCTTCGAGGCGTGACATTGTCAGCCTCATCTTTGTACTGGGTCGGACAGGGCATATTGAATACATTAAATTGCCCAAATGAGTATTAACTATATTCATGGCATTTCATTTTTAGTTCAAAATGGTGATTTAATATGATTGCATGGGAACCTATGAGGCTATGAGGTCTAGAAAGATGAGTCGAACATGAAGGATTGTATCGTGGAATAAAATGACGATATTATGGTGTCTATAAGAAAATTAGTCTGATTTGGGAAGTCATTAGGGAATCCATTATGTATATATATATATATATTTCATACTTGTATAGCTTGTGTATATATATATATGTATTCATTTATATATATATATGTATTGTTTTATTGTAGAGTTGTGCGTATATAGACTAGGGTAGAAACTAAGAGTTTGCTGTGAAAACAATGGCCCAGTTAGTTCAATGATTTACCCGTTGGAAATTGTGATTTTTCATGTTGGGGGGTCACTGAAACAAATCCAACGGTGGGATTCAAGCAGCAAGAAAGAGGGAAAATCATCCATTATACACATGGTAGGTATTAATCGTCAACCATAAAGATATGATCTATGATCTACCATGTTTAATGGTATCTTTATTTAATGAATATGGATGATTACATTATCATAGGTCATAGATTATCTCCATATTTTCATAAATATGGAGATATGATCTATGATTTGTTTTTTAACCGATGAAATAACCGAACGGAACATCCGTGCGAAAACCCAAGGGACATGATCTCGGATAATGGTACTGATGGAGTTTCCAAATGTTATTTCGCAGAAGGTTACAACCAACAAATGGGACTATAATCAGCAGAACATGGAAATATATCAGACGGGACGGTTAGTGTGTATACAGTTTTTCCTGAAAATAATACGGAAGACCCCGAAAGACGGTGTTTTTTTTGTTTTCCCCCTATGAAGCTTTGCAGCTTTGGGGCCAGGGCGCCGCTTCTAGACAAACTCGGATGTAAGTCAGGCATACTGATGTGTGTTTGATTTTCCTGAGCAAGCGGAAGTAAGGAGACCTAAGTGTTTTTTTTTGTGTCCACTGCTGTTTCAGGAGTTCGTGAAGCGGCTACAGCAGCAGTACCAAGAAGAGATGGCCAGGGGCTCAGCGACCCTCAACGTGGAGATGGGTTTCAAGCAGTCAAACGTCTAACCAGAAAAAAAATAGGCTGTCAACCAGCAAGAACAAGGATTTTACCAACAAAATTGGAATTTAATTCAACAATAAAGGCTGGAATTTAAACAGCCAAGGAGGGAAAACGAGTCGTTACACCACATGAACTGCCCATTCGGAAACCTATGTAAGATCGTACAAGACACAAATTGGTTTTGGATTAGTTTCTAAGGAACAACTATGCACATATTGTGGCTGGCTTTCACGCCCTCACGATCCATGCCTCGATGTTGAAGCCATGGCATTTACTATCCTGGGGTCACCAGCAACATGGGGAGCTCGTTAAAGTTTCAACGGGGCATACGGGGGCATACCGGATGCTCACAACTGGTCAAATTGATTCTGTAGACGACGTAATGTTTTTGATGGTCAAAATCAATGGTTTCATACAAGTTGTTCCTGTAAACAAAATCAACTCAATTTCTGGTTGGTTGTTTCAAGCATTTTTTATTTTCAATATATTGGGAACAATAATCCCATTTGACTAATATTTTTCAGAGGGGTAGGTATACCACCAACCAACTTTTTTTTCTCAGTCTGTTCTTTCAACAACCTCCATTGAACCCAATTTGAATAGCTCCGTGGCCTGGCTAAATCACCAAAGCTAAAAATTACCTATACCTGTACCTATACCCTTAGATTCCTGGCATCCCAAGAAGATCTCCGGAAGTGCCCGAGTTTCTACATCTCACTTTTTGGGTTAGAGGTAGTTAGTTAGTTAGTTAGTTTAGTTTAGTTTAGTTTAGTTTAGTTAGTTAGTTAGTTAGTTCCCCTATTGCTCTTTTTTGGCTAGTTAAATCCACTATTGTTATTGGTATTACTTGTCCTTCCAGTTTACAAGGGTAGATGTGGACAGTTCAAAATTGTTTGAGATTAATTCTAGAAACATACAGAAACCTGATCCTTTGCGGTAGAGTAACCATCCAGTTCTATCACCATTCATTATATAAGCGGAAAAACAATGTGTGAGTTTTAGCATCCCAATGATTTGTGGGGAGACATCCCAATGATTTCTTCCACATCCATTTAAACAGTGTTGAACATTTGATGGTTGCCTTGCTTTTCCAGGATTCATTCAGAATCCATCTAGATAATCGCAAGGATTCATAGTTCATTTAGATTGATCCCATTCATGCCCCAGTTTTCATGGCTTCAAAATCCCAATGTCAATACCCTCTGGTTATTTAACATAGCCAAGTATAGATGGCCCATAGAAATAGATGGTGTACCAATTACAAATGGTGATTTTCCATGGCTATGTTAAATAACCAGAGGGTATTTTTCAATGATTTCCAGCTCTCCCCGGACCTCAGGTCCTGGCAGCGCCGCAGCGCGGACACGTGCGGATCGAGAGCACTTCGGATGGTGCGGCGCACGAGCGGTTTTTTCTGAGTGGTTGCGACTGACAGTGGACTGAAGATTTTTGGATGTTTCCAATCATGTGGCGATTGAAAAATATATAGAGAATATATGTGCAAGCACATAGGTCTGTAAATATTACCAGTTATTTTTTGTTTCTGTTTTCTTTACATATGTTTATGATGTTGAGATGCTGCTATTTCTATTCGTTCTATAAATATTTATTTTTTGGAAAAAATAAGAAAAAATAGGATTCAGAAATAGGAAAAAAATAGGGTTCCAGAACTCAAATAGGAAAAAAAAGGACTGCCAAACCAAGATGAACCACAGCTTCAAATTTGGGAACAACACCAACACAAAACACAAGCAGAGCCTTCCACGTTTTATGAGGAATGTCACTGTGGATATATGTGGGTCCACTGCCAACCTGCGTATGGTGTTGCATCTATACATGTAAATGTTTGGATATGCCCCATGCGTGTATGTAAGTAATTGCAATTGCTGCTGCTGCGTTCGCAATTGGAAAAGGAAAGGAACCGAAAGCAGACATTGAATCTTGAAGGCACCATCTGCTTGGGGGAGCTGGCTAAACGATTGAAATAATGAGCCAATAACTTGTGAACTGCGTGACGTTCGGCTCGTCCCAAATTCAGCAATAAGCGTGGCGCTCCCACACCCCTTTCCTCCTCCCCCCGCTTCCTCCCCCTCCTCTCCCCCACCCCTATTTTTTTCCTATTTTTTTCCTATTTTTGAATTCTATTTTTTTCCTATTTTTTTCCTAATTTTCTAAAAATGGGCTGCTAGCTATTTCCTATTTTTTTCCTATTTGTTTCCTATTTTTTTCCTATTTTTTTCCTTAATTTTTTTCTTATTTTTTCCTATTTTTCCTATTTTTTTCGATGTTTTTTACGTTTTTTGACGGTTTTGGGGCCCGAATTCAAAAGAAGGAAAAAATAGGAAAAAAATAGGAAGCAGATGTTCAGAAATAGGAAAAATAGGAAAAAATAGGATTCAAAAATAGGAAAAAAATAGGGCCCAAAAATGCAAATAGGAAAAACATAGGAAAAAATAGGAAAACAAATATAATTACTGGGATTTTTTCATTTTTTCCTATTTTTCCAATTTTTTCTTATGTTTTCCCTATTTTTTCTTATTTTTCCTATTTTTTTGAGGTGTTTTACGTTTTTTGACGGTTTTGGGAGCCGAATGTAAAAGAAGGAAAAAATAGGAAAAACATAGGAAAAATAGGGGAAAAAAGGGAAAAAAAAGGTATGGTGCTGGAAGCAGATGTTTAGAAATAGGAAAAAATAGGAAAAATTAGGAAAATAGGATTCAAAAATAGGAAAAAACAGGGCCCAAAAATGCAAATAGGAAAAACATAGGAAAAAAATAGGAAAACAAATATATTAGGAAGTGCTTTGTAGTCCTGTGTCAAGTGTGTTTTTACGTCCTATTTTTTTCCTATCTTTGATTCCTATTTTTTCCTATTTTTTTCCTAAAATAAATACTTTCAACTTTTATAGAAATAGCAGAAAACTTTGCATCATAAACATATGTTTGATGTTTCCAATCATTGGGATTTATGGTGAACATGCGGGATATATTGGAGATGAGATGGTTTGTTTAAAGCTATAATTCATGCATAATTGGGGTGGGGGCCCCAGCCTAGTACGGGTCAAACATGACAGCCCGACCGCAGATTTGCCAAGCGACCTCATTTCTCGACCTCTCCATGGATCCGGAAATATTGGCAAAAAGATGTAGCCCTTCGATTCCAGTAAATCGCTAGAAAATAAACAATATTAAACACATACTTTGGTAACATTCCCTTTAATATATTGTTTGTGAAACAAAAGGCTGATGAAGCAAGATCCATATGGGTTAGTTATATACCATGAATGAGTTGATTTCCAACTAACCATAATTAAAAGCTTTGCAACCCAACAGCATGTTCTAAGGTTCTGGGGGTCCAGCATTGAGGTTCCGTTCTGTGTTGGGGATTGGCAGAACCCAGAGATTGATCCCGAAACATGTATGTAATTACATGTGCTTAAAAATGTACTGCGTATAATTACATATAATTGCATTTAATTATAATGTAATGTATTTATTTATATGTACATACACACATATACATTATACAAACATATGTATATATGTATGTATATCTAAATGTGTATATATATAATTGACTATATTTGTGATTATATCTATATATGATTAAATAAATAATTGTATGTATATATAAATATATATATATATATATATATTGATATATATATATATATTTATTTATACATAATTGTATATATTTCTATAATTATATATATGTATATATCAATGCTTGTTAATATTTAATATATATTTATGATTACATGTAATTCTGATTATATACTTATGATTATATACATTCATGTTCATATATATATGATTATGTATGCATGTACTTAATGCGCTGTTATATGCGTTCTTTTTGACACTGATATACTTTCAAGTGGAACACCATGTTTGATTCGCGACATCGCCAGGTGAAATTTTTGACCTCTCAGCTCTTGCGCTGTCTTCGGCTGCGCGCCGAGCAGGCACATCTCCTTGTTTTTGGGTACCCTCCATAATCCCATTCATTAATCCCTTACTCCTAATGGTGGTTAATGGGTATGTAATGGAGATATAATGAGATCTAATGATATCTAGAATCTATATTGGGATTTTGAAATATAGGGTACACAGCCAACAATTACTATTAAACACCACCCATTAATAAACCATGCCTTAGTAGGGAATTGGACAACATACTTGAGAACCATATAATCGGGTGGTTAATATTAGGGGATGGGATTAATTGAACATCGCTTGTCGGAAAACCGCCAATTGAGTTTCCTGATTTCCCCAGACCTAAACCTGCATGTGTAAGGGATTTCCCAGCCAGCCAGCCATGTTTGATTACCAGAGGATACAGACCCCATATGCGGGGTTTAACTTAACTAACAAACAATGGGTGGTAAATTGTAACTTTTAAACATGTGCGATGTGATATCAAATGGGGGTATAAAGGGTCATGTGGCCAACTCAATGTGATATGTGAGGTTTATTTGAAAAAGTCTTGTACACCACCAAGTGACGACAATTTAATCCCGGACGTGAGGGTCCCCCATTTTCAGACACTCAAATGAGGTTTGATCAACATGTGCTTGCTGTTTTTTTAATAGAAAAGAATGCAGATTACCAGAGAAGACATGGATTTGCAAAAGCCATTTAAGCATCAACATGTGTAACTTGAGTTGTAATATCAATGTAAGCATTTGGTAGCGAAAAGTCTGTGTCATTTTCATCCCAATAATTGGGCCAAAATTAAATTGGCGAGATCAGGCTGGTACCCGACTCAAGAACCCTTAACAAGGGTTCATGGATGTTATTGATGTTTGTAGTAGTTTTTGTGGTCTCAGAACGGTTCTCCACTTACAAAGTCTTCGGGGAGAGATGGATTAGATTGTTCGCGATCCGTGACTGTTGGTCATTGGACGGCTCAAGGGCGATTTCAGGTAGCACAAATGGATGCATCGTAGTGTAGCAAATACTTGTACTGCAAGGCCGTTTTTGTAGCAACCATTCCGTCGCGCATAGCTTTGGCACCTCCTGTTTATGTAGTTGAATACTTGAAAACCCAAGTTTGTTGGCAGATCCCTTTCTTTGTCTCAAATTCTCATGCTGCATATTGGTATGCCTAAACTCCCTGTTTTTAGGAGAAAACATCGCTGTTTCACCGATTGAACTGATTGAACATCCAAATTTTCGTTGCTGAAATTCCGTATTGTTTTGCTGAATGCTTAAAATCCCTCAGCTGGGACATATCACTTAAGTAACCCTCACATTCACATATATGTTTTCCTAGCGGATTGTCATGGATTGTCCTCCATATTCCGGTCCATCCAGCTAATTGAGCAGCCTCCAAGAACCCCAGTAGGTCGATGATTCGAGGTGTTTTTTTCCTACTTTAAAACAACATCAAAAACAGCATCAAATTCTACCCTTTGGTAAACGAACAGTTTTCTACTGAAAATGGCCATTCAGTTCGTTGATCTACCGTTTCAAAAAACATGATTTTCAATAGCTATGTAACATAGCCTATGTTAGTTTACCAAAGGGTAGGTGGTGAAAGATGACATGGATTTACACTCTACTAAACTATAGACCAATACATTACATGGTCATCCCATTTGCGCTGTAAACAAAGGCTATTTTTATCCCAGCATAGATGTAACATGTTCATCCCATGTCCAGGTAAGACAGAGAAAGGCACCAAGGTGGGACGACGGGGGCGGGATCCACTTCGACTTGTGTCAGGAAAACATGGGAAACATGGGAACTCGTGGGTTTGGAAAATGTTCGTGTAAATTTATGGGGTGAGCACGGTGCTTGTTCAACGATATGTTTTGTAAAAATCGAATGTTTTGTGGTGGGTCTAAAATGTTGAAATCGGTTTAGTTTAACCATAACATGGAACAAAAGTCTATGTTGCGTGGACGGGTTGTAAATTATAATCTGGCATGGATTGCAAGAATACATCATCAGAACCAAGCCCTGGATTGCACTAATTATACCGGCGGACTGGAACTTAGAACCTGATTTTGGAAATTTGCCATACCCCGAAAAAGTCACCGGAACTAACCGGTCAGATTTGGGTAAAATTGATAAAATTTATAATATTTTTACGTTTTGCGAAACTGTTCACCGTAATCAGAACTTAGAACCACTACCAAAAATGGCTCGCCGAGAGCCAAAAATGACTACCCTCTCGCAGTTTTTTACCCGAAAAGTAACCGTAAAACTAGCTAAGTAATATGATGTGTTGTTTGATGGATTGAACGAAAGATTCTACCTAAAATCATCATAAATGGGTGGCACATGTCACTGTATAAAGCATCCCCAAATGATAGGTTTATTCTTGGGTTTGCCATGGTTTGCTACATGAATGTGCTTGTTTGCTGTCAGAAAGCGTTGCCAAACTCGCAACCGCCCCTTGCCATTTCTATTTGCACAGTCAGAAAGGTGGATGAAGGCATGACAAGGTCAAACATGCGTGCAAATTGCAGACAGCAATTATAAGAAATAAATTGATAAACCCCTGTAATGCATATAATATAAATCACCATTGTGGGGCCTGGGTTTTAATTTTTGATGGTTTCTGGGTGTTAAAATTGGTTTTTGAATGGTGCAGGATACATATCAAAACGGTGTTGGCTCAGCACTATTCGTTTGTGGTGTTTTATCCAATTCTGCTCTGGTTTATATATGCGTGGTGGATTCAGGCTAACCCCGTCCAGGTCGGCCCAGGTCCGCCTAAGTCTGCCCAGGTCAATCCCAACCCCGAGGTTCTCCCAGGTTCTCCCAGGTTCTCCCAAGTTCTCCCAGGTTCTCCCACGTTCTCCCAGGTTCTCCCAGGTTCTCCCAAGTTCTCCCACGTTCTCCCAGGTTCTCCCAGGTTTTCCCAGGAAATTAATGATTTCCTGCGATTTTGTGGGTTTCCGGGATTTCCTGGGAGAACCTGGGTGTTATTTTCTGCGATTTTGTGGGGTTTCCGGGGTTTCCTGGGAGAACCTGGGTGTTATTTTCTGCGATTTTGTGGGTTTCCGGGATTTCCTGGGAGAACCTGGGTGTTATTTTCTGCGATTTTGTGGGGTTTCCGGGATTTCCTGGGAGAACCTGGGTGGACAAGAGTTAGTTCGGGGAAAAGTGGCTGAGGGTCGAGGGTGGCCCCGCTATTTTGACCCGCAATTTTTAAATTTCTGCCGCAGGCGTTGCCGCCCCCTTTGGCCTGCAGGTTTGCCACGCTTTAAAGTTTAGTTATAAGCATTACAGGGGTATAGCAAGAAATAAAACTGAATCTTTATATATATATATACATATAGATATATATATATATATATATATACTATACATGTAAGGTGCATTTGGAAATATGGGGGTTGACGGACTAAAACTTAGAACCACCCGCATATCATTGGCGTTTTAGGAGCTAAATGAAATCCCATTGGCAATTGAACTACCCATAAAATGTTGGAAATGATTGCAAATCATTTGCACCTACATACATATCATAATTTATATATTTATATATATAGCCCGACGGGAACTTAGAATGCCTCGCAGTTTTCCAATTTGTTTAACCAGAAGACAGAACGGGGGTTTGGGAGCAACTATACATGTAACCAACATATATATATACACATACATATATATATACACATACATATATATATATACACATACATATATATATATATATATACATATAAACATTTCTCAACTCCTGGAATCCAAACAATGGGAAAATTGACTAGTTTTGGTGTTGACATGTTTTTTCTCAACCTCCTGGAATCCAAAACATGGAAAAATTATATACTAGTTTTGGTGTTGACATGTTTTTCTCAAATTCCTGGAGTCCAAAAAATGGGGAAAATTGATTAGTTTTGGTGTTGACACGTTTTTTCTCAAACTTTTGGTGTTGACATATTTTTCTCAAACTCGTGCAAGTCAAAAATGTGGAAAATTGACTAGTTTTGGTGTTGACGGACTGAAACTTAGAACCATCCGCATATACCAGAATAGAGGGTAAGATATGGAAATGTACAGTTGCCCCTAAAAACAATGTCTTCTTTCAAAAGGGTTTGAACAGACATGCATATATATATATATATGCATATTTCTCAACTCCTGGAATCCAATAAATGGGAAAATTGACTAGTTTTGGTGTTGACATGTTTTTTTCTCAAACTCCTGGAGTCCAAAACATGGGGAAAATTGATTAGTTTTGGTGTTGACATGTTTTTCTCAAACTCCTGGAGTCCAAAAAATGGGGAAAATTGACTAGTTTTGGTGTTGACACGTTTTTTTCTCAAACTTTTGGTGTTGACATGTTTTTCTCAAACTCGTGCAAGTCAAAAAATGGGGAAAATTGACTAGTTTTGGTGTTGACGGACTGAAACTTAGAACCATCCGCATATACCAGAATAGAGGGTAAGATATGGAAATGTAAAGTTGCCCCTAAAAACAATGTCTTCTTTCAAAAGGGTTTGAACAGACATGCATATATATATATATATACATATTTCTCAACTCCTGGAATCCAAAAAATGGGAAAATTGCCTAATTTTGGTGTTGACATGTTTTTTCTCAAACTCCTGGAGTCCAAAACATGGGGAAAATTGTTTAGTTTTGGTGTTGACATGTTTTTCTCAAACTCCTGGAGTCCAAAAAATGAGAAAATTGATTAGTTTTGGTGTTGACACGTTTTTTCTCAAACTTTTGGTGTTGACATGTTTTTCTCAAACTCGTGCAAGTCAAAAAATGGGGAAAATTGACTAGTTTTGGTGTTGGCGGACTGAAACTTAGAACCATCCGCATATACCAGAATAGAGGGTAAGATATGGAAGTGTAAAGTTGCCCCTAAAAACAATGTCTTCTTTCAAAAGGGTTTGAACGGACATACATATATACATATATATATATGCATATTTCTCAACTCCTGGAATCCAAAAAATGGAAAATTTGACTAAATTTGGTGTTGACATGTTTTTTCTCAAACTCCTGGAGTCCAAAACATGGGGAAAATTGATTAGTTTTGGTGTTGACATGTTTTTCTCAAACTCCTGGAGTCCAAAAAATGAGGAAAATTGATTAGTTTTGGTGTTGACATGTTTTTTTCTCAAACTTTTGGTGTTGACACGTTTTTCTCAAACTCGTGCAAGTCAAAAAAATGGGGAAAATTGACTAGTTTTGGTGTTGACAGACTGAAACTTAGAACCATCCGCATATACCAGAATAGTGGGTAAGATATGGAAATGTACAGTTGCCCCTAAAAACAATGTCTTCTTTCAAAAGGGTTTGAACAGACATGCATATATATATAATATATTATAATATATATATATTTCTCAACTCCTGGAATCCAATAAATGGGAAAATTGACTAGTTTTGGTGATGACGTGTTTTTTCTCAACCTCCTGGAATCCAAAAAATGGGAAAATTATATACTAGTTTTGGTGATGACATGTTTTTTCTCAACCTCCTGGAATCCAAAAAATGGGAAAATTATATACTAGTTTTGGTGTTGACATGTTTTTTTCTCAAACTTTTGGTGTTGACATGTTTTTCTCAAACTCGTGCAAATCAAAAAATGGGGAAAATTGAGTAGTTTTGGTGTTGACGGACTGAAACTTAGAACCACTCTTTCTAAATATTACACAAATCCCTGCGAGTCATTCTAAGTTACTCCCAAACCCCCCTGAAATGAGTAAGGTTCTATCTTCTGGGTAAAAAGATTTGGAAAACTGCGAGGCATTCTAAGTTTCCGTCCGCCGGTATAAATCGAACAAGGGATTTCCTCAACCAAGATGTTTAGTGAAGCAACACGGATTGGAATTATGCTGGATGCAACTTGGGAATGGGTAGGTCAATAGGTTAGGTCAATGAGTCAATAGGTTTCTTGTTCGCTGTAAATGGTGGATTACTGTGGCAAACCCAAAGCATTGCTTGTTTGCTGCCCATCGAAGATTAAGCAGCCATTGGTGCAACAAAAATCCCAGCGAGTGCATGTATGAACGGGTAGCTTAAGCGCAGAAAGATGCTTCAGTTAGACAATGAGAGTTTATCCAAAATAATCCGGTAGAGCTGCGTGGTGTGTTATAGCCACCTGGCGAACTAGACTCCTTGGCACGGGCACAATCTCATTCCCCTCTGAGAACAAAGGCCCCCCCGTCCTTGCGCAAAAAGCTGGGCTGCATTCGTCGCAGGGGTGTATGCCTGCAGGCGGTTTACTCATGAGAGTCTTCAGGATTAGCAAAACAGATAAGTATAAGTTCTTTCCAAACGAAGAAATCAGCCTCATGGATTTTTAGAAGAGCAAATCAAAGCCTGATAGAATCTGATAGAATCAAGGACCTCTGTTTTCCTGATTGAAGCAAGTCTATCATCTTTGTCGTGAAACAAACCTCCGAACGACATGTTTTTGCACAACAAGTCCACCTCCGTTGGCTTAGTATCTCTCTGAAATTGGCAGGACATTGTTCATGCATATCATTGGGGAAAGAATTCAAAATGGATGAAGAGATAAGATGAGATAAGTGGTAGCCTGTACAACGGCAGATAGGCTACGTGTAAGTGTAAATATGTTTGCACTTTCGAGCCTCCTGGTATCAACAGTTTATTCAGGCAGTTAAGCCTAAACAGTCCAGCTATACTGGGCCTATTGGGGCCACGTTCCGGGAAAAAGCGCGCTTCTTTTTAAATAATATCCGCATCCCATTTTGCTAGTAAGATGGAGGTTTTTGAAAAAAAACATCCCCAAGGTATTGGCCATTAAATATTTCAAACACTATCCTCAGAAAAAGGTTGGATCATCAGGACATAGAAACAATCAAAACGTCTCCTTACTTGTACTGCATCTGTTTCGAAATTTCTTGCCTTCCATAGTGGATTTACCCATTAAAAATGGTGGATCTTTCCATAGTTATGTTAGTTTACCAGAGGGTAAACCTCCATGTCTCTAGGGATTTCCCATGGTTTTCCTATGATTTTCCATGATTTTCCCATTAACCCTACATCTACATTGTTGGATGACCAGCTCCAATGGTCACCGAATTCCTCCAACCGCCAGCCCCCAGCGCTGAACGCGGACGTGTCATCAATGACGCGAGCTTTGAAAGTCTTAAAGACGATGGAAAGGACGTCAACTTGACACCAGTTCAGGGGTTGATTACATGTGGAGTTGATTTGTGTATAGTAGATATGTACAAATATATATATATAGTAGTAAGATATAGTAGAAAATACATATATATATAATATATATATATATATCCAACAGAAAATGGTGGATTGACCTTCAATTTATGGCTATCTTAATGGGCAAACATGATAGACCACTGGATTCTGGAGATATCTCCGGAAGGGTATGAACAACCAACGAGATGGCAATGTTAACCACCAACAATTACAGTATCAACACATATGGGGAGTTTAACTAGCAAAAAGAGGGGTTCAACTGGGCAAACTTTGCGGAAGAGTTGTTTAATGCTAATTTGTTTGACCCAACTTGATTGCTTTCGGGCAGGGTATCAGGATTACCCGTGTTGGCTTCTGGAGAGTCAATGCACTTGTTTAAGTCAAACTTGGTTCGCTATTTGTTTGCCGATAAGTGAGGAGAATCAGACTCACAAGTCCCAAGTGTTTAAGAAACTAAGGTTGTTGCTAGATCTGCCAGGGTTCTGCTTAATTCTCTGCAACTTGACGATGGGGTGCGCGCATTGCCATTTCATCCCTTGGTGCAATTTCATCCCTCAGACTTGCGCAGCATGTGGTATGGAAAAGCAGCTCGCGGTGTTGTTTGTATTGAACATCCAGTGCGCATGGTTTTGGATGAATTACCCTTTGGTAAACCAACGTAACTATGGAACATCACCATTTTTAAGAACGGTAAATCAACGAACTAAATAGCCATGTTCAAAAGCAAGCTGTAACAAATTACCAGAGGGTATATTGAAGCATCCCCATCCCCTCTATTGGTTGCATATTCCAACAGAGTCACTCAATGATGGCAGCCCAAATGCCATGGACAAAATAGGGGCTTGAAAGGTCAAGAGAAATGTCAAGATCCACTTAAAGACGATGATGTTTGACTGTCATTTCCAAGATCATACATTTGAACACACCAATTGCTTTGGAATACAATGGGCGTATGTTTTGTTTACCCTCGGGTAATCAAACATGGACATGGACATGGGCAAATTTCCCATTTATTTGATGATTTTCCCATTCAAATTGCACGTTTGTTTTGTTATGTTGAATTTAGCACAGGATGCATGCCCCATCAAACATGGGGATTGAACCAAAATGGTCCAACATGGTGGTTCAGTGGGGCATTTCTGGGGATTAAAAGGCTCATATGACCAACTTAGTATGTCATGATGTTTATGTGAAAATGGGTGGTATACACTGTGCACCTTAACTTAATTGAACCAAACTTGTTTGATGACGACAATGTATTTTGCGCCTGTCTTTGCTTGGGGGTCAGACACCGTCCTTTCAATATCTTTCAATGTGCACAGGAGCAAGCGAGACCTTGCCGGTTTCATGCTCAGAATTCCAGTGCTCGTATCATGGGGATTCAACCAATGAATACCTGGGATATGACTAGGGATTAACCAAAAGTTTTGGGTGGTAATGAGCCAACTATAGTACTGCGTCAAACATGAAAACCAACCACCAAAAACTAGAAGATCCTGGGGGTGGATTTGTTGGCTTCAACGATGGGTTGGGGTTTAGAAACATACCCTTTTGGGAAGCCTCCCCAATACTGCTTGGTCTTATCAAGGGCGAGTCTTACCCAACAACCACGCCAAGAAGGGCCAATCTTAACAATATATGTTTCGAGGAGCGTCACCAAAATTGTATTGTAGCGGTTGGTTGAATCCACCTTAAAACCAAGACCAAGACATAGAAGCCACAAGAGTTTTTTTGTTAAATCATATTCCGCAGCAATTGAAATGGGGTTCCATGTTCCTTTTCGGAAGTATAGATTGCGGGGACTTCTTGCTTGCATCAGGTTCGAAAGTCATTTCACGGATGTGTTTCCTTTTGAGTTTTGAGTTGCAGACAGGTTACATCAATCATCGCGGCGCACTCCACCTTTCAATTTGTTTGAATAGACAAACTGCAGGAAATCCATGGAAATCCCACTTTTCAAAGCAAACACCCATGGGTTTCCTGTCGAAATTCCCAGGTCGAACCAACCCATGTTGGGTCTACTTGCTCAAACCCCCATGATTGGTCTAGTTGTGTAGGCTCTGTTGGAACAGCAACAGTATGTGTGTGTGTGCGTGTTGCCCTCTGGTAAACTGTTGCATAACTATGGAAAGATCCACCATTTTCAATGAGTAAATCCACTATAAATGGCAATTTTCAATAGCTATGTTAAATTACCAGAGGGTAAAGTTCACACCTGTTTTAAACTCCTGCATTGTGGTTGTCACTGACATTGAAACAACGGTGACCAACAACTCCAGGATAAATGGTAAAAAGTCCTGGTGCTAATGTTCAGTTCACACGTGACATAGAATATCACCCACAAGATCCCATAGGTTTGTTTGATAATAACGCAGCCCATGTTCTCATTTAAATGGTTAGATGAGGTATCCCAGATTTTTAGACCAACGCACATCAAGACCGAATGTTTTGTCCGGACAAACATCACGATCAAATCTAGGATGCAGAACCCATTGGCGTGATGTTCCGTGGAACAAATGAAAGGAAACTCATATGTTTTGCTTATTTGTATGGTTTTGTCTTGGGTATAATCATGAACATTTTTTTAACAGAGAGACCATATTTATTCAGATTCCAGTAAATATGACCATGGCAAGTTACTGCGATATATTTAAATCTTAGATAAAGTACCATAAGTTGTAGAATTTGTGAAGCACTCTTACACACGTAGATTGTTCCTATGTCTGGTGTCTTCTAATAACCGCTTCGCCGCGATCAGCAGGCGCTCAGCTGTACAAACTCATGGGTGACCCCAAGTTTCAGCAGCTGCTGGCCGACGCCAACGAGGCCACCGGCACATGGGGCCGGGAGCTGCAGATGGTGTCGGCACGCGATGGCGCTGGTTATACAATATATTTATATATACATATATATACATATGTATTAACATATATATATATATTTACATATATACATATGTATTAACATATATATATATACGCTTATGTATTTGGGTTTACACGGGATATATAAGTGTTTATATGGTGATTTATATTTGCATATCCTATAGTAATGTGGTAGTATGTTGGGCCATATTATGGTGATTCATGCTGATCAACTATCCAGTGGTTATGTTCATCCCACCATGTTTTAGTAACATGTTTGGGGATATAATGGCATATATATGGATCTACCAGTAGTACCGCACAAGGCGGTGGCGGAAGTTTCAAAAATAGGAAACCTATAGGAGAGATTGGTTGTTGTGAATCAGGGATGGCAGGCAGAGCGAAGCCACTGATGGACCGAAAGGTGCTTCCTCCCTTCTCTCTCTTTCTCTGACTATCTACCTACCTACCAAGCTATCTTCTATGTATCTATCTATCTATCGATCTATCTCTCTCTGTCTCTCTCTCTCTTTCATCTAAATACCTATCTATCTATCTCTCTCTCTCTCTCTTTAATCTGTCTATCTGTCTATCTGTCTATCTATCTATCTATCTGTCTGTCTGTCTGTCTATCTGTCTACCAGTCTACCTGTGGTGCAGCGTCATTCAGTGTAATGTAGTGTAGTGTAGTGGAGTGTATTGTAGTGGAGTGTAGTTGTGTAGTGGAGTGTAGTGGAGTGTAGTGTAGTGTAATGTAGTAGTGAAGTGTACTGGAAGGTAGTGTAGTGTAATGTAGTGTAGTGTAGTGGAGTGTAGTGTAATGTAGTGTAGTGTAGTGTAATTTAATGTAGTGGAGCGTAGTGGAGTGTAGTGGAGTGTAGTTGTGTAGTTGTAGTTGTAGTGTTGTGTAATGTAGTGTATGTAATTGAACATTCCATTTTCTATCTTCTTCAGGACTGTTTTTATATATATACATATAGTCGTCTCCAAAATATGTTCTAAAGTAAATCAGAATAGTGAAGATTCACTTTCTTTTATTTGGGCGGTTATATATATAATTAATTAATTAATTAATTAGTTAATTAATTAATTAATTAATTTAATTAATTTAATTAATTAATTAATTAATTTAATTAATTAATTAATTAAATTAATTAACTAATTAATTAATTAATTAATTAAATTAATTAATTAATTAATTAAATTAATTAATTAATTAACTAATTAATTAATTAATTAATTAAGTATATACTGTGAAACCAGCATCCTGGCACCAAGCGCAAGAAAACATGAATGACAGATGTAACCTGTCGCAGCTCAACGCGATCTTTACAGAAGGCAAAACGCATATACCATGGGCCCAAAATTGGGGCCACAAATTTGGAAGCTGGGCGTGTATTGTGGCCCCATTTTTGGGTCCAGAATCTGTCCCCTGTTTTGGGGCCACAAAACACAAACAGGAGCTATTCAATACGGGCAGCAAGTGTGCTACTGCCGCCGCAAGCTGACAGCAGCACATATCCGTGATACTCCAAGGGTACATGCCCGAGAAGCTTTCTTTACCACTTATTTGAAGCTCCGGTTTTAGGGCCTTGGGCCCACCTAGGCTTTGAGAAAAAGCGCCCCCAATGCCTTAATAAAATTAAATAAAATACTCACCAAGACATGAGGTATGAATCGCAATGGCTTGGACGTGAGACTACTAAGCATATCCCGAAAAACTACTAAAACACGAGTTGCGAATCACAATGGCTTGGACGCAAAACGACTAAGGGGCTCATGAAAAACTACTAAGGCGTGAGCTGCAAATCACAATGGCTCGGACGCAAAACTACTAAGAATGTCCTTCAAATTTGAGGAAAAGAAGAAGATACTATTTCTTTTATTCTTTGGAGCGTTTTCTTAGTAGTTTTGTCGCCGAGCCAATACGAATTGCGAAATTGTTAGTAGCTTTTGAACGCATTCTGAGTAGCTTTGCAGCCAAGCCAGTACGAAATGCGACACCGTGCTTAGTAGCTTTTGAGCACATTCTTGGTAGTTTTGCGACCAAGCCAATAAGAATAGCTAATTTAACGCTTCTTCCGCGTGAAAGCAGAGTGCGGAAATAAGTCAACTTTGATGTTTGGTACACTGCCGCTGGCTGTACACATGTTTTCGCATTGCTTGTGGCAGTCAAAGTTCCACCTCGCATGCTTGCTGCAGAACAGCACGAGCATCCCTGCACCTTTTGAAACGTTCCTTTGGCTTGCGCTGACGCGGGCCCATTTTTGGGGCTGTGGGCCTGCATGCTTTTTGCCTTCCCTCACCGCGTACCCTGCATGTAAATATAGTCATGCATTTACATAAACCTTATATATATATATTATATACATATGCCCTTTCATGCGCAAGACTCATGGTAATTCACGTTTCTCTCACTTCATGCTCGCTTCCTAGTCTCCAGGACAGGGGGGCCTGATGGCGATGGAGGGAGAGAGAGAGAGAGAGACACAGAGAGAGAGACACAGAGAGAGAGACACAGAGATAGATAGATAGATAGATCGATAGATCGATAGATTCATTGATTCATTGATTGATTGATTGATTGATTGGTTGATTGATTGACAGAATGATAGATAGATTAGATAGATTAGATAGATAGATAGATAGATAGATAGGTAGATAGATTGATAGAAAGATAGATAGATAGATAGAAAGATAGATAGATTGATTGATTGACAGATTGACAGATTGACAGATTGACAGATAGACAGATAGACAGTTAGACAGAGAGACAGATAGACAGATAGACAGATGAGAGAGAGAGAGAGATAGATATATAGATAGATTCAGATAGATTCAGATAGATAGATAGATTGATAGATAGATCGATAGACAGGTAGACAGACATAGGGAGAGAGAGAGAGAGATATATATATATATATATGTATTTATCAGTATTTGGATAGATAGATAGAAAAAAAACAGATATATATATATATATATAAATATATTAGCATGTTGCTCTATCACATTTTTGGAATGGTTCTTTAGGCTTTGCTTCCGATGGTTTTGCCTTTATATTTTAACGCTATTTTTTTAAACATTTTAACACTATTATTTTCATATTTTAATGTTTTTTTTAATATTTTAACATTTTTCTGTATATTTCAAAACTATTTTTTATATTTTAACGATATTTTTTTAAATATTTTAACGCTATTTTGTTTTCATATTTTAACTTTATTTTTTATATTTTGACGTTTTTTTTAAATAATTTAACACTATTTTTTTCATAGTTTAACGTTTTTTTTTAATATTTTAATATTTTTTTTATATTTTAACACTATTTTTTCATATTTTAACGTTATTTTTGAATATTTTAACACTTATTTTTTTAATATTTTAACGTTATTTGTTTTATATTTGAACACCATTTTTTATATTTTAACGTTATTTGTTTTTTATATTTTAACGTTTTTTTATATTTTAACACTTTTTTTTTATTTTAACGTAATTTTTAAAATATTCTAGCGCTATTTTTTAAAATATTTTAACACTATTTTTTTATATATGATATAGCTTAATAAATAGTTGAAGAGAATGGTCTGCAATTATAGAACTATATAAATGACTTAACCAGCGAACGAGTACTTCAATTTCCTGCCAGTACATAATTTATGCAGTATTATTATATAATTTTTTAAGCTTACACATATTGCTCTTTTAATTTCATGTGATAGTGACCAATTAATACATGAATTACTTTGACTATTACTACCTATTACTACTAAATAATTTCATGTGTAATGCTAATAATAATAATGCGAAACGCCTTGGTACAAACTCAATTGCAGTTTGTTAGGTTATGAACTTGGCTGCAAAGTTCAGGGAATTGAAAGTTTGAAGTAAACGTCCTTAATGCAACTTAAGATATTGAGTACTTTTTGAAACATGTCTTTATTTTTTGATTTTTTTACATGAAGAGAACAAAACAAGTTCGAACACAAGAAAGAAACATTTGGTAAAATACTAAGGGTTTAAGCACAAGAAGAATGTAAACACATTTTTGAAAAAAGTGAAAAAATGATGTTAAAAACAATGTGTTAAAATATAAAAAGTTTAGTGTTAAAATAGAAAGTTTTAGCGTTAACATAAAAAAAATTCAATGTTAAAATACATATATAAAAAATAAACTTTAAAATATAAAATTTTCAGTGTTAAAATATTTAAAAAAATAACATTAAAATATAAAATTTTCAGTGTTATAATGTATAAAAACATTAAAATATAAAATTTTCAGTGTTAACATATAAAAAAATAACATTAAAATATAAAATTTTCAGTGGTAAAATATAAAAAAAATAGCGTTAAAATATTTAAAAAAAAATAGCGTTAAAATATAAAATTTAGTGGAAAAAAATATAGTGGAAAAATATGGGCAAACAGTGGAAAAATATAAAATATAAATAGTGGAAAAATATCCTATTTTGTTGCAAAAACCTATATTTTTCCACTGTTTGACCATATTTGTCCACTATATTTTTCCATTAAAATTTTATATTTTAACGCTATTTTTTTTAATATTTTAACACTGAAAATTTTATGTTTTAATACTATTTTTTAAATATTTTAAGACTGAAAATTTTATATTTTAATGTTTTTTTTAAAAATTTTAACACTGAACATTTTATATGCTAATGTTATTTTTTATATTTTAACACTGAAAATTTTATAGTTTAACGCTAAACATGTTATATTTTAATGCTAGTTTTGAAAAAATAACTCTGAAAATTTTATATTTTAATGCTAAAATGATCATGTTTTAACACTTTTCTTTTAAATATGTTAACGCTATTTAAAAAAAAACGCTAAAAAATATGTTTTAATGTCTTTTCTGTAGTTTAACACTTTTTCATTTTAACACTAAAAACATGTTTGTTAACACTAGAACTTTCTGTTTTGACACTAAACTTTTATACTGTAACACAATTTTTAATATCTCAGCACTTTTTTTGAATAACATTTTTATCAAAAAGTTTGTTTGTGTTTTTTTGAAAACACATTGCATTTTCCTTTCTACTGCGGTTTAAAAAGACTGATTTTGGTCATTTCCGTTTTCCAGCTGTTTGCTTGTCGTTCGTGTTATTCTTCGAACAACCTAGTGCATGTTTTCACCTGCCAACTGTCTTTTGAATGGTTTCCAGATCACTGGGGAGCCTGCTTGCAGAGCAGGTTGTTGACTACAATATAAAAAAATAGTGTTAAAATATTTAAAAAAAACGGTAAAATATAAAAAAGTAACGTTAAATTATAAAAAAAAAATAGTGTTAAAATATAAAAAATAACGTTAAAATATAAAAAAATAGCGTTAAAATATAAAAAATAACGTTAAAATATAAAAAAATAGCGTTAAAATATAAAAAATAGCGTTAAAATATAAAAAATACCGTTAAAATATAAAAAACAGTAGCGTTAAAAAAAAAAATACCATTAAAATAGAAAAAATAGTTTAACATATTTAAAAAAATAACGTTAAAATATAAAAAACAATAGCGTTTTTAAAAAAAATATATATCGTTAAAATAGAAAAAATAGTTTAACATATTTAAAAAAATAACGTTAAAATATTTATAAAATAGTGTTAAAATATAAATAACCTTAAAATATAAAAAACAGTTTTAAAATATAAAAAATAGCGTTAAAATATTAAAAAATAACGTTAAAATATAAAAAATAACGTTAAAATATTAAAAAAAATAGTGTTAAAATATAAAAATAACGTCAAAGTATTAAAAAAATAGCGTTAAAATATAAAAAATACCGTTAAAATATAAAACAAAATAGCGTTAAAATATTAAAAAATATCGTTAAAATATAAAAAATAGTTTTAAAGTATTAAAAAAATAACGTTAAAATATTTAAAAAAAACGTTAAAATATATATAAAAATAACGCTAAAATATAAAAACGAAAACGTTAAAAAGTAAACATATAACGTTAAAATATAAAATCCCTAGTGTTAAAATATAAAATTTTTAGTGTTAAAATATACTCCCGGCATGTCTAAAGAAAACGTGTTAGAGATACATCCTAAGATATATAGATAGATAGATAGATAGAACGATAGATAGATAGATAGATAGATAGATAGATAGAACGATATATAGAACGATAGATAGAACGATAGATAGATAGATAGGTAGATAGATAGATAGATGGATAGATAGATAGATAGATAGATAGATAAATAGAACGATAGAACGATAGGTAGGTAGATATATAGAACGATAGAAAGATAGAACGATATAAAGATAGAAATATAGATAGATAGATAGATAGATAGGTAGGTAGGGTAGGTTAGGTTCGGTTAGGTTAGGTTAGATTAGATGAGATTAGATTGATAGATAGATAGATAGACAGATAGATAGATAGATACTTTTGAGATATAGCATATTAATATTTGATTTACACATATATATATATATATATTTTTTATATTTATATACTATTTATATACATACATCTATTTCTTGATTTTATTTTCCTTTGTGCCACAGGCCGCCGCCGAGGGATTTGCCGCAGCTCTGGAGGAGGCGTCGCCTTTCTTCAGCAAGGAACAGCAGGACGGGTTTTTCCCCGGCCACGGCCGAGGCACATCACATGGGGATATCAGGGGAACATGTGGTTTCTGACGTACAAACATAGATTTGATGGTAGAGAGAGATATATATATATAAAGAAATACAGCCATCGATTTTTTTGATTTCAGCATCAAAAGTAGTGGTGGCATAATTGGATGTAGGTGGGATCTAATGGAAACATCATGCAATAACAAACCCATCTCTTCCCCCGAATTCAAATGAAACACCCTGCAGAAACCATGGTTCAGCGGGAGATTGGATGACATTTTTGGACAGGTTAATCTTAGGCATATGGGATTATTTCAATGTTGTTTGAATTAAGTTGTTGCTATTAGCTGGCCAGTTGATGGCTTGGCATATGTTTTTGTTTTCCTAACTGGAGCGATGATCCCCATTGACTTGCATCCAATCCAACCATTTACATAATCGGCGAAACTATATTTAATGGTTTAGAATTATTTACGAACCAGATAGCTACTGTCGTCCCGCATTTAGTTGAGAATGAAATCTGATAGTGGCGGGGTCCACTGGAATGGGAGTATGCGGCTGTGCATTATTCTGACCTCCACGGATTACACCAAACAGGGCTAGTCAGTGAATGTGACCTTGCCATTGGGTTTTGCTGGGTTTGCTGTGATTACTGAAATCATTTGGCCAAGATTTGGCCCTTTATCCAACAAATATAGTACCTGCAGATGACATGGGAGTTGTCGAACATACCCAAAAAACGATAACTCCCATGTCATCTGTAAAGTGAAAAAAGCAGAAAAATGCATAAGTCCCATGTCATCTGTAAAGTGCCTCGCAAAAAAAAAATCACATGACACGGGACCTCTGCAATTGTTTGGGTTCTAAAAGATGCAAAACGTGTCATGTCAACTAAACTGACACACTGTACATTTCACATCCCACACAAAGATAGTATATGAGTGTATGACTACCTGCTAGCAGTTAGAATAATCCAACATTATACGTCAGCTGTTAGTTCCAAAGTCACATGAATCCATTCACCTCGTTCTATTTAGCAACTATCTAGCAGCTATTCAGAAGCTACTTGGCAATTCTTTAGCATTTATTCAGCAGCTATTTACCAACTATTTTGAAGCTATTTAGAAGCCATTCGTCAACTATTCAGCAACTATTTAGAAGTTATTTTGCACCTATTTAGTAGTTATTCAGCAACTATTTAGAAACCATTTAGAAGCTATTTAGCAACTATTTAGCTGCTATTTAGCAGCTATTTAGCAACTATGTAGCAACTATTGAGCAGCTATTTAGCAACTATTTAGCTGCTATGTAGCAGCTATTTAGCAACTATTTAGCAACTATTGAGCAGCTATTTAGAAGCTTTGAAACTATTTAGCGGTTATTTAGCAGTTTTTTAAGCTATTTAGCAGCTATTTCAGTAACTATTTGGCGGCTACTAAAGCTATTTAGCAGCTATCTAATACAGGTAACTATTTAGCAACTATTTGGCAGACATTCAGCGTGTATTCAGCAACTATTTAGCAGCTACCTAGCACGTATTTAGCAGATCCCTGTGATAATTTTCTCTACAAAATAGTGCGGCAAATAAGGAGGTGCAAACACCTCTCGAGCCAGTGCAGGGCCACCAGTTCAAACTTTGTCTACAAAATACAGGATTGAGCGTCGTCAAATATTATATATATGTATATAATGCTATACATGTCATGTGCTTTACATGCATGAAAATTGAATACGATTTTTATTGATACCAAGATTGAACAACATTGAACCTTAGATAACATCTCCCTACCTGCCAGTTCCCACGATGCCCAACCTCCCGCGGTAAATTCCTCTTCCCGTCTCCCTACCTGCCAGTTCCGGCCTTGGAAGTCCCATGTCATGTGGTAAATTCGTCTCCCTTGAATGTCCCATCTCCTGCGGTTAAATTCCTCTTCCCGTCTCCCTACCTGCCAGTTCCCACCTTGGATGTCCCATCTCCTGTGGTAAATTCCTCTTCCCGTCTCCCTACCTGCCAGTTCCCACGATGCCCAACCTCCCGCGGTAAATCCTCTGCCCGTCTCCCTACCTGCCAGTTCCGGTCTTGGAAGTCCCATGTCATGTGGTAAATTCGTCTCCCTTGGATGTCCCATCTCCTGCGGTAAATTCCTCTTCCCATCTCCCTATCTGCCAGTTCCCATCTTGGATGTCCCATCTCCTGTGCTAAATTCCTCTTCCCATCTCCCTACCTGCCAGTTCCCACGATGCCCAACCTCCCGCGGTAAATTCCTCTTCCCGTCTCCCTACCTGCCAGTTCCGGCTTGGAAGTCCCATGTCATGTGGTAAATTCGTCTCCCTTGGATGTCCCATTGGAAGTCCTGCGGTGTAAAATTCCTCTTCCCATCTCCCTACCTGCCAGTTCCCACGATGCCCAACCTCCCGCGGTAAATTCCTCTTCCCGTCTCCCTACCTGCCAGTTCCGGCCTTGGAAGTCCCATGTCATGTGGTAAATTCGTCTCCCTTGGATGTCCCATCTCCTGCGGTTAAATTCCTCTTCCCATCTCCCTGCCTGCCAGTTCCCACCTTGGATGTCCCATCTCCTGTGCTAAATTCCTCTTCCCATCTCCCTACCTGCCAGTTCCCACGATGCCCAACCTCCCGCGGTAAATTCCTCTTCCCGTCTCCCTACCTGCCAGTTCCCACCTTGGATGCCCCACCTCCCGTGGTAAATTCGTCTCCCTTGGATGTCCCATCTCCTGCGGTAAATTCCTCTTCCCATCTCCCTATCTGCCAGTTCCCATCTTGGATGTCCCATCTCCTGTGGTAAATTCCTCTTCCCATCTCCCTACCTGGCAGTTCCGGCCTTGGATGTCACATCTCCTGTGGTAAATTCTTTTCCCATCTCCCTACCTGCCAGTTCCCACCTGCTGTGGTACATGTTTCCTCCCTACCTGCCAGTTCCGGCCTTGGAAGTCCCATTCCGGCCTTGGAAGTCCCATGTCATGTGGTAAATTCCTCTTCCCATCTCCCTACCTGCCTGCGGTAAATTCCTCTCCCCCTTCTCCCTAGCTGCCAGTTCCCCCAGTTCCGCCTGCCAGTTCCCATCTTGGATGTCCCACCTCCTCATCTTGGATGTCCCATCTCCTGTGGTAAATTCCTCTTCCCATCTCCCTATCTGCCAGTTCCCATCTTGGATGTCCCATCTCCTGTGGTAAATTCCTCTTCTCATCTCCCTACCTGGCAGTTCCGGCCTTGGATGTCCCATCTCCTGCGGTAAATTCCTCTTCCCATCTCCCTACCTGCCAGTTCCCACCTTAGATGTCCCATCTCCTGTGGTCAAATTCCTGTTCCCATCTCCCTACTTGGCAGTTCCCACCTCCTGTGGTACATGTTTCCTCCCTACCTGCCAGATCCGGGCTTGGAAGTCCCATTACGGCCTTGGAAGTCCCATGTCATGTGGTAAATTCCTCTTCGCATCTCCCTACCTGCCAGCTCCCACCTTGGATGTCCCATCTCCTGCGGTAAATTCCTCTTCCCGTCTCCCTATTTGCCAGTTCCCACCTTGGATGTCCCATCTCCTGTCGTTCCCTACCTGCCAGTTCCGCCTGCCAGTTCCCATCTTGGATGTCCCACCTCCTCACCTTAGATGCCCCATCTCCTGTGGTAAAATTCCTCTTCCCATCTCCCTACCTGCCAGTTCCCACCTTGGATGTCCCATCTCCTGCGGTGTAAAGTCCCATGTCATGTGTAAATTGGCTCACTTATTCTCATGTCATCTGTCAAAAAAATGGAAAAATGCCTGCCCGTTAGGTCGGCGCATAACTCCCATGTCATGTGTAAAATAAAAAACCATAGCAAAATCGATACATAAATCCCATGTCATGTGCCAAAAAACATCGGCTAAATCGGCCGCAAAGTCCCGTGTCATCTGCGCCTAGTATATATACAAATATGTGGTTTCGATAGAGCAACATGTATGAAAAAGCGCAAATCAAATCAGTTTGCTAAGACGGTCGTTAATGCCATTGTTTCTACATGTTTTCTTGCACATGCCATTGTTGTGTGTACTATACTAATGACAAGATAGAAAGACATACATATATATATATCATGTTTCTCTTTTAAGCAATACATGTCCACAATTTACGGATGCTTTTCCCAAACCAAACCTCCATTCATATTGGATTTTCATGGATTTTCCCATGGATCGTTCCAAATACTAGCATATTCTGATGACATTCCCATTTGAATCCCCATGAATCACAATTTTTGTTGGTTCATTTTTCCCATATTCCCATATCCCCGGCCGTGTGCCCCAAAAACCTGGCTGTTCCGCAGGAGCAAATCACTGATTGGACCGGCCTGACGATGACGGCTCCGCCAGAGGAGGCCAAGCCAACGGAGGTGGTCGTGGCCATGGTTGGTGGAAACCGTGGAAACCAAAAAAAAGAAACCAATGGAAAAATAATGAATTAACGAACAAGTCTCCGGGGATTTCATGGGATTTATAGTGGATTTAACTATGGCATCATGGGTTTACAATGCTATCTTAATGGATTATTCATTGAATGTTTAATGAGTGTTGGTGATTATGAATCCATGAGTTTGAAGGCCTACAAGGTGGTGCCTCAGTTCGGAATCGCTACGTAGAAGGCTTACAACCCCAAAATCATACCCCAAATCGCAGCAGCTACATTTGGATTCACAGGGCTTATGTCCTTATTCTTTTCCATTGCTGTTTGGGTTTTACCACCATGCAATAAGCCAAGTATGTTTCCCATGTTGCTTGGTTATATATTTGCACGCCCCCCTGCCTTTATATCCATTGATGCCGGTCATTCATCCCCAGAATAACCTTATACGACGTATTAAATCCCCATTTGTATTCCATGTTTCTCCATGTTGTTTTAATATTCAATTATATGGGAATAATACGTGATATGCATGTTCTAGAACCATCCCAAATATGGAGACATCCAATACCCGTGGATATCCACAAAAAGCATAGGCTTCATATCCACGGTATCCCCATATTGTAAATACTTACCCATCTATAAGAATAATGATTTCATTATACTGAAATCCCAACGGTTAAGCTAGTGAACTAGGACAAGCCAACTGGGGCACCATCTTCTATATATCCGACTATATCCCCCATTATACCACTATTTTGGGTACATTATCGTGACCTCACCGTCACCTCCCTGGAATGAAGTTTAGTAAGGGGAATATGGAATCAACCCCAAATGTCCTTGTTTCAGATTAGTGAAATATTATTATTTACACAGGCTATTGTTGAATGCTTATCCAAATGGCCAGATTTGTATTCCACTTTATGCATTAAAAATATCTCATTAAGAATCCGTTTATCTATACAAATGATTTCAAAATTCAATTTGGTACTGTGATACATTCATCAACCATCCTATTATCCATGTCAATATGAAATAGATATATCCAATTAACAAGTTCATAGATAATCCATTATTTTAGATATATGGGTAATAATCCGATTAATCTAAATAGCGACCCCATTAATCCCAATATTCAATGAGTAGATAGTAATGTGGGAAAACATAAATTATCGTAGAATAATGAGCTAAGAACCCCGTGAATCTTGATAATAATGCATAACTTCTTCATTCATATGTAACATATGTAATACACATTTAGTTTTCTTGAGTTTATCACTTTGTGGGGTTTTGTCGGGTTATTATAGCCATTGTTTAGTCAAGATTACCCGTAATACCATTTTTGTCATCACCATTATATATAACCATCGTTATGGGAGTAATGTAGCGCATTATAACCATTATTTGGCACCAGATCAAAACCAATATCACCGTTTTAGTGGTGATTAATGATTAATACCATTGAATAGTTATTACCAAGATTTCTTATGGAACTACTAATCCCATTAAGAACTATTAATCCCATTATTAAACAATTTTAATGATACTACCATATTTGTTTTACCTAGTTCCCTTTGAAACAAAATCTCAGGCAAAGACTGAGCCAATGGAGCCCAAGGCGGTTTAATGGGACTTCAACCATGAAACCAGGGTCATTTAATGGGATTTGTTGAGATATTTACTATTTATACATGTATATATATATATGCCGTTTTTTTGGTGATTTAAATGGGATTGAACCATGAAAAATATGTATTGTATGGGATTGGCTTACTAGGGATAGTTATGGGATAATTAAACTTGGAGCTGTCCATTGCCAGAGTATGTATGAGAGGGATATTCCTTTCAAAAGCGGGATCTTAACGAAAAAATATTGGACATGACCTACTGTGGATGGACACAAATCCTGCACCACCTTGGATGGTGGAAACCCTGTCAATAATGATGATAACTCACCCATGAGTTGGTGCAGATGATGTTTTCATCCACTGTATGTAAGATTGCAATTTGTGCTTAACTTTCCGTTGCCAATCTATGCGGCTTTGTCTCAAGATGGGCGATTTCCACACACTTTATGGCCATCTGAAGAATGTCAAACGAGGCTTCAATCCATGGGATGGAACACGGTTTTCCCATTGGTTTTTCCCATTGGTTCCAGGTTGGTTTCAGGTGGGTTACACATGGAACTCCATTTGGCCCGCATGAATTGGGATTAAGCTTTGGTAATCAGACATTGAAAAATGGAACATCCTTCGGTAATTTGGGAAAAACAGGGTGGTTCTATGCGACTGTTCATTCCTGGAGGGTATTTGGGAATGTCTATTCGAACAAAAAACGGTTTTCATAAACATGTTTCATTTCCAAGGGAGTGGAAATCTACGCCTTGGAGTTGGTTGGTGTTTTGGACTTGTGTAGCAATGCCTAGTTAAAATAAGATCCCATTTGGCTGACAGTCTTCACCAAAATTATGGAATAATTTACATCTCAAAACATGTTCGGGTCAAATGTTCAGTAATTATAGATCATTATAGGTCCATGTCAAATAATGTGCCCGGTTTGGCGCTCATCATTATTCCTGAGAAACAATGCTCATGCCATCCAGCGGTGGTTCGAGAACTAATTCACTTCCAGGGCAAATTTACTGGAACACCTTGTGTTCATTAGTTAGGGCCATGGTGTGCCATGATATGAATGGTCTCCTAAACCAAGGCAAAGATTGGTTTATCAAAAATTGATGACATATATTTTCCCTTTAGAGGTTAGCACCTTGGGATATATCCCATTTCAAACACAGCTGCAAAAGTCGGCGGAAATCGATGCTGGGAGTTGATTGCCACAACCAACCAAACAAGCCTGATGAACCACCATGGATTCACATGGGATTCCATCACCAATTTCGAGATACCATCTGGTTATTTAACATAGCCATGGAAAATCACCATTTTTAATAGGTAAACCATCTATAAATGGACCATTTTCCATGGCTATGTTAAATAACCAGAGGGTATCAATAGTCCATTTGCATCTATTTGCCACACTTTGAGGGGGTATTCCTTACGTTGGCCTTACACGTTGGCCTTACATAGACGTCGTATCAGGGTAATCTAATCTAGCACTGGAATGTCCCTGACAGATAGAAGCATCATCTATAGATACCCTCCGGTAAACTAACATAACCATGGAAAATCACAATTTTTTATGGGCAAATCCACTATTTCTATGGCTATTTTCAATAGCAAACTGTTAGTTTGCCAGAGGGTAGGCGATTTCTCTTGTCAGCTTAGGCTACTGGGTACAGTACCTGAAATTTGACCTATTTCCATGAGGTCAAGGGGACCAATTTCCATGGAGTGATTTGAAAAACCCATTTTGCTGGTAAGCAGTATTATAGTTAATTGTTATGACTGAAACCATTATGAACCATTATGGGGATATATGTTTCAATTCATATTAGCCAGGGTTGGCAATTTGTCTTCTGCAGCCTTTCTTACTCGTTACCTGCCTCGGGAGCCTCGCTTCCCAAATTCCTCGCCCGGGGCCAGAGTAATGTGCTTGCCAAAGCAATAGGATCCATCATCCCCTTAAATTTGCCAGACATGGGTGGGATTCCAACCATCAAAATATGAGTTTATTTGTTTGCTTTACCAACCTTAAGATTGTTTTTTGGGGGGAGGTTAGACCTGGATTTTTCGGCTATAATCAATGATCTAGACATAAATGTCCATGAAACGCGGTTCAACCATGAAGATTTGAGTTTGCTTGGGGTAATGTGTGTTTTTGCCAGTAGGAAACTAGCATTGAACATGTGAAAATTGGATACCGATATGAGGGCGATTAGTACGGGGACTGAGTGTATCTACACCAAAGGTAGGCAACTGTATTCATGGAGATACTGAAGTAAGGTCTTTTCCGACTTTTTTGGGGGCTGGAGATGCCAACTTCCTGAATCATGTTTTACATGATGACGATATTCTTGATTGATATGCTGGTGGTGTTGGTCGTTGAATTCAGGAGGCGTATTGGCTGGTGAGTTCAAATGATTCATTGCTTTACATCCTTGGGTGATGATGATCCCATATAACCAAGCAGACCAGATATGCAATGACATTGCGGGTTCAAAGTCAATGGAGTAATGGGTGCCAGTTGGGGTACCATTGGGCAATTGGTCCCCAAAAGACTATAACTGTTTGTAATGCCCTCCAATAAATTATCAGAGACCCTAAAATAGCCCCTATTTGGTAGAGATAATAATTTATTGGAGGGTAAACTGGTAAACCATCCACAACCCAATTTGTGGAGTAACCTGTTTGTTGGACCATCCCCAAGCTTCTGCAGTTCCACCCGCGTAAAATCAGCTGAATAATCATATTTTTCCCCAATTCAGTTTCGGTTTTGGGTGATATGCCCTTGTTTAGGCACACCCAAGTAAGACACAGTTGGTTATTATATATCCCACATATACCCAAGATTCCCAATTCTAGCAATCTAATCTGCCCATGGAATCAAAAAAGGTGATATCTTACAATTTCCCAGCACCCAAACACAATTTCCCGGGAGCATGTCTTGACGAGCCGAGGATCACAATGGCCCTTTCCCAGTATTTGGCTCCGATGGATTTTACTTTTGAGGACGGGAACTGCTGGAGGACCCAGGCTATGACCATGGTGAAATGGGCCCCCATTCTTGGGATATGGGGCCCCTACGATATATTATATGGTGAAATATATCCACTTAGTTGACCGGAACCGCACTTCCAAGCTATATGACTTGAAATCGTTCACCCCATGTCGTGGCACAGTTCCATTAACCACTTAAGCTGGCGACGGTTTACCATGGAGATATCCATGTATAGAACGGTGTGATCAGCATCGGGCGCCAAATTCCAAGGTGAGGGATGAATCTGAGTAGCAGGCAGTTTGCTTGGGCATTCTCTTGGGGGTGTTGGTTACTACAACTTCAATTTGTCAGGTTTTGGTCTTGCCAACGGAAACAACATGTCAAGAATGGAGTTAGCTAACTAGCTACTAAAACAGATTATCCTTGGGATATAGTGGTTTATCCCACTGACTAACCAGTTGGCTAATCCCCTTGCCCATCTAAGTGTACCATAGCATACTACCCTCTGGTAATCAAACACAGCAAGGGGAAAACGATCCATAAGGGGGAGATGTTCAATTGCCATGTTTGATTACCAGAAGGCTCTATCCATTCTGTATACACATTCTACATTGCCCATCTGAGTAAAAACTTGTAGTTGGGTGATAAACCACTATTATTAATCAATTGATTTGTAATGAGCAGTTGCCTACTCTGGATAGAGGAAATCCTGCACCAGTTGGTAACTATTGATAAATATGAATCGCTGTAAATATTGGGATTATACTGGGAACCATCTATCAATTGGTGCAAAATTTCTTCCATCCACTGTCTGGTCCATCTAAGTATGAACTTGTAGTTGGGTGATTAACCACTGATTTATATACAGTAAGTACTTTTATAGTCCATTGATTTGTATATACTTCTGTATAGTCCATTAGTCCACTGATTAGGATTTATAGTCCACTGATTTATATACTTTTATTATAGTACATTTTTACACTGATAATATAACCACTATATTTATAGTCCATTTTAACCACTAAATCCATGGCCTATCTAAGTACCTCGTCCTTCGCAACAGGAGATGATCGCCTTGGAACAATGCAGCGCCCCATTGGCACGTCGCAGTGAGCGCAGCCGTCGTCGCGAGCGTCGCCGTAGCTATGCCTTCCCACGTCGTTAATGGATCCTCGGCAAAACCGTGGAGAATCCTTGGTTGGACTTGATTGGTAAATGAGCTCAATATATGCTGATGATGTGATATATGTTGATATTGGTCAATTGTGTGTAGCCATTGGTTCCGTATATATTGTATATATATATATATATTGATTGCCTATATAATTACGTATTTGCGATTTTATGGCTTGAGTAGCCTTCTTTGATTGCAGAAAGAGCGACTATAGGTCAGAAGTGCAGAGGTTCCAGGAACCGCTGATCCATGCCTTGTATCATCACCATACAAATTGTTGGATACTGGAACCCATTGGACAATTGGACAATCCCTTTCCATTGGACAATTGGACAATCCCTTTCAAGGAAAAGGTTTGACCGGAACCCAGTTTCCGACGGAAAATGGTTAACAAACATCAGGTAATCCTTGTGCCAGATTACATCATGAGACGATATATCAAACTTGGATTAGCGAGCCTTGGTTGACTAGTTGAGGGTGTAGCCATAGGAAGTAATCAAACCGACCCATGTATTTAGTAATCCAGAGTCAACATGATAGATGCTTCGACTTGTTCATGTTTTCCTTGGACCCACATGCGACAGTTGCCAAGTTGCAGTTTTGGTCTATATACATACATCGTATATCATATATGTATAGTTTTACCAGGTTCAAATACATACACATATTTATATAATCTAATTATTTATGCAGTATATACAGTATATATATATATATATATGCACCTTGGGTACATCTTGGGTATCGATATGTTTTCTCATGGAAAACATCGAGGGGATTTTCCTGGCTCAACCGGTATCCCAGCTGGCAATCGCCGAAGTTGTTGCAACCTTCAAATGACTTTCAGCCTCAATGATGTAGCATTTGTATATGGGATGTTTAGTAATGTTATGTGATCACTGGGTAAATCATGACATTTATGAAAGTAATCATTTGGATATGAGAGAGATCTTCATGTATGAGCATGTGCTTAATCCAATTGTGCAAGCTGAGCGGGCTCCCAGACATATTGGATGACGTGCTGCCACCCCAAAAAAGTGTGGTTTCCTGACGTTTCCCGGGCTTTAATGTTTGACCCATACTCACCTTGGTTATCCTTGGTTGCCGTAAGCCCCTCCGTTGTGTTTTAAGATTTGACGGTCAAGAGAGATTGGTGTGGCTTCAAATTGTTGGCACCAACAAATGGTGGAATTGATACTACAAACGAAAAGAGCAATCAATCTTTTGGTCCTGTTGGTGCCGCATTTTTTAACCAACCTGACCGACCTTATATAAAGTATCATCCTAGAAACCATGTTTTAGTACTGGGAGTTATTCATGTTGGCCATGTGAAGGGTATTTGACACCGACCTTGGAGGGCTTCAGGGCATATGTTGAGATCAGCCTTGAATGGATTGTGTGTAGCCTCAAGGGCTTGCCCATCGCAGTTGTTGCGTGATGCACTTTTTGTGGACAGTTGCAAGGCGATCCCAGGTATTAAGCATGTGTGTTGCTTTAGGTTGATTGATCATTTGTTGTTGCTTGGAAGGCATCCGAAGGTCATCGAATTGGTGTAAGTTTCTTTGAGTTACAAAGTGACAACGAAACTGACTGGATCAATTGCGTCTTCAGAAGGTCCCGGTGGAGAGGTAACGTTTCCTGGTTGGAAGACTTTCAGATTCAAGGGTGGCTGCCGCTTCAAATTAGAGGAATCAGATAAGTAGAATTATATAATATCCCCATTACTCCGATTACATTCCCATTTTATTTACTGTATATGTAATATAAATATATATATATATGTCATAATGCCACATTTCTGACGGCCATACCATACTAAACTCTCATGAAATCCCATCTCAACCACAGCATTTGTTTTTCCTCCCAAGGAGTTGACGTGGGAAGGCGATTGCGCTTTCACAATGACCGGACTTAACGAGTCAGGTGCCAGGGATTGGGTCATGATCTCTTTATTTTACCCTGCATTTCTAGAAGAATGCGCATGGATATTTGCACACATGCGTATATAAATGTAATAAATGGAACTATTATCTTATCAATAATATCTTATCATAACTATTTACATATAGTATATCTTACAAAAGCTTACAGGTTGAGTCGGCATTTGTTTGACTGAAGCGCCAGGTAAGCCAAAAGCTTTGGCTTTCCAGGGCCTTCGGGGCCTTCGGCCCCATGCTTCTGAGGAGTGGGACGAGTGGGACAGCCATGGTGAGGCTTGAGACGTCTGGATCACCAATATGTTTAACCATGTTTAACCTCCAAAATGAAGGGATAAAACCAACAGATGAAATGTTTTTTTTGGAATTGAATGATTGACTGGGGTGAGTTTAGCAACTTTAGTATGGTTTAGCCATGAAAGAAGGTGATTCAACTTCTAAAACATGGTGGTGTGATGGGATGGCAATACAATGCGGCGGATCCAAGGAATCTAATGGGGATAATCCAAGCATTCCATTCCTAGCAATGGACAAGAATCATTGGTGGTTTCCTATTGGCCCTGGGTGACTACAATGAGAATCTTGTGACTGACCCTGGCGAAGGTGACACCCCCCAAATGGAGCACAGCAATCTCCAAAAAGATCGAAACGGAAGATCGTCACAAATGAAACCTTTCAGTCCGATATCGCTGAAAAAAAAGCCAATAACAAATCTACCAGTGGAGTCCTTTCTGTCCAATTGTTTGGTGGTTAAATATAGAGGGGGTTGATGAAGCCCGAAAATCAGGGTTGATGATGGTCCCCATGCCTTTCATCATGTCGAGATGGCTAGCAGTATTTGGATGCCATGGGACGCCTCAAAACTACAGAGCCTTCGATGTTTAGCAAGGCTTAGCATGTGGATACCCTCTGGTAAACTAACATGGCTATAGAAAATCACCATTTTTAATGGGAAAACTCACTATAAATGGCCATTTTCAATAGCTATGTTAGTTTACCAAAGGGTATCGAAGCTATTTAGCATGATCTCTTAGGCTATTATCTTGGGCGATCCCACACAAGTGCTTTGAATTACATTGGTTGCTTGCTCACAAGCTCACCTAGTCATCTCTATTTTCCCTGAGGAAACAGCGTGTTTTTTTTTCTCTTTTTTTTTGCATGCCTGCGGGGATCTGAACAGAATTATCTTGAGGATTCGTAGAGATCTTGGGTGTTCTCGGTTGTTCTTGGGAGCCCCAACCACCCCCAGGAAGAGATTGATGAAGCCTTCCAAAGCGCTGTGGTGGAGGTGGAGCTACCCGTGGAACGGTTGGCAAATTTCCGTTTCAGGGAAAGAAAACATGATCGTGTTACCATGTTCGGCCGGAAGAGATCAAATGGTTAGATGTTGTTCCACATGAAACTGGAACATCCGCAATGTCTGGCGCGGGTCCGATTCTTATGATTCTTTGAAAGGCGCAGTTCAACTTGTTTTGGGGTTATTGAGACCATGGAGCAGGATGGAGCCTTCATCATGACCAACTGTACGAAGCCAAAGGCATTGCCAGGAAATATGGACTCTGAACAAAAACAAGTTGATGTTGGTTATGTGGAACCACTGGGAAATAAATATGTACTTCTTCAACTTATGTGTCTAGATTTACGTGGGTTTCTCTATAGACTCATGTTTTTTTCCGTAAATTGATTGTCTTTTTTCCCATCAATAGTTTAATTTCATTTAATTTCAACATAAATGATTAAATTATGATAGGACCATTTTTAACGGACCTATATAGTGTCAATGTTTTTTCACTTGTTGGAAATCCAACAACTACCCTCTGGTAATTTCACATAGCTATAGAAAATCACCATTCTTAATAGGTAAATCAACGAACTAAATGGCACTTTTCCATAGCTATATGTGAAATCACCAGAGGGTAGTTGTTCAATTTTCATGCTTTGGTCGCTGAAGGCCTGGCGCGACGCCAAGCCCCGGCGCCTGTCGCGGCTGTCGGAGCTGACGGCCAGCTATGAGGAGCCAGCTACAAGGTGGTGAGGAAACCATCGGAGAATGATGATTTCACTGTAACTATCTAACCAACAAAAAATTGTTTAATTGGAGTTATAGCTGATTTATAGTTGATTTGTGGTAGCTAAGTTGGCTTATATAGTTACCTATCGCTTATAAGTAAGTTGAATATGAAATGGTTTATGGCAGATATGACTATAGTTGGGGGGGTTAAGATAAACCAACTTATAATTCGGGGGGAAGGGGGGGGTGCAAGGGAAGATGAAGGGAGGACTGAGTGTCCCGTTCACACACTTGGGAAGGATGTAGAGAGAGAGAGAGGGAGAGAAATAGTTGAATGAAAGATGAAAAGACATGAACACATGCTGTTGTCACTCTTCATGTATGTAGGCTCGTGCATATCCAGAGAGAGAGGTACTCCAATTGGTTCCAAACAATTGTCATTTGGGGACCAGGATCCAGTTGCTAAGCCGCATGGTCAATCTCGAACATGGTTTATTTCAACAGTTTATATTTTGGTGTGTCTGAAGGGTATGTCCCCCAAAAGGCCTTTTCAACGCGGAAAAGATGGGTAAATAATGATTGACCAGTGGCCTTAGGGGTACCTCATTTTCAGATAAAACCAGACGTCCAGTTTGGGAAGTCCCAGGACCTTTTGTCTGGCAAGCCAAGGCATTTGCACAAGCGCAGGCATGGTGCTTTTTGCAGCCAAGGCTTTGGCAGAGCTCACCTTCTACCCTAGCAGAAGAAACTCATTGAGCCCCCGAATTTGATTTGTTTGAGACTGCTTGGTAGAACTTACTGCAATATGCCGATGTTTTCCCATATTTTGCATGGCACAACTTAACACGGCTGCAAATGCAGGGCAGCCAAGATCAGCTGCTGTCATGATGGGATTGGATAATCCCTTCCGGGGACTTAGACATTTGGGACCATTGACGGGGTGCTGGATATTAGGTGGAAGTGGTGGAAGGGATTGATTTGGTGGGGAAATTGAATTTACTTGAGCCAAGCTTGTACTGTGTACCCCACCCAACCATGTGAGAACAAGCATTTGAAGCTTGCCCCATCATGATTACTGTTCCTCTTGTTTGGTGGTTTCTTATCCTTTCATATTCCCATGCTTGATGTTTGAGTTTGCAATCCAGTGAAATTGACATGAATATGGAAAACCCAAAAACCCACCACTGACAGATCGTGCCTTTTTTTTACGTTTAGAGATGCCGCGGTGAAAGTCCAATGGTCCAGCGGTTAGGCCGGGTTCGTTAAGCCCAAGCGCTGACCAGGACAGGCGGCAAGAAGAAGCCGCGCTGTCGCTTGCAGAAGCTGCATGGGCTCCTTCAATCGTTGCCGTTTGGATCGCAAGAACTGGACGATTTCCCTGGAAAACCAACCTCCAACTCCAATGCTTGGTGGGCCATAGGTCAAACTCGACCCCCCCCAAAAAAAGCGGTCACCAGGATGATTCCCTCTGGCAGTTTAACATTTATAGTAAATTTTAAAGCTATGGAAGATGGCCCGATAATCATGATTCTCCCATCAAACATTGAAGTTCCTATCAAAAATACTGATTGATCAGGGTTCATATTAAAGATGGCAATGATTGAACATGTTCCTATCAAACATACTGATTGTTCACTGGAGGGTGCCACTTAAAAACCGGCTTCATGCACCATCACGCGTGGATTCGTCTCGACGACGTCTCGACGACGAATCCACCTTTCGGATGATCCCAAGGGACCAACTGAAGAGGCTCCCCTGTCCCAAAGCCAATGCGTATGTCCCAAAATCTTGAGGAACATGTTCACAACTTTGGTGGGTGAAATCCCAGCTGTTCCATTACATATTATATATATATATTTTTGTATATTATATATATAGACATTATATAATATATAATATATATATATACATATTGTATATATAGAGTATATATTATATATATATTTTAAATTATATATATACACATTTTTTGATTAGTCTTGTAAACCTTAATCATCATATCCACACATATTCCAATATCCCAAATGTATTCCAATTGCTATGCTATTTATATTCACTTGCTGGTAGTATTCCACAGATGTATATCATAGTATCCGATCATATGAACATGCATCCATTTTTTTATCCCTCTCTCTCTCTCTATGCATACACACGTGAAAATATGCATACATATGCACAGCACGTTATAACTTAGTTGTTTATTACTATTCATCACAGTTAGATATCCATAATCTAACTATTAATAGTTAATGATCTTACTATTCTAGATCATCTAACTATATATTAGATATCATTTAGATGATCTAACTGATATAACTATTTGGTTTAAGCTATTCAGATCTATCGTTCAGGCCCTTTCAGCAGCGACGCCAGACCCTTCTGGCACTTTCCGAGACCCAGCGCCGCGCCTTGGAAGGCGGGCTTTCTGTGAGTTCAGCATTGAAAATTCGGGGTTTCACCATCAAAAATGAGAAGTTATTACCCTCTGGTGAACGAACATTTTGCTATGGAAAGATCCACAATTTTTAATGGGTAAATTCACTATTTCGACTGGGCCATTTTCTATGTCGCTTTTTGTAAACGTTTACCATTTCGGGTAACCAGAAATCAGGATTTAAGCAGCATGGTGACCCTTTTGCATGAAACATGGTGGTTTCACCAGCAAAAATTGTATATTTCCATAGATGTCCCAAATTCCCATTGGTTGGTTGATGAAAAAAAGGGTTTTGTTTGATTGTTTACCCCTTTAACAGGTAAATGATGATAGATGGTATACCAGCTCCCGGCCCCTCTATTTTTATCAACAGGAGATGTATTCTCAAAAGGTGGGCACCCTCAGCTGTTTTTTTTAAAACTCACTTAGCTGTTTGATGACTATCCTGGCTTTGTGATGCGTAATAATCATTATTATTGTTATTTGTTTCACTTTGCATGGAAATAATCAGATTTGTTTTGGTGAGTTTTAGTATGTTTTGGTTAATGACAAATATTGTTACTGTTAATCCTCCTGTTGATTAATTATTAGTTTTTAGTTATTGTTTCCGTCCGACAGGATGAAATTCACAATTGTTTCTGAACTTTTCCCATAAGCACAGAGGCGCAATATGGACCTTTCCCGTAAGCACAGAGGCGTTCATGTTCACTTGCGCACATTTTTGATGCTAAGCTATGAGATCATCTCTTGCACTTGTACACATGTTTGCTGCTAACTTATGAGATCTTCTCTTGCAATTGTACACTTGCTTGATGAATGCTACGCTATGAAATTTACTCTTGAACTTGCACACATGAGATCTTCTTGCGCACTTGCACACATACTCGATGCTATGCTACGAGATCACACAAACCCAGTTTAATGACGGTGCTGAAAGCATTGAAATGTTACCGCGCGACCAGTTTGGTTATGTGTAGGGCGCCCTTGCTCCCAGTGGCAGAAGCACGTGTACACTCAGTTCGAACGTGGTTATTGGTTGTTGTTGATGAGTGGCTTTAGCACATATGATGATAAACGCTATGGGCCATTTGTTGTTTTTGGTTGCAACCCTCATGCATGTGAGCAGAGCCTAGGGGCCTCATCTAGCTGATGATAGGAGCAGAGTCATCCCAAATTGTCACAGTATAGTCCCAGAATAGCTGGATTGTCCCACTTTATAAGTGATTATCCTACAAGCTGATGATAGAAGCAGAATAGTTGGCATTCTTGTGTGATTAGACAAAGCTCTCACCACAGCGACGTTGGCCCCCAATTGATATGACATGTCGTCAGATCAGTGGAACAACTTCCTGACTTCCTCAGCGGTGTCAGTCCAAGCAAGTTCTCCTTGAACAAGCCGAAGAACCATTCCAGCGCGGAGAGAAATATGGAAACCCAACATGAAGTGGAACAGCGGCAGATCAACACTTACCTCTTTGGCAACTACGCTGCCGTGTCCAATTCTGAGGTGATCAATCTGTGTGGAAAGCAGCCACGGGCGGCTCACCCAACACAAGGTTCGTTCCATATCGTATGTGTATAATAATTTATTGTGAAAATAGTTCACAATGTCCCAGTATATCCCCAATGTGGATCAATGTGGTAAGTCTTATTTCTTCTCATTGTTTATGCATATTGTACTGTTCTTATCCATGATTTATCCCAATCTACACGAATTTGACATTGTTAATGGTTTATAGTCCATTTCTGTTGGGTAACACTTCCCATATATTCCACCATGTTTAGCCACGCAGATTTGGAGGGAGTTGAATATTCCACCATGTTTAGCTACGCAGATTTGGAGGGAGTTAAAGAACCACGGGTATCCAGTTTCCCCAGACCAAGAGTTTCCCAACCTCATAATAGTCTTGAGTTTATATCATTTATATCTCCATATATGGGGATTAGTCAAAACTTGGTGGCTGATCCCACTTAGTAGCTTAGTTCACCCCAGTTCTATGGGGGGTTCCATGAAAGAGGCTGCCCCAGAATGGATGATTTATGATGAAACAACGCATTGAAATGGCTGATTAGGGGAGGGCCCTATTTATGGAAACCTTCATGTAAATGGAGTGACCCCACTTCTCTTAACAAAAGCAGGGATATAACTTGTTATACCTTCTGGTAAGACTAAGAGATATAGCTATTGAAGATGGCCCAGTCGATATATAGTGGCTTTACCTACTAAAAATGGTGATGTTCCATAGTATTCCATGGCCTTAGTGATATATCAAACACGATGGAAAGATCCACCATTTTCTAGCTGGGTAAATCAACTATTTACCAGAGGCTAAACTGTTTATGATTCGTGGGAATCGACAGCCAGGCTGGATCCTCTCCAAGCACCGCGTGCCGAATCGCCAGCGCCGCATCGCCAGCCATTTCGCTGTGCCGCGGCTGCCGCGGGCAGCGCAGATTTGGCACCGCGGCACACCGAAGTGTGGAGAAAACCTCTAAGAAATGATGAGTTCACCATGAATCATGGGATTTACCATCTGGTTTTTTAACATAAATTAAAATAGCCCTGGAAAAATCCTAAAATAAATGGAGGTATTAATGGGAAAATAATGTATAAATAGGCCATTTTCCATGGCTATGTTGAATAACCAGAGGGTAACATGATTTAATCAACAAAAATGGTGCACCCAACCGTCTAACCATCAAAAATTGTGATTTGCAAAGCAAAAATGAACGCATAATGGGATGCAATGTGATATAAAGGGGATCTAATGGGGACACTCTGGCTGCCTGAATTATAGCGACCGAACCGGGGCAGACATCACCATAGAGTATGTTTTTTTCCCCACATAGATGTGTATGACAGGGAAGCATCCCTAAATGGCGGAAAACGGTGAAATACCATAATTCAGCCACTTATGTCCGAACGTTCCTTTGTTGAAATCGTCGCTTTTGCCGTTGAAGATCCATATGTTTGATTGATCCTTTTCCAGTTTCGAAGTTTGATACCTTCAAACTCCAGTAATAGCTTACCCGCTTGCTTGCTGGACAATCCTTCACCTATGAATTATTTACTTCCAAAAAGGTGACAAAATTGTGTGCCAGATTCTTAGATTGTGGGATTGACCATGCAGTTCAAAAGGATGTCCCCATTTTGTCTCGTGTTCCAAACAAATGGAAAATTGGGATTGTTTTTTCCTGCAAAACTCTGAGGCCCACGCAAGATCTCAAAGGAAAAGCAACACAAATCACGAGTTTGAGAATCGAGATGCAAGATGATTGAATCAAGGTGACAGAGGGCACCCGCGAAGAGAATCGAAATCGAGACTAATCAAGTGCTTAGGATTGCCAGAGCAAATCTTTATGTTTCTTGAGGGTGGTCCCATACTTTGCCCGGGTTTCCTGATGATTTTCCCATGTCTCGCCACCCAAAAACCCGGCGACTGCCCCACCTCGCAGCACAAACCCTTCAGGCGTTGTGGCGCGGGCTTCGTGGCGGCAGTGCATCTGGGACGCGGCCTACATGCGCAGTCTGGCAAGTGCCAGGAGCGACTGGCCAGTGTAGAGATTGGATCATCGGATTTTTCTATTCCAATGTATTCCATATACCAGTAATCCCAATGACCCTGGGAGTTTTTGATCCATAGTAACTGGAGGTAAAAAAGCAACCAGCAATAATAGAGGTCATTTGGGCATAAATACATAATACATTTATATATATATAGATATACACACACACACATATATATATACAAATGAAAATACCCAGGAAGTCCAAACAATATCCGTTAAACATATATTTGCCGCATTTTCAAAGAATGTATTCGAGTGACAGGGTATATGTATAATCTACAAAAGTGGTGAGATAATGGAGATGGTTAATGGGGATAACATGGGGACATAGGATCAATCAACAACAATGATAGGATGGATGCATGGAGTTCGTTGGGTGGTTAGTTAATGTGATTTAACCATCAAAAATGATGATATAAAAATGATGATATAACCGGGATATATAGGATATTATGAGAGTAATGGGTCTTGATTCTGTAATCTCATGGGCATATTTGATGGCACACAGCATGGTATATCATCTACATATATAATCTAACGCAGATCATGTTTTCTGAGTTTGAAAGGTGGGATACTATGGATAAGGCAAATAATATGAGATGGACAACAGTTTGGATGCCACCGGGTCTTTTTTGCTTGGCCCACAGTGGGGTCATTTTTCAGTATGGTGGCATCCATATCATCCCCGCAGGGGAGGTCATGAATACTGGTTGATCAGAAAAGGAGAGGCACAAAAAAAAAAACATCAACAACATGCCGGCTATCATATGCTAGTCATTTATTATAGTCAACATTGACCCCACAAGTCAAGGTACCATGAAATCCTCAAGATTTTGCCCACTGTACGGCTAGCTCGGCCCAAAGTTCTCACCCAAATCTCGAAGGACCTCCCGTCAGCAGCGCGGCACTTCTCAGCGCTGCTGCGCTGGCGTGCGAAATGCCAGTGCTGGGCGAGCTCAGAACGTGGTGAAGTATGGTGATTTTAAGCATGCAAAAATCAGGATCAACTGGGAATAAACATGAAACGTGGTGATCTAATGGGATTTATTTGGATTTATGGGCTTTATGGGACTTCAACCAGAAAAAGGAGGAGTTAATCACCAACACATACGGATTTAATGGGCTTTAATGGGAGTCAAAGAGACTTGAACCATCCGAAAGTGATTCAATTGGAATTTCAACCATGAAGAATGGTGGTCTAATGGTTTAACTGGGATATGATGGGCATGCAATATGATATATCATCAACTATATCCAAAATTGTGGGTGTAGAGGTTGCATTTTTGGGTACAGTAAAACCATGGTCAAATAATCTCCACGATTGTTGGGATATGTGGGCCCTACATTATCCTATATCTATGGTTAGATCTCCACTTATAGGTGCAACGACACTTCCAAGCACAAGCTAAAACCAAATATTTTATGTGGATACCCTCTGGTGAACTAACATAGCAATGGAAAATCACCATTCTTAATGGGTAAATCCACTATAAATAGCCATTTTCCATTGCTATGTTAGTTCACCAGAGGGTATCCTGGGGGCAAACCAACATAGATTAGGAAAAATTAACGGTTTCCGTTCAGAAAATGATCTACAAGTGGTAGGTTCTCCACATCTATGCTAGCTTTCAGGAGCGTAATGGAAATGTAATTTGATATGTTACAACAATATGTTTAAAAAGAATCTGGTCAGATCTGAAACCCTCAAAAATTGTTAAATAAGGAACCCTTCACTAGCTATTTGTTGAAAGCCTATTTTGCTTGCACAGTTTGCTGGGACGAACGCCGAAGTACCATGCAAGTACGGTACCATGCAGCTCAAGCCTTTTGATTATTGAATTTCACGAGGTCTTGGGGTTTTGGGATTTTTAGGGTATATTGGGTTTCAAAGTCAAAATGCATCATTTCGAGCAACCTGCGCGCAGAAGGGTCGTGAGGAAAAGTGTTGAATGTTGTGATTTTTGTTGAATCAGTGGTCCACAGGTCCAACTGGCGTTCCAGAGAAACTGAAACAGTCGGAAACAGTCGGAAACAGTCGGAAACAGTCGGAAACAGTCGGAAACAGTCGGGAGCGGCCCGGCCTGATCATGCCAAAATTGTCAATCCGCATTTTTTTTGCAAAAAAAAACTTTCCGCGCAATCCCATTTTTTTTGTGAAAGTGCAACGGGAAACAGTTGGAAACAGTTGGGGCTCGTACCTTTGACTCGGCAAAAAAAGAGCTATTTAAAACCCTTTTATAAAGAAAATTAACCTTATGTTTCCCGTTGCACTTTCAAAAAAAAAAAGGATTGCGCGGAAAGTTTTTGTTTGCAAAAAAATTGCGGATTGACAATTTTGGCATGATCAGGCCGGGCCGCTCCCGACTGTTTCCGACCGTTTCCGACTGTTTCCGACTGTTTCAGTTTCTCTGGAACGCCAGTTGGACCTGTGGACCACTGATTCAGCAAAAATCACAACATTCAACACTTTTCCTCACGACCCTTCTGCGCGCAGGTTGCTCGAAATGATGCATTTTGACTTTGAAACCCAATATACCCTAAAAATCCCAAAACCCCAAGACCTCGTGAAATTTAACACTTTTGATGGGTTTGCTTGCAACTTGGGTATACATTATATATATAATATACACATTATATATCTAGTTTTATTGTGATTGCCATTGGAACAATATTTATTACATCATTATTGTTTTTTTTAATATTGGCTGCTATATCTATATCGAATCTATATCCATATCATGTATATATATATAATTATTATTATTAGTATTATTATTATTGTACCACCATTTTACTTGGTGAAATCACCATGCCATGGAAGATAATCCCTTGCAGATTCTCTTCGAGGCCTGCACCTGGAGCTTTGCAAGCCTAGTAGCAGACTCAGCACCAGCTTGGAGGATATAAACAAGCGCATAGGATATATAGTTATTTATAATATATATATATATACATAGTTAATTATAATATATATATATACATACATAAATAATATATATATATAACAATAATGATAATAATAATAATAAATTATTATTAATAATAATAATATTTTACAGTACATTTATTTATATTAAGAATATACGCATATTATACATATACTATATATATGTTAGATATTACAATATGTTTGCAATTTGAATGCACATATAAATGCATACATGTTTGAACGTAGATATTATCATGATCCAGCATATGAAAACTCGTGAACACTTTCCAACATATGAAATTCGACCTGTCTCTTGGAGTTGCTGCGTGATTGAAAACCACTAGTAGGATCAGCCCTTGCATGCGCATTCTGATCCTGGGCTGATCTCAAATCGCAACAGACCCCCAGCCCTCAGGTTCTCATTGTGATGCGAAGGCTGGACATGGGTCGCTTAAACAATCCCCAAGTGGATGGTTTATGGCACCAGGTTTCCCACATTATTTCAGCTTTACTTGAGATCCAAACTTCTGAGAATTGTGCAGCGACCCTATATAAAAAGCACCAACTGCAATGGTTCTCAAAGGATCTTATGCAGCAAACATCTCAAGATGAAAGTATCAAACAGGACAAATCACACGTGTCCAGGATCTCATTTTCTTAGATTCCTTGATTTGTGATGGAGCATTTAAGGCCTGTTGGGGACGACAAGATGTCGCATTGACAAGACAGCAACCACATGGAACCAAACAGCAACAAGATCCGACAGCGGAACCGGAACTTGGATAGCTTCGATACAGAAAATGTTGAATGATACGGAAGTGTTTGGGGCTTCCATATTCAATCCAGGTGATACTGCAGTCTTAGACTTGTTTTCGAATTGGTTTGCCACGCCAATTCTGGCTCAACGTTACCACCAAAAAAATGTCAGTGGACGGTTATGCAAATACTGAACATGACAAGTTCTGCGGGCGCACTGGTATCCCAAATTTGACCCATATACCCATGTGGCAAACCCAATCACAGAACCCCAATTTGGGTAAACGTGGTATACCCTCCAAAAGTTTGAATTTAGCATGAAATATATACTAAATATACCTTAAAAAGGCATAAACATACCAGCAACGATCAGGGTTTTCCCATGTGTTTTTTCTTTCGCAGGAGGCTGAGCTGTTTGCACGGAGCGTGCTGGAGGCCGAACTGCTCCATATATGGCGGGGATACCATGGAATAACCCCCAATTTCAGCCATTCTCATAGAGACAATTATGATCAACCATCAGAAATGTAGTGTTCCTTTCATTCAGACTTATGTAAACTTCCAACTCTGAAACATGCAACACAGATAACACAGTCTCACCCTTGAAGATATGCTGAGAATTCCACGCCTGATTGAGTTCGGAAACTCCAAGAACTGTTCAAGCATTGACCAGGTTTGATTCGAATTAGTGACCAAGGTCCATTTTTTAGTGATCTCCCATTGGACTAAATACCCTGCAAAATTGACCCAGCCAAGAATAGATGCCTGAGAATCCCTTACTATAGTGATTATTGGTGGTTACTAAGCCCTTAATATGTTCCTATGACTATATGTTACCCTTGGGGGGGTATGTAGCTTCAGATCCGAGCGAGCACTGGAAGCCACAGGCGCAGCCTACAAAAGCCACTGGCGCGACGGCCGCGACGGGCGCGAAGCTCTTCCTGCGAGTTCGCATGAACATCTCGGGACAGAGGCAGTCCACGGAGCCAAGATATGTTCGTTGTTCAAACATTTTTGTTTTTTCTTTAAAATATGTTTTTCACACATGAAACATGGGGATCAAATCAACAAGAAGGGGACAGCATAACATGCTCAAAAGTGAGTGGTTCTTTGATGTGTTCAATGAGTCAGGATAACATTTCGGGACTACCAGTTCGATGATGTCAGATCAGTGTTGGTCTCAAACAGTTTTGACACCCACGCATTTTTCACCCGTAGCATGCTTTTTGAAGGGTCATACAGGGGTCAGTATCAGAAGTGGTAGTCGTATGTTGCCCTCCAGTTGCTTTCCCTCGACAATGGGGCTCAGTTTTGCACACTCATAAACAAAGATCTGGGTGTGTCTGAAATTGGTAATGCCATGTAGTGCCCTTCAATTTGTGGCATGTGGGAAATTTCTGCGTGCTTTAACCATCACATTTGGGATTTTGGGGGCATCCTATTTTGCAGACAAACCCATTGTGTATCCATCAGAGTGAGCCTTTCTACACCTGGACCATTGGGTGTTTAGGAGAAGCGGGTGAAAAAGCACCATTTCAGTGAGGTGTTCTTAGAATACGTGAATTTAGGTGGGTAAAAGCAGGTTTTTTTTAGCATCGAAGCTCATACTTTGGCAAAATACGTATTTGTTTTTAGTCGAAACGCCTCATTTAGTGGAAAGAAGCATAAGTTGATTGTTTGCAACTGTGCAATGGAAATATCCAAATTGATCCATCGAAACAGCAACAATTTTCACTAGATAGAAGTCTTATCAATATATTTTCACCAGGAAAAATGGCTGATGTTCAAAAGAACATCTAGCAGATCACTCCAAATCTATTCACCCTTTGGTAACCAAACATGGTAATGGAACATGTCATATTTAGATCGATGAGTTTCCCAGCATCTAAGCCTCCATACAGTTCGTATTCGTGGATTTCCCAGCTAGCCACATGGCTAATGACACCGGAGCATGTATCCCATTATATCCCATGGAATCCACATATCCCTATGATGGTTAATATATGTGGCATGTATCCCAGTAAACTTCCATGTTTGGGGATTATACCACCAGCCATTATATAATATTAAACGCCCATTATTTATAGCTGTTTGTTGGTGGTTAGATCCCATTAAATCCAAGGAATATTCCTATGAAACATTTATATTTACTATCCATTCATGGTTATTATCCCCTTGAAATAGGCACTATAATCCCTACTAATCCGTCTTACATAAACCTTGTAAAACCATATGAAACCGCTATTAAAACCATATTATAAGCACCATTGTTCACGGTTTATTTGGGGAGAAATTCTCCACGGTTTTCGGCCAGGCTCTCCACACCCTTGCGCGCAGATGTGTCCATGGTCCTGCTGGAGTGGCTACAACTGGGCTGCCACCAAGGCAGCTGGTTGGTTGATTGGTGAGCCATAAAACATTGATTTTTCATCACTTAAAAATGGAGGTTTAAGCATCAAAAATGATGGAGTTCATGGTGATTTAATGGAATTTCATTAGAGTACCTTTGTTGGTTGGTTGTAAAAAGAACGGAAAATCATGGATTTTCTTAGGATTTAATGATGGTTTAATGGGGCTCAATGGTGATTTAGCGGGATTATAACTTAAAAATGGTGGCTTAACTCTCAAAAAAGATGATTCAATGGGATTCGATACGATTTAATGGAATTCATTTGGGATTTCAATGGTGTGTGTGTGTAATGATTTATGGTGATGTGATGGGATTAATGGTGATTAATTATGGTGATATACCGTTTGGTAATTTTACAGTTTGCGAACTGGAAATGTGCTGTCCAGAATGGGTAAATCAGTGTAAACCATCATTTAATTATCATTTATTTCTATGGGCCATAGCTTCCATACTTAACTGTTAGATACCCATTACAGTTATTTTTCGTATATATACAGTATATATATAATTATATTACTCTATATATTCCCAACACAATTATAGTACTATTATATTAATTATTATAATAGGTTCCCAATATAAGTATCCATTCCCCGGATGATTGGGAAATATGTTTTCTCTAAGGGAGACCTAGCAACCAACCACTAGCCCTTCAAAGGGGAGATCAATGAGTGAATCTTAGCCATCCAAACATGGAAGATATCCAGCCAAAATGGTGGATCAACCAGCCAGAATGGTGGTTTCACCATCATAAACGGTTGATATATATATATATATATATGTGCGTGTATTATATGTATTATATATATATATATATAAACGCAAATTTTATCAGCCGAGTTTCAGGTTTTCATCCAATGGATTAGCCTTTTTTCCCATGGGAAAATCCATGGGGAAATCCAGGTGAGAGCCTCCATCCTGGACGACGACCCGAGACGGCGCGCGGGGTGGTTGGGTGGTGAAAATGAGGATTTCATGAGGAAAATGTGTGATCTCACCAGTAACAAAATGTTATTTTCAAATATCTATCTAAATCTAATCTAATCTAAATCTATCTAATCTAATCTAATTTAATCTAATCTAATCCTATCTAACTAACTATCTATCTATCTGTCTATCTATCTATCCATCCATCCATCTATCTATCTATCTATCTATCTTTCTATCTATCTATCTATCTATCTTTCTATCTATCTATCTATCTATCTATCTTATAACTATTTGGGTCAACCTTGGGTGCTTTCGCATGCGGATGCAAAGGCCATATCCGAAGCAGCCAAAAAATCCTTATACTGGATGATAGGTGATACAAAAAAATATCTAGACCTTCTGAATGCAGTAACAATTAATTTCCAGCTTTTCAAACTAGCTGTTCGAGGGAAAAGATTAGCCATGTCCACCTTAGAGTACATGAAGTACCTTGGTGACCTTAGCTTAGTAATTGAGTATTGGATCTATTCGGGAGAAAGGTTTGCCAATAAAACTCGCCGTAGCTTGCCTCAAGCATTGACTCCGCTCTTTGCCTGGCCACATGAATCCAGGAAAAAACAGTACAGTTTGGCGGCGTTGAAACTGTAAGACCACTTAAGACCGGAATTGTGGCTGACTTGTCAGGAAGGCCACCCTTGAAAGAGAATAAGTAGATAGAACTGGCTCTAAAAATGGGCACTTTACATAGCCTGGTTGGTCGTTTGGAACATTTTATGACTTTCCATATTTTGGGAATAGTAACCCCAACTGACTTTCATATTTTTTAGAGGGGTTGAAACCACCAACCAATATAGCAACCCTACAAAAACTTGTCCACAATAAATTCATGTCTTATTTGGGTGTTCCTGCACTTTGCCACGCCGGCGCGCCCTTTTCACTTGGGTGATAACTTGGCCTCCCCCCTAATATATGGAACCTTCATATCATCCATATATATATATGCATATGTATAGCCAAACGGTTTTAAGTGGTTTTCATCTTGGACAGTTTTGAACAATGAATGGGATGTAAGCTATCCCTGACCTGCCAAACAACATTGTTTGATTGATTGTTGCCAGGATTTTAGACTACCATGAGGTGTCAACCATTGTTTTGATGGTCTTGGAATTCCACATAGATGCGCCATGGAGTTTGCTAGTTAGTAAATGCATGATCATTGATGTGTTTGGTGGTTTATCAACCAGTTACCAACCCGGAATCGCTACTATTTCCCATGGCCCATCTCAGTAAGAACTTGTAGTTGGGTCAAAAAACGCACTCTATAGATTATCCCAAGTATCATAACTAATAGTTATCATCGACTGCTATCATTTTTAGGTCCTAATAGTTGGGTTAACTAATCATAACTAATCCATGGCCCATTGGGTTCGCAGGCGGCCAGCCGATGGCTACAGACCTGCAATGCCTGGAGGGAAATTTGGAAAAAACGCGGTCGAGCACCTGACTCTAGGCCTGGCTAAATTCCTGGGGATTTCATACGTAGGTGTTTCAGCGTCGAACATGGGCGATGACATGTGGCTTTAACATGGTTTAACCATGAACATGTGGCTTGAACCATGTTTTATAATTCTCAAACATTGTGATTGAACTATCAGGCAATTATGCGGCGACAAGGCGACATGGAATTTAGGCATCACAAATCATGAATGCAACAGACATCGGGATTCAGCCAGCCTAAAAATGTGATGCGATGAAACCAGCATGGGAATTTCACCAACAAAATACGCTACCTGGAAGACAAAAGGAACGCCTTCTGTGAAGCAAAGATCTTCATAAAGGTCACGCACTCACCAGCGGCGGAGGGAATCATAGATGTCCTTTTCCCATTGGTTGGTTGATTAATAGAGGGGTTTGAAGAAGCCCCTTTAACCACAAGTAAATGATGATAGATGGTATACCAAACCGGCCCCTCTATTTTTACCAAAAGGACATTATTGGAGGGAATAGAAACAACCTGCTTGCCGCCTGCCGCCAAAAATTGAGTACTGTGGTTAACCCAATACCAGTCGAGGAAGGTTTTACTACCTATTTGTGGTAATATTTGGGGAAGGTTTATTTTTGGTAAAATCCATAAATATGGGTTATGGATAATATAGTTGTGATAGTATGGTAAATCCATAAATATGGTTACTACCCTCAAATATGGGTTTACCATAGACATTTGTTTTATGTTTGCTCATTGTCAGGGGCAATGCCATGGCACCATGGCTGAGGAATCCATGCAGAAGCACTTGGCGAAGGCTCAGGCGGAGGGTTTGCCATGGAAAGATCCACCATGCTATTAAGAACGGTAAACCATCTTTAAATAAATGGGCCATTTATTTTCCATGGCTGGCTATGTTAGTCATAACCAGAGGCTATAGGAGACTTCCCAGCCAGCCTGTGGTTATGTGTAGGCAGATCATGTGCTGGTGATTTCCCTTGGTTCACATCCACATTTGCTGTTGGTTTGATTCCCAAGTCAGCCAATAGATCCAAGTCAGCAACTTTTTTCTGTGAACGTCCTTATTGTTGCCTGTGCATTCTACAGGCAAAAATGACAAAGTTGTTTCTTTTTTCTTGAATTAAGGAATTTAGTTGCGGGAGAGCAAATCTGGAAAGTCGTCTCTTTTCTTCTTTCCGCAAGCTGAATGCATGATTTTGCAGCATCCATGTTTTTTGATTGAACTTAATTGCATCAAATGCAGCGTTTACATGTGGAACTGAGGATCTTACAGAGTTACCTAGGTGCTTTAACTGTTTTGTTTAGTTGGGGACAATATTTATTATAATTTCAGGCATTTTTTTAAAGGAAGTTTAGGAATCTATACTTCCGTGTTACAGAGTTTTGACAGCATTGATATCAACAGCCACTGCAGAGAACAGTCACTGCAAGTAACAGTCACTGCAAAGAACAGCCGCTGAAGACTTGATGCAAAGAACAGTCAGTGCAAAGAGGAGGCACTGCAAGGAACAGTCACTGCAAAGAACAGCCACTGCAAAGAAGAGACACTGTTCATTTTCCGTTTAAGTCTCCTTTTAAAAGCTTCAAAATCGTACTTTGTTTTGCCTTGGTGAGAAGATAGAAGATCCGGTCAAGAGTCTTGAAGCAGGTTTTGGACCAGAAAGGAGCTGACGTGAGATGATTTGAGGCTAAGGAGAGCTGAGATGTGCTGAGAAGAGCTGAAAATAATTGAGATGGGCTGAAAAGAGATAAGATGAGACGAGCCGAGAAAGACCGGAGTATAAAATTAAGGCGAGATTGGATGAGATGAGAAGAGCTGAGAATATTTTGGCTGGCTTTCATATTTGGGGTATTGCCAGTTCAGATCATGTATTTTGGATGCTTGAATCTCCAGATATCCGATTTGGGTTGCATAAATCATAGACATCTCAATCTGGTGGGGTAAATTCCGTGCTGTTGCTCTATGTTCCTAGTAAATCATTGAAACTTGCAGCTTCAGCTAAAATATCTTCCCAAAAATCCTTGTAAGTTCCATAGTTTGATGGATACCCTCCGGTAAACTAACATGGCTGTTGAAAATGGCCATTTGTAGTGGATTTACCCATTAAAAATGGTGATTTTCTATAGTTATGGTATGTTATGTTATGTTAGTTTACCAGAGGGTAAACATCCATTTCCTATGGTTTTCCCATGGTTTTCCTATGATTTTACCATCCCCTTTTGTTTCTTGGTTCCATCCCCGTTCCATCCCCGGCAGAAGCGTTTCCACTGCGCCCTGCACGGCTCCTTGCAGCGGCGCCAGAAAGCGCTGCAGCAACTCCTGCAGGACGGGAGTGAGTTTGGGGATGGGGTGAGGAAGTTTATCCTCACTGGAATCATCCCCAAATGTCCTTAATTCAGGTTAGTGACATAATATAATTTACCCAGATTTATAGTGATTCAATGGGATATTAATGGGATATAATGGGACCATGTTAGTTTACCGGAGGGTATATCGTATATCCCATTAATATCCCGTTGAATCACTATAAAGTCCCATTAAATAAATAACTAAATAAATGAATAAATAAATAAATGAATAAATAAATAAATGAATAAACAAATGAATAAATAAATAAACACACACACACATATATATATATATGGGTAAATTATACCGACCTCACTGCGATCGAGCCCTGGGATCGAAAGGGAAATCATCCCCAAGATGGCCCAACTATTCAGGTTGGTGAACTATTACAATTTACCCAGATTTATGGGGGTAGCATTATCCATTTGATGTGATAACCAAAAAAACAACATCCATTTGATATTACTATCATCTATCCATTTAGGAATCCATTGATGTGGTAAATCCAATAATAAACTTAGCATTTGGGGATGGTTTGTTGTTGGGTTTACTACATCAATGGTGATGTTGGAGTGATGATAGGGGATTCAGTGGGTCTGACATGCTTTAACCACGAAAAAATGCAATGACAAACACTGGGAAACATAGGATGTTAAGCATTAAGATAAATAAATGGGATTGCATAACCATCCAAAAACGGGGGGTTGACAATATGGTTAAGATGTTATAAGTTACAATATCCATGATTTACTCTTCAAACATGTATGGATGAACATGCCATCAACACACGGATTTAGCCAACAAAAAAAGTTGGATCCACGGAGTGCCAGGAAAAAGCTCCTACTGAGCGCCTCGAAAAGTGACCGCACGGCAGCTCGTTGACAGTGCACCACGGTCAGCAGAGGTAGGTTCAAATGGCAACTGCCCAGGAAGCCACTCTGGAAATTCCCTGCATATCAGGACGTGAAGGTGGTTTGGCATTGCTTGTATAATTCTGATTTTGAGAATTAGCTTTTACATTGCATCATTTGCCATGTATGTTTATGTGTTTGTGACATCTTTGTTCGCTAGATTGCCTCATTGTTCCTGCAAACAGCGCGGTTAATCCCTCCCAAGTCATCGGGTAGCCGCCACCAGCGAAGCTCAGGTGCCCAGAGATGTTGCGCTTCAAAACTGACAAAACGATGCTGTAAGTACTCACCCAAAGAAAATCATGCTTTTTTTTAGCAATTGCATCTTTATATGTGAGGGTAGTGCGGTGTGTTTGGGTATCCCTTGATGGAAAAAAAAAGCGCGACTGGGACTGATCTGCGCATTGAAATTTCAAACTATGGAGACTCACCGAATGGCAAGATATGAAGCACCCAGCCCCGCGAAGAAAGTAGGGCGAAAGTGGGGCCGGGTTGGCAGGGAGGCAGTGGTGGATCTCCCATGTCGAGCCAAGATGTTTTGGCCCCTTAGTCTTGCCATGAATTCCTTCCCCCTTGGTTTTTGTACCACCTTGGAAACCTTGGTCCTGTAATGGATCTATTATGATCTATTCATTTGGGATTTGATGTGAGGGATATTTGAGGGGTATGGGCCTAAAATGAATGAATGCGGGTATGAGTGAATGGTTAGTATCTCGCAAAGCTGGGTCCCACAACCTTAGATATCCTGACTTGACTGGTTGCTTTTGTGGTTTTGGCTGGATGCTGTTAACTCATGACTTAGATTTTCCTCTCTTTTTTGTGTAAAGTGGAGCGCGTAATTGCCACCATGTGGCTGCCCCCAAAAATCAATCCGACATATTAATCCTTCACTGGAAACGCACCTGCGGGTAAGCGATCTAAGTGTAGTCATCACTGGCCACCGCAAACACAGTTGGGATGAGGGGTTTAAAGACCAGCAAACACAACCTGAGGGGCACCACACCAGACGTCGCTCAAACATATTTTGGTTATGAGTCACAATAGCTATGGAACATGATACGTTATTGTCTATTTAGTTCGATGATTTCCCTATTAAACCTGGCGATTTGCCATAGCCATGTTAGTTGACTGGCTAAACCCACCATTAAATCACATTAAGTCCCAATTTGTGATTCTCCCAGCCGTGTTCCCCGTCGCGACGCCACGGAGCTCAAAGGTGGAGGAAAAAGAGGAGCTGGAAGAGATGGAAGAAGAAGATGAAGAAGTGCTCGAGGCGACCGGTCAGAAGCACATAGACATATTACAAAGTAATGCGTATAATATATGACTACATATATTTAACACATATTAATGTAGATCATAGAGATAATTCTTTATTGATGTATTTATGAATTTTCCAAGCTGGCAAAGGGGAGTATGCATACATATATGTATATATGTATATATATATAATGTACACAGACAGATATCTCATATTTCAAAGTATACATGAATCAAAAGCTGAGCGTTTACTAAGGACGTGCAAGGCCTGTAGGATGATAGGGGGGGCCTAGGAGTTGATTCCATGCTCGCAGCCTGGAGAACCTTCACAAAGATTCATAAACAAACATGACTTATGTTCAACCGGAAAAATGGGATTATGTTCCCGAATGACCAGCATTTTTTCGGGGCATGGAAAACCACCGACCAAGTCGAAGTTGATTTATCACTATAAATATGTATGTATATACATATATATTATATATATATACATGTTTACATACATATATATATATATATGCATGATTATTGAGTTTACGGTAGATATATAGGTAATGGGATGCATACACCAACAAACACAACTGAGAAGGCATCACCTTGTAGACCCAAAGTTGTTACTTCAGATTCATGTGAAATGCCCCATTTCCCACTATATACCATTAAAACACTGTTAAACAGCATCAAGACACAAAACCCTTGAACTGAACACACCATAAATAGCAACAAATCCCAATAAATGCCGCTAAAATACCAATTTGTGCATATCTCATTTCATCACCATTACATCTCCATGATATCCATCATGTTTGAGCCATTCAACTTCCATACCCCCTCAATATTCCATTAAATCAACCATAATTCTTTTCCATGTTGTAGATATCCCGTTGTATCCCATGAATTTCCCAGTAGATCCCTTTGATTCCACCCATGTTTGAAGATGACTTCAGGCAGAGGTCACTTCCGAACAGTTGGCGCGTCAGCTGCAAGAGCTGAGGGAGGAGGTGTCACCGCTTTTTGTCACACCCTGCCACTGGCGAAAATTGGGAAAACACAGGGAACATAAAAAACATTGGAAAACATAGGGAAAACACAAGGCAAAACACCTTTTTGAGCATCAACACAGTGATGGAAAATGGTGGGTTAACCATCAAAGATATGGATTTTTATGATGATTTATGTGGGTGATTTTTGATCAACCATAGTGGAGGTGTTTTCTGGTGATATTTTGCAGTCCATCGTGGTTGCTGGTGGTTAAGATTCACCCAAGCACAAAATGGAAACCATCTGGTTATGACATTGCCAGTTTGCCATGGAAAGATCCACCATTTTTAAGAACGGTAAACCATCTATAAATGAGCCATCTATACCATGGCTATGTTGAATAACCAGAGGGTATATGTTTAGCCCTTAACAACTTGACCATGTTACTAAAACCGAAACCAGTATCATTGATAGGTGATGTTCCCAACTATTCCCAATCAAAAAAACATTTTTTGTGGGTTGGTTAAACCCTCATGATACGAGGTGGTGCTCCCCAGTTGGAAGTTGTTTCAAGAATCCAGCCAACTATCCTGTTACACACACCTTTAAGAAAACAACCATAGTCCAGGAACGCATACAACTCATTGCCAGGCGCAAGGCGCAGAGGCAGAAAAAATGCGACGAACACGTTGCGATGGCAGAAGAGCTGTTCAACGATCGCCAGACACTGTTTTCCACAATGCTGAGCATGATTATGACGCTGCTCCGAATTCCCAGCACGGTGGTATTCACACATTGCGGACGGAAGTTCATGACCCCATTTCAGGGGGGTGATGCCCACGGGGGTCAGGCCATGCTCGTTTTTGGATCACCGCAGCCAACTACGTTCTGGGAGATTGTCGCAAGGTTTCTTGCTGTCGGCTAGGCTAGGCACCTGTGTTCCCAATTTGGCTTCTCATTGACGCCATCCTGCAGTTATGGCCCAACTAACATTTATAAATGTGCTTTTATAATATGTTATAAAACTCCTACAACTAAGGCATGAAATAAAATCATGTATAATCCCATGACTCATATATTCCATTATCTATAAAGGCTAAAAAAAACTGATATAAAAGCTGATATATCTATAATTAATGGTGTATAACTCCAATAACTATGGTTTATATTATAGACCCATTTCATGAAGTAGGATATCCATTTCTCTATATATTATATAGACCCATTATGACCCATATGGATATTATGAAACATCATGGTGAATAATGGTTAATGGAGAATAATATATTATATTTACATTATTTAGCCATGGATCGCTATGATTTCATGGTGATGGTTAATAGTGAAATCAACCAATTATATACACTATTAACCATTATTCACCATGAAATTCCCCATGATATAATGGATTACCATCTGGTTATTTAACATAGCCATGGAAAATCCCAAAAATAAATGGATGTTTATAGCTGGGAACATCATCTATTTCTATGGGCTATCTATACCATGGCTATGTTAAATAACCAGAGGGTATTTCTATTTCATTGGCTAATAAATAGAAATACCATGGAATATCATAGAAATAGCCATTTCATGATTTAATAGAAATAGCCATGGTATTTTCATGATATCATCCCATTTCACTGGCGACATCCAGGCCCGCGATCCCGAGGGCTTCGCGGCCAGGAAGGCGGCCGCCTCCAAGGTGGTTTTGCCCGTTGATGGAGATCACGTTTTTGGATGAATCGTGGTTAATATTGGTTATATAATGATGGTTAATAGTTAATGATTTTCATATGGTTTTCCTGTTAAGAGTGGTTGAGAGAGTGGTTGATACTGGTGAAAATAGTGGTTCATAATGGCTAGTAATATGCTGTGGATGGTCTGTCTATCTATCTAGCTATCTATCTAGCTATCTAGCTATCTATCTAAAAACTACTGATTAGTGCAGGCCCCCCCTCAACAATTTTGGTCTACTCAATAACTCGGCATTTTCTTGGGGACCAGGTCTGGGGAACTCCGGATGATCAACTTAAGTAAGGATTTCAATTGATGCCAATCTACTTTCAATTGAGTTTTCCTTTTAAACCTCAAAGACATCTATTGATAAGAAAGGGTTTCAATTGAAATAAATCTACGTTCAATTCATTTGAATCTACTTTCAGTTGATTTTCCTTTTAAATCTAAAACAAAAAACACCCCAAAAGTTTTTGTGCACAATAGGGTGCCATCCAAATAATTACATTATTGAGGATCTGGGTCACTCATGGGATACCACATTGAAAAATTGTTTGGGCGCTGTTTTTAAATAAGGGTTTAATACGGCATCTAATCATGTGGGAAACCTTGCATTTTCAATGCTTTAACATGGATATGGCTTTCTAAAGTAAATGGACAAGCCGTACCCAAAGAAAGGTGTATAAAGATGGATAAAGCTCCTCCTGAAAAAAATGGTTCTCAGAAAAAAAATCTCACAATAGAGGCACACCCCCACCATGTACAGGATATTCAGTATTTTTTGAAAAAAAGTCACAATAGGGTCCCATGACACTAATCGGTATACTACATTATCTGAGTATCCAACGAAACTATTGTAATACTAACTTAGTCTTGCTTTGCCTTGGCCTTGCTGAGGTTGCACGAAACCTTCATAACCGAAAGGGGACGACCCTAATTTGTGCATGGCATTAGTGTCAACAAATAATGTTGTC